TATAATAAATTTTTTATTAAGTAAAAGGGCTGGCCTAGCTATAAAAATTTATAAAAATTATTTTTTAATTTTAAGTATATATAAAAAGCCCTAATAAATTATAAAAAACTAGCTATAATAATACTAATTTACTACTAGTTTAAAAAAAAAAGTAATAACCTTATTAAGTTAAATACCTTTTTTTTTTTACTAGATTTTAAGGTTTAATAAACTACTAATATTATTAAAAAATTATTAAATTATTACTTAATTACTACTAGTTACCTATAACTTTAAAAAGGGGTATAAAATTTTTTATTTTATAAAATTTTAAAATTATACCTAAGGCTATAAGTAAAGTAATTACCTTTTTTATTTTTTATAGGGTTTTAAGATTTAATAAACTATAATTAAAATACCACCAGCTTGGTACTAAAACTTATTTTAAATTATAATTTAAAATAAAGAACTATATTTATATTAAAGTTAAAGTATTAAAAAAAAAATAATAATTAACTATATAGCAAGGCTATAATAAAAAACTATTATTTAATATTAAAAGCAAAAGCAGGGGCCTTTTTAAGTATTTTTTTATACCTAGTATTTTTTAAAAAAAAAGGCGTGACGGGCTTGTTTTTTAAAAAAAAGATATTAGTAAACTAGTAGCTATTCTAGCTATTATTAAAATAGGCTAAAGGCTATTTAATAGTAAGTTAAAAAAATTAAATAAGCTTTTAAATAGCTAAAGCTAATACTTTTATTATATGAATCTTAAGGCTTATTTTTTATTATAGGTTTTTATTATTAATTTAACCTAATAATTAAACATGTTTTAATAATAAATATATTTATTATGGTTACTAAGGTTTATTTATTATAAAAAAATAATATTTTTTTTTATATGAAATAGCAGGGGGAGGCAAGTATTCTTATTATAAATATAATAAAAGTAATTATACCCGGGGGCTAAATAAATATAATTATTAAAATTATTAATTAACTTATTATTTTTATATACCTAAATATACTTTATATACTATAAATAAATTTATTTTTTATTAGCTAATATTTATATTAAAGCTATTTTACTAGCAGACTAATTAAAAATAGGGTGTATTTATAAAAAAAAAGGCTAAAGGCTAAAAAAAAAAGCTTAAAAAGGTAGTAATATAAAACCTATAATAAAAATATTAATAATAATAATAGCTAGCATAATATAAAATAAAGTAAAAAAAAATAAGCTAAAAAACACGGGGGTTATAATTAAATAATAAGGTAATTATTATAAAATTAAAAGTTAATATATTTAATAAAGCGCTAGCAAAGCGCCACTAGTTAATAATTATTAAAATAAAAAAAACTTATTAAATTATTACCTATAACCTTATTATATATTTTAAAGGTATTTATTAAATATAAATTATACTAATTATTACTATTATTATTGCCGCCCAAGAACTAATTAAAATTAAAGTTTTTAAACTTAAAAAAAATAAGTATAAAAAAAAGATTAAAAATGCTAAGGGCTTTTAAAGTTAATAAAAATATTATATTAAAGGGGTTTTATAACTATACTATAGTAAAAGTATAAAAGGTAAAGGTAAAAATATTTTAAATTATTATAATTATAGTAAGGCACTTTTTTTTTACTTGCTAGAAAGCTAGGGCAGCGCCTAAAAAAACTTTTTTTTTAATTATAATAAAAAAAGGTAATTTTTTGCTAGTAAAAAATTTATAAAATTATAAACTATACTATAATTTATACTTTTATACTAGGTATTATTAAAGCGCCACCTTTTTTTTTAATTATAAATAAATATTATATTTTATTTAAAGCGCTATAAATAATAAAAATAAGATACTAAATTTAATATATTAAATAATACTTTAATAAAGTTAAAAATAGTAATAATAAAGCTATGTTTAGTATTAATATTAATAATAATAATAGTATTTTATTATTATTTTTTTTTAATTTAGCGGCGGGTTGCGGATAACCTTTTAATTAAAAAAAAAATTATTAAGGCTAATATTTTTTTATTTAATATTATTAAAACTAATTTATTATTAATTTAAAATTAATACCTTAGGTAACTTAAGCTTTAGCCTTAGGCTACTAAGGCTTAATATACTTTACTATTATATTAAGTTATATAATTTAATTAAGTTATTAATATTTAAGGTTTTAGCTATTAGTTAGGTAAGGCTAGGGTAGGCCCTAAGTATAAGCTAAAGTAAAAATCTATATATAAAGTATTTAAATTTATATTTACTTTTTAGTTAAAAATAGCTTAAGCATAGCTTAAAGGTTTATAAAGGTGGCCTTAAAGCTAGCCTTTTTTCTAAATTTTTAAGTAACTTTTTTAATATTATTTAATAGGGTTTAAAATACTTTATTTTTATTAGTTAGATTCCTTTATTAATATCTTTATTATTAGTAAAGATCTTTAAGACTTGTCGGTCTTACAATTTTTTATAAAAAATTATATATAAATTAAAGTACCTATATTTACAAAGCTATTTAAAGGTTTATCCACGTGGTGTTAGGCTAGGAATAAGGCTATTAATATATTAAAAAGTTATTAAAATACAGGTATTTTGTTTTTTATAAAAAACTATATATAAATTAAAGTACCTATATTTATAAAACTATTTAAAGGTTTATCCGCGTGGTGTTAGGCTAGGAATAAAACTATTAACATGTTAAAAAGCTATTAAAGTATAGGTACTTTGTTTTTTATAGGAAACTATATATAAATTAATATACCTATATTTATAAAGCTATTTAAAGATCTATCCACGTGGTATTAGGCTAGAAATAAGGCTATTAATATATTAAAAAGCTATTAAAGTATAGGTACTTTATTTTTTATAAAAAACTATATATAAATTAAAGTACCTATATTTATAAAAATAAGTAGCTATATAATAAAACTAAGTAAGTCATGGTATATTTAATTTTCTGCCGGTAGAACCTAAGCAAAGGCACACTATTAAGTTTAAAATGGAGTTTTTTCCCAAGTGGCTAAACAGGCCTCCGTACGCGGGCCCGAAAATCTCTTCCGACAACACCCAACCCCTTACCTACCGGTACAGTAACACTGCCAACCGCTATCCAAATGGCCCAAGCTCAAACCCCAGGCTTCTCCCCGCTAAAGTCCCTCGTGGCATATACATCCCAAACCGCCGGCCTCGAAAAAACCCTGCGTCTCATCCAGGCCACCTCGCAAGTCATCGGCGTGACAACAGCCAACAAGACCCTCGCGACGCAATGTCTCACGGCCCGTGACCAGCTAGCCCTAAGTACCCTACCCTGCCTACCCTACTCTGCACCCATTGATAGCAATGGCACTGACAGCACAGCCCGGCGCTACTTCCGCCTCCTCGACTTCTACGCGTGCTTCGAGCGCGTGCACGCCCTCATCACCAACCCCTCGTCCAGCTCGACAATCCCCTCCGCCATGGAGCTGGCGCAGTATACCTTCCTGGGCCTGTATCTGTTCCTCGAGGACTTCACGATCGTGCGCTTCCCTCCCCACCAGTTCGCGCAATGATCCTTGTTGACGCCCGCAGCTGCACGACATGAACGTCGCCCGCGTCGACTGGCACCACGCGCTCATGACCGAAGCCAACAAGTTCTGGTTCTACGCGCTCGCGCTCTCGGTTCTGCGGTGTACATGGGAACTCTTATCCCCCCAGGCCCCGGATACGCCCAAGACCACTGGCGGTGAAAAGAGCGACCCCAAGACCACGGCGAAGCAGACCAGGGCGCCTAAATGGCCGCTCGTCAAGCGGATTATCATTGACGGGTGCGATCTGACTCTGCCCGGTTCGTTTTTGGGCTGGACGCCCGTGACGCCGCTGCAGATTGGGCTGGGGATGGTGGTGAGTACGGTGTTCGCGGGGCACAATGTTTGGGCGGCGCAGGGGTAGAGGCCGATGGGAACGTCGGGCCGTCCACTGCTGCGTTATGGCGGTTGGAAGACTATCCGGAGGTCGTAATGCCGCTGGGCTAAGGACAGGTTTTGAGAAGTAGATGGTCTAGAGAAGAGATAGAAGCTGATGTGGTCGATGGAAATGGAAAGAGATGAAATGGAACGCAGAGACATCATATCTTAATGGCTGTGACCCCGGACTAGGAATGCAGTCTTCTTGTAAAGCTGACCATGAAGTAAAGCCCTATATACACAGTGCAGTGCAGTGCAATCCAACACCCAAACCCCCCTCCCCCTACCATCCCATCCATCCCATCCCTCCTTCAAAAAAAGAATCACAACCCCTCATTAACCCCCCTATACTCCCCCGCCCTGCGCCCCAGCGCATCCGCCCACCCAAAGACCGCCTCATAATCACGACAAACATGCACAACGCCCTCGCCCGAACTCCCGCCCACGAAATCCGTCGGCTCGAAGGTCGTGTCCGACGCACACAGAACCCCCTGGCGCAGATAATTAATGCAGTGCGTGATGTGGTCGTTCACGACACGCCCTTGCTCATCGTACTGCGTGTGCGCGGCGTGTGCGGCCACTTTCTCCCCGCGCAGAACGCCGTGGTACATCTTGTGCATCATCCACAGGCAGTGTAGGGAGTGGTACATGCTTATCCCCCACTGGTTGTCGATTACGCGCGGGAGCGCGAGGTTTTCGGGCGGGTATTCGGATGGGTGCAGGAGGATGCCGCCGCGGCCGCCTGGTACACACTTGTCAGAATCTGGCTAGGTATGGGAGCTGGTAGGGTTGTTGGAAAGGTGGAGGGGACGTATGGTACTCACGCGGCATCAGGGAGCTCCAGGCCTGTTCGACCTCTGGGTGGGAGGATGGGTCGGCCATGAAGGTTTCGTTGTCGGTGAAGGACATGTGTTTTGTTTTGAGGGGGATGATGCCTTTCATTCCAGCGTTAGCCATATCAACCTTCAGGGCTGCATACTAGGTATTTGCTGGATGAGATGGTGTCTCACGGTCTGAAAAGAGCAATTCCCGACTAAGAGCCGCCTCGGCCATTTTCCATCCGAGCAGGACGCCCAGACTGAGCAGGAGGGGAATTGCCAGGACAGCGAGAAAGACGTACACACGCCGGGTTGTCCGGGCGCCTCGGGCTAAATGCTGGGCTCTCTTCTCTGAAATGAGACCGTTTGGGCTGGGGTGGCTGGACCAGGAGAGCCGGCGGCTGTCGTCGTCGCTGCTGATGGGTTCGGCGAGGGGCCGGTATTCGGATTTCGACTCGAACATTGTTGACAGCGAGGGGATGTGGAGCTTCATTTTGAGGGACGAGGGTCGGCGAGGCCGAATTATCCGTATAAGTCGAGCAGATGGAATGGGCCGAGATGGTGGGACCTAGGCTCCTAAGTACGTAGACGAGAGGCGCCTTAAGCTACAGATCAATAGCACAGCAAACAGCATGGAAACGATCGATCCCCTTATTTTAGGGAAGACGGCAGCTGTGGCGAGCCGAGCAACAAAGACACATTGCCGAAGTCTTCAGGATACATCCTAGCGAAGCCAAGGGGGAACGCAGTCTTCAGTTGGTTTTGATCGTGAGGAGGCTGATAATGCCGTTATTGAGATACCTGATCCAATGGCCTACTATATGGGCCATGCGCCTCTGCAGCTCCAACCGTGGACCAGCGGGCGACCTAGGGCTCGATTGGCAGACACGAACAAAGAACATGGGCCAAATGCCGCGTGCCACAAAAGTCGGCAACAGTCTACCCAGATATGGCATCAATAGGACATTCGACATCATCTATTGTCAATTGAATAGAGCAGAGACCTGCTGCATCTGCCGACCGCACCCCTGCTCTGAGTGGGTTACCTAATTCTCCGAACCTGGGGGAGATCACTTGCAAGTTACACCACCTCCACTGATCCATGCATTATTCCTCTTTGTGCTGGTGGGAGCTATGCGACAGGTATTTGCTATCCCTGAAAGTCGGTAACTGTGTTTGGACACGGTAGGTGGCTTGTGAGTATACGGTTTGAAACATAGGGATGCTAGATAGGTCAGAGTGGAGTGGCTGGACAGCTGGACTCTTCTCAATTCTTGGAATCAATGACATAGGCCAACCAGCCACTGGGGAGGTCATTCCATCACCTCATAGGGCGCAAGGCTTCGATAGAAATAGCAGGAGACTCGACACTGCCACCACTCGACTTAACCTACCTAACCCAACCCTAGGTAGGCACCCGTGGGCCCGCTAGATCGTTCAATGTAGCAAAGCTCCAACACCAAGCAACACGCAAACCACTTGATTCTTCCCTCCGTAATCCCTTTCTGTTATAACATAGGTCAACAAACCGTGACCCTCGTCCCCAAACTCCCCAACCGCGGAAGCGCAGTCGAAAGATCCACGACGTGCCTAACATCCTCCTCAACCGTCTCAAACAGCCGCAGCTCCGGCGCGCCAGGACGAAACAGTACCGCCAGCACCCAGTAAAGCTCTGCATACGCCAGGCTGCGCGCATAATGTCAGCATCACCGTTCGAAGGGGACGGAATCACATACTTCAACCCCAAGCAGCCCCTCGAGCCGCGCGAGAACGCCACCCAGTTGCGGTGCAGGCGCGGGTCCACGGCATCGCCGAGCCAGCGCTCCGGGACGAAGCTGAACGGATCGGCATAGACTTCGGGGTCGCTGTGCATGCTGTATGCGCCCATGCCGACCGGCGCGCCGGCGGGTATCGTCCACTCCTTATATTGCAGGGGTGTGCTGAAGACGCGAGGGAGGCGGCGCATGACGCCGTAGCTTAGTCTGTTCTTTCGCTGTTAAGTCCCACTTCCACTATAGGAACTAGAGGGATATGACATATACGGATACGGGGCTACGCACCGGAGTCCCTCGCGCACAACGGCGTACAGATACGGAAGCCTCTCGAGCTCCTGCCAGGTCGGCAGCTTACCGTCAGGAAACCCGGCCATCACGGGCGTCAGCTCCTCGCGCAGCCGGTCGCGCATGGCGCGGTTGGCCAGGGGATAATAGCAGATTAGGTTGAGCGTGCGTACTGTGGTGATGGTGCCGGCGCCAAAGATGGCTATCGCTTCGCGGGCCAGGCGCTCAGTGCTGCGCTCAGGCGCGGGGAGGCCGCTTGTGGGGGATAGGACGGAGCGGAAGACTGACGTGTCGCGGGGCGTACCGGCGGTGTCTTTATCGCCTGAATCCTGGTTTTGGCTCTGGCTCTGGCTCTGGATAATCATGTCTCGTTTGACGTCGGTAATGTGGTTGGTCGTGTGCTGGCGTGCGTGCGCATGTCCGTGTCAGCTGTGGGCTGGGAATTTCCCTTTATGATACTTATAGAACTCAAGGATATGATGGCAACAAGGGGACAGGTGACGTTAGAGAGGAATAGAGCAAGGAAGTCCACTAATGCCGCACCTGAAGGAAGAGCTTGGAGGCAGCCGCACCCGGCATCAACCGCAATAGTAAAGCAGTTGGAAAGAGTGTCAGGATGCCGAGCAGCAGCGGGAAATGCATGAAGAGACCGAGGTGCTTGACGCCATTCGTGATGATATCGTCCCTGCCCCCACGGCTCCGTTAACATTCATTTATTCTCTCGTCTACGATCTTTCCCGCGCTCGTGGAGAGCCCTTCAGCAACAAATGAAACAGAACAGAACAAAACAAAATACGGACCACTCCTTGCCAAACTCGGGCCTCTCCAGCATCGCGGGCCGCGTCTGGGTGCAGATTTCCGTAATGATATCGGCCACAAAAGCCGCAAATACATGGTCCATCCGAATGACATGGCCGGAGCCACTGTAGCTCTTCAGCCGGGCGTTGATCATTTTAGCGTCGTCGATGATCGCAGACTCAATGCGGTCAATGCCCAGGCGTGAGAAGAAGGGATCGAGTGGTTTGCGGCGGTGCCGGTGCAGTTCATGGCTCCGGGTCGCGACGTGCGAGCCTGCAAAGAGCATGTTAGTTCCTTGAATTCCCGTACGCGGTATAATAGCTTGCCGTCAATGCCAACTCCCGCTATCTGTAGTGTCCACTTCTCCGCGGGCCGGGTGTTGTAGATTTGGTTGTAGAAGTCTGCGTCGTCGATTACGATCTCGTGCGGGTTGATGCGGACGATGGGGCCTGTCGTGTCCCATTACTACTCATCAGCCCAGTCCCTGCGTTTGAGACTGGTATAGTCCATACCGTATTGCTTGTGCATTTCTTCCACCTTGTAAACGAACGTGCCGATCCGGATAACATCGTAGTAGAACTCATACCAGCCCGTCGCAGCCGCGAGTTTCGGGCCCGGGAAACGTGCTAGAGGGTGGAGGGTGATGCGATAGATGGCAAGGATGACACCGTAAAGGGCGGTTCCAGCGGCCAGATACGCTACCAGCATCAATATCTCCATTTTCCACAGTACAACACAAGAAATATTATGGGAAATTGGCGAAGGAGGTGCTACTCGCGGACGGAAGGATCACAAGGGGCTGTACTATCCTCAGGGGGACGACACCGTGGCTGATTATATTTCAATCCGTAAACGGGGTATTTGCTCTTGGACTCGAAGAATTAATGCATTCAGTTTCACACCGTGACACAGGGAAGGATGCCGCTGCGTGAGCTGCAGCTCAAGGGCCACACAGAATGTCAGAACGATGGCCTATTGGCCGGCTTGGGATGTTGCGTATTCCAATGTTAGATAGCTCCATGCAAGGCCGGAGCTTCCCGATGGCCCCTCTACCCCCATAGACGCTGGTGCGCACGGACGAGTTCCTTGACTTGGCCGGGAAAGCAAAAGCAAACGAGGCATCCGTTTTTGAAACCGGGCCGCAGTAGGATAGGGCCGAGCCAAGATGGGCATCTGCTATGACCTATAAATAAGGCTCCAGCGGGGAGGATGTGCTTACCAGCTAGCCCAGTCTGTAGCGTTTGAGAAAAAATACTGTCAAACTAGCTTCTCTCGTCACGCCCGTGGAAAAGCGAAGCTGGCCCCAGAGCCCTTTCGGCGGCTGGATGGATCATTGTATGGCGATCTATATTCTCTAAGTCAATTTGAACAATGGACAAGGTAGCCAGAACGAGGGGAAATAATACAAAGAAACAGTGAAGCATGAGTTCAAGATTACTGTACCAAAAGGGAACTGACAGTCAGTTTCCAGGTTTCTCGCCTACACAACCGGCGATGGGTTATTGAACTGAAGGAGGTTGCTTGCATCCCATTCCCTCTTCAGCTCCAGAAGACGGGGCAGCTTTTCTTCGCCGTACATGCCCTGCAACCCCTTGTCCAGTTCATTTGGCTCGATAGCAGATCAGGTTCTCGGGCTGCAGTGCTGATGTATTGAGTCGTCTGCTGATGGTCCCCGTTCGAGACTATTTCGCAGCAAAGTGTCAGTTGGCAGTGGGGTTGAAGGTTGAAGGCCAACTTACCATTGATTAGTCCACCTAGACGGGCAACTCGAGCAACAGTCCATCATTGAGTGAAGAGACTGCGAGCCGGGTCCAAGCGTTGATTCGGTAACGCAGACAGCAAGGAAGATGCATCAACGAGACTTGACTGGTAGAAAGTGCGAATACAACCCTGGAGGTAGGGACCCGCGCACGTAGGTCCTTCATAGAAGCAGGCGTGAGCAGTCCTCCTTGTATCACGGCGTATGATGTCGGAGCTTGCAGAGTCTCTACTCTCTAGAAGTAGCCAGAGAAGGAGCTGCTACCTCGAAGCTAGTCACGTGCGCCGGCGTTCGGTTGATGCCGGCTCCGCTCCCCATTCCTCTCCAAGGTTCCGGCTTCTGCTCTGCCACTTGACTACTGGGTAGGATCATCGACTTGTGATCATTATGGAGCCCACCGTGCGCTCATTTATTCCGTATGGAAAAGCATGTGCCACCTGTGCTAGCGCCAAATGCCGTTGCGTTCCACGGGGTAATGGTGGCCGCTGTGAAAGGTGAGGGAGCAACCCTGCGTAGGAATGATGCCCATGGGGAGTTTTCTGACCCTGCCGTGGCTTTCAGATGTCATCGCTTAGACAAACAGTGCCATGTCCTTCCTGGCCGCCGAAAACCGAGGCCATTATCCAAGACTGCCCAGCTAGAGAGGAAAATGGATGGACTGATGACACTACTAGCCTCCAACGCCGGCCGCTCCGACCCGTCAACGCCGGTCCGAGTACAGACCGACGAGCATCTACCGGAGGCAACTGGGATCGACACGGAAATGGGCACAGAAGAGGAGAACCTGGAAGCAGACGAAGAGACTCTGCATGCATTTCGTACTCAACGGCTCCAATTCCTGCCGCTGATATACATTCCCATCACAGCAACGGCCCAGGATCTGAAACGAGAAGCACTCTTCCTTTGGCGGTGCATTTATGCGGTGGAAAGTAAGGATACGACGCGTCAGGCAGCTTTGTGCGTAGGCATCCGGGAGCTGGCAGGAAAGCGGCTGTTGCTTGACTGCGACAAATCTCTGGATATATTGCAAGGAGTATTGGTCTATCTCGCTTGGTATATTCTCCTCGCATGTACCGTTTTGGAAAAGCTTCCTTTTCCGGTGCTCACCTACTACAACTAGGATCACGTTTCAAAGCCAGCCGCAAAAGTCATCGCTCTGCGTCTATGCCCAAATGGCGATTGCGCTGGTCTTCGAGTTGGGTCTCAACAAGCCAGCACCTCCGGACCTCAATCAGACGATATCCAACAGCAATGCTGTGGGACACATGCCGGGTCTGAAAGCTTCAATTTCGACGATGCGAACAATGAACGAGCGGCGAGCGGTATTGGGCTGCTTTGTGCTGACTTCAATGTAAGCCGCTATATCAGAAAGAGGGTCGTCCATATCGTAACAATCTCCCCCCAGAATCGCACAGTTTTTAGGCAGAATGGATCCGCTGCGATGGACTCCACATATGAAGGAATGTCTCGATATCCTAGCTCACAGTGAAGAATCGCCCGGCGATGCGGTACTGGCCCAGATTACCCGCACACGACTTGTTGCGGATCAGATTCTCCAAGGCCCTTGGGATGACGGCCTATATGGCCTCTCTCCATCGAGCACCCGGGCCGCTTTTCATTCCAAGGCGCTCGAGTCACGGTTGAAAACAAACAAAGCCGACATCCCCGCGCAACTGGGCGACAATAGTACGTGATCTCTTGGTGGCCCAGAGAGCAGAAACTCACTGCTTTAGAACCTATTCTCTTCCATATATATGATACCGAAATCAGCCTCTATGAAGCTGCTTTAGTCAAACCCCCTGCAGACGAAGAGATGAGCACCCTTCGACTGGATCATCTGTACTCCTGTCTCCACGTTGTAAAACAATTTTTTGACCTCTTCTCCGCGATTAATCCGGTTGAATACACGGCTCTGGCACTTCCTCACCTTGCACAGTTATCGCATTGCTTCGTGACGCTCTTTCGCTTGTCAACGTTTGACTACCCGGGGTGGAACAAGGCAGCAGTGAAAAACACAGTAGACATCCTTGTCGTCGCAGACCAGATCTCCACCTCCCTGAGTCAGGTGGCCGCCACAGTTGGGATACACAGCGACGGCGCAAATAGTGATCCCTACAGCAAGCTGGGGATGATCTTGCAGAAGCTGCGGACTGAGTGGGCGGTACGACTACCGGGATGGTCGGGAGCAAGAGTCGACCCGGGCTCGGACGATCTGTTCCTGCCGAGCATGGAGATGGATGATTTGGACAGCTTCATGAACTGGTCAGGGATGTTATGGATGGCGGAAGGGACTGGTCAGGGGTTTGCGGCATAAATGACCATGATATATTGATTGAGCTTAAGCAATATCGCGTTTCTGTCTTTATGCCATTTGTCTATCTTGATGGGTGTTTTGGGATAGTTCATACGTCGGTCCTTTACATCTTGATTAGTTGGAAGAAACGACAGTTCATCGTGGCCGGCCGTTCGCCTGTCTGGACCCCGGCATTGGCGAAACAGGAACGGCGTTCGGGAACGGACGGCAACCAACGCCGTCCGTCAACTGCTATACTTAAACCACTCCAGTTGATCCGATCTCAATTACATCGGCAAGCTTCGACCATTACTGATTCAAGAACCACACAAAGGACCATAAATAACACTGTCAACATGGGCAAGCTCAACCAACCGCAGCCCAGTCCACTCAATTCCGACTCAACTCCGCTGGGCCATGATCTGCGCACAGATGAGAACAAGAATGAACACGAACCAGAGTGGGTGCATGGAATATCACTGGTCATGGTAATCTCAGGCATTACCCTGGTAGTGTTCCTAATGCTGTTGGATATGTCAATTGTGTCGACGGTATGCATTGCCCACTTTCATTCTGAAATATCAGGACTAGTCATTACTGACATGAGCTGGCACCTCAGGCAATCCCTGAAATCACCGCTCAATTCAGCTCGCTCGACGATGTTGCGTGGTATGGAAGTGCGTATACAATCTCTAGGTACGGGATTCAGTGTGACGCAGTACAGTCCACTGGACTATAATATGAATGAAATCTAGGGCTAACAAAATCATACTACAGTGCTGCACTCCAGCCCCTAACCGGAAAGTTCTACACCTACTTCTCATCAAAGTGGACTTTCCTCTCTTTTTTCGGTGTATTTGAAATAGGCTCTCTCATCTGCGGAGTCGCAGGCTCATCCAGTATGCTTATTGTCGGCCGCGCGGTAGCTGGGATGGGCTCGTCGGGCATGCTGAATGGGGCGCTGAATATCCTGGCCGGTGCAGTGCCGATCGAGAAGCGGCCAGCAATGATTGGGATTATAATGGGAGGTATGTGCCATCCATCTGGAGTATCCTCCTGACCATGTCCTGGAAGGCTAACTGCTCACATTGTAGTCGGTCAGTTAGGGCTGGTAGGGGGACCACTTATTGGCGGTGCCTTTACGACCTACTCGAGTTGGCGATGGTGTAAGGATCCCAGCCCAGCTGAAGGAATTCTTTCCTTTGCCGAACCCATTACTAATGCGTTACACTCAGGCTTCTACATGAACCTCCCCATTGGTGCATTAGTGGGCGCCCTACTCCTTTTCACGCGCATCCCGGACCAAAGACCCAAACAGCCCCCGCGAGAAGTATTTCGTACAGGCATTCTGCTGCGAAAACTCGACTTGTTTGGGTTTGTGCTGTTTTCTCCGGCCTCAATAATGCTCCTTTTGGCCCTCCAATACGGCGGTAATGGCAGTTACCCGTGGGACAGTGCAACTGTCATTGGACTATTCTGCGGATCCGCTGCAACCTTTGTCCTCTTCGCTCTCTGGGAACGGCATATGGGCGTTGATGCGATGGTCCCCGGCCATCTAATAGGCGACCGCATCATCTTGTGTGCCAGTCTGCTCTCGATGATGATCTTCGGTTTCACGATGACCCTTTCCTACTACCTTCCCATCTACTTCCAGTCCGTGAGGGATGATTCAGCCCTCATCAGCGGCGTCAACCTGCTGCCCAATATACTGTGCCAACTGGTTATGGCTGTGGTATCGGGGTTATTAAGTGAGTTGTCCCCTTTCACCATTCGTTCTCGAGCAACCGAAGTCAAGTCAATCTAATAAGCTTGCACATATAGCCTCGAAGCTGGGCTACTATGCTCCATGGGCTGTCTTAGGAGCCATGCTAAACGCCGTGGGTAATGGCCTCCTCTCGACTCTATCTCCCAGCACGTCAGTGCCCGCCTGGGCCGGCTACCAAGCACTAGTAGGCCTCGGCCGGGGCGCCATCTCGCAAGTGGTGAGTTCGCGATAACCCCTTCCTTTTCCCTCCGCTCTTCAAAATCTATAACAAGACTAACACACACAAGCCCATGATCGCCATCCAAAACGCCCCAGCCGCCAAAGCCGACGACATCTCCACGGCAATGGCAATAATGACCTGCGCCCAGACATTCGGCGGCGCAATCTTCCTGGCCGTTGGGGAGGTGATTTTTGCACAGGCTCTGAGGGCAAAGATCCCCGGGTATGCGCCCTCTGTGGACGTCGAGGCCGTCATTGAGGCTGGGGCCACGGGGTTCCGGGATGTGGTGACGGCGCAGGAGCTGCGCGGTGTTTTGATGGCTTATGCGGGGAGTATAGACCGGGTGTTTTATTTGAATGTGGCGCTGTCGTGTGTGCAGTTTGTGCTTTCTTGGGGGGTTGGATGGCGGAGTGTGAAGAGGAAGGGCGACGAGGGGGGAGCGGGGGAGGTTGAGAAGCAAAAGCAGAATGAAGAGGTATAGGGAGGGAACGAGTGGGCATCGAAACTCTTGGTTAGAGTGAGGATAGGTTGGTTCGGTCTTCACCTTTGAGCAATTGACTTGATGCTAAGCAGGGGATAGACCGGAATTCTGAATAGATTGGATTTTCAGGGAATCGCACCTAACTAAGGCGCCAAAGCGACTGCTGCCACTACTGTCAGACTTGGAATAAATGATTCCTCCACATTTGTGCAGCTTCATCACCTCCACACATAAGCCAAGATTGTCGGTTCCGATATACCTCCCAGCTGTACCTAGGCTGGCCCAATTGCCTAGCAAAACAAGGTGGCGACATCAGGTAGCGATTCAGATTCCTAGTCCTAGAGCAGATTAAACATCACACCCATCTTCAAATACCTCAGCCATCTACTGATATAGAGGCGGCGTGGGTTTGTTTGCTGGACGGTGCATGCCAAGTGTGCACCACAGTGATTGACCGACATATTAACGCTGTCAGTCCTACTGCTATCAAGATACAAGTATGTTCTACCTAGATAAGTACCATATAGTCAAGCAAGTATGATTCAGTCGACCATTGCCAGCCGCTGGCGTGGTCCTCCCAAGCCCATTTTTCACACGCCTTTACCATCAAGAGGAAGAGTATTCATCCTCTCCAGCCCACAATCTGCAACGGGCTGTAAAAGCCACGCCGGTGTTAGAGGAATTGCTTGGGCGTCCTAGAGAGCTTCAGAGATCTGCACGTTCATACTGTGCCGAGAGCCGAGCTCCAACAATGTTATTCCTGCACGGTGAAAGACAGTTGACACGGCACTTGGTCTGCATTTCAAAGAGTACTTCTTGCAGGAGTCATGAAAATATTTCACACATTCTTATGAGCAGAGTCCTCTTCTACTGCTCTATCATTCAACCGTGATAAAGGAAGAAGCGCGATCTTGAGCGACAGCTTGGTTGAAGTGCCAACATCTGGCCCTCGAAGTGCCTCGCCTAGACGTCTAAACGTAGGCTTGCTCCGACGCGAAACCGACACGATTGAATCCCAGAGCTTGCCCAGGAGATAGAAGTGATATATAACCCCGTAGAGTAGAGACGCCGTTATGACGAGTGCCACGGCAGCTGTGAGAATCATCCAGCCTACGACTGCGTGGCTCGGAATGCCGTTCATGCTAAAGATACTGACGGCCAGCCCAGCCGGGAGGAAGAACATGGTGACGTAGGTGAATAGGGTGATATTCTCTGCTTGTCGTAGGGATTTCTTGGACCGGATCGCTTCTTGTGCGCTCGTGACCCGGCCAAGAAGGAACTCGATGTGGATTTCCTTGGCCCGCACATCGCGAACGTGGCCCTCAAGAACGACTCGTCGCTGCTTTATTGGCTTTCTGTATTTTTGCTCGTCGCTTCGAGTCCACCGCGGCCGTTCTCTGCCCTGAGAGCTCTCGCGCACGTTCCACTGGTCTATAACTTCTCGCAGACTGATCAGGTTCTTCTTCAGAAGTAGCAGGACCCTCTCGCATTCTCTTAGGTTCTCGGGGCTTCGGTCTTCAAGGTTGTCGTATGCGTCCTCATAAGCCGAGTTCTGCTTCGAGGTTGGCTTGCTTTCGACCTCATCGAGGACCTCTTCAGTGCTAGTACAGGCCTTCTGGAGTATGCGACTGAGAAGAATAAGTTCAAGTACCTTTCTCTGCTGCCAATCGTCGCTTTCCCTATATACGGAGCGCGTATCGTAGTCCATATCGTTGCCAATATCGTTGTCGATATAATGGCACGTCCAGTACCTGTCAAAGAAGTCCCCGACTATGCGGAACCCACTGAATGTACTAGTGAGGCAAATCGAGCAGCCCGAGGGCTTGAGCTTCCCAAACATCGCTGTTACCTGACCGGGGGCTTTCTGGCCGCTTTCCCATTTGTGGAAGAACTGTAAATACACCTCGGTAACCCAAAGATTGAGCGCCACTGCCGTATCGTCGTATAGATATGGCTTGGATTTCCCTTGGCGATCGAAGAATTGAGCCAGGTTCAGTCTTTCGGACTCCGGTGATGTGATGCAGCAAATCATGGCTCTGACCGGATCGATAGACCTCAGATAGATGAACCGTTTCTTTGCCTGCAATGCATGACGCGGCTTCTCAAGGCAGTCCCACAAGTCCTTGAAGCTCCGGGTTTCAAGTTTTGTGGTCTTCGGAAGCCCTCCTCTTTTGTGCTGCTTGCCACTTTTGCGAACGTCTTCGACGAAGGTATACCGTTCTCGAAGCTTGAATTCATTCTCCATTTGCTTGACAATGTTGCCAGGGTTGCTGTGCTTGCTTCCTAGGAGGAGCTGCCCATTCTTTATGATCGATTCAGCTTCACTCAATTTAGGCGGTTCAAAATCGAGAAAGTCCGGATACTTATAAAGCCATTCCTCTGGTACGTCAACAATGTTGCTGAGATCAACCAGTTTGCCGTGAGGGTTTTGCCGCTTTAGACTCCTCTGAACCAGCACTGCTACACGTTCTGCATGGACGGCAGGGTCATCTGTCTCTGAGATGATGGCCCTCCCAATTACCTTCGGTAGGTCGGTAGATTTCTTCTTGGAGAGCGATCCGTACTGCTCACTGGCAGAAGCATCGCCTGTGGAGTCATCCGTACTCAGTTCCTCCAACGGGTTTCCATGGTGAGCAGCGCTAGAGACCAAAAGCAAGATATACGGTATTTCAAACCCACAATGGAAATAGAAGTCGCGATAGAGCTCTCTATCGAATAGATCTGGCTCCTTTGTGGCCGGATTCAAACTGCCGGGATACAGACCATTCTCAGAAGAGGAGTTCTGAATGATCGCCATGGCGTGGGAAGCCATGTCATCTGGTTCAAAGTCACGATCCAGCTGATGGTTTGAATGGGCCATGAGAAGAGCCAAAGCGTAACGTAGCGGATTGTCCCATCCAGACTCATCGATTCCTTCTTCATCATGCTGTATCTGCGCTTTGACGAGCTGTTCGAACAGATAGGATTGGTCCTTCGAAATAAAACCCCATGTTTGTCCATAATATAGCACCGTATCCCTAGAATGGAAGAGGAAGCGTGTTTCTCGAGCCGTCCGAGCGACGCTGAGCATTCGTTTCTTAAGGACGTCATTTTCAAGTGTGAAGCGTCGTATGTTTTGCTTCCTCATATCTTCCACCGTAAAGTCCAGCGCCTGGATTGACGAAGGCCGTCGCCTACCCAAGGTTGGGAATAGGGCTGTTACATCCCTTAGGAACTTGTCCAAAACGCCTGTAGGGGAAGGCTCCGATGCTTTAAGAGTCATCTGTTGCCGCGAAGTCTCTATCTCCTGTTGGGTCTTTTCCTTTTCTTCCTGCACTCTTCGAATCAATTCCTGGATATCGTGCAGGGCTTTCCAGATCCAAGCATGGTCGCTTAGACGGTAGACCGGGATGTCCGATAGATCTTGCAAATGTTCCCAAGTGGGCGAGAGCCGGTTCCTTGTGAGACGAAGGTGTTTGACCCACTCCTCAATGAAGCGTGGCAACCAACGGCAAACAAAGATCAACTCCTCCCGATCCGTGAACACCCTCAGGTACTCGGTAGCCTTGAGGATCTGGTAAGGCATATTGGTAGGATTGTCATGGGGCAAAGAAGCGTCGAGGCTGTTGGAGATTCTCCTTCCGTCGGCCCAGAGGTTAGAGGAAAGAGCGGCCCTGGGCCTAAGGCGAGATACCCATTCCAGATGGCCCCTGCAAGTCGCATGGATGCGCCGCTGCGAGTCTTGAGCCTGATCGTACTCACTTCCACGCATGGCTCGCTGTTTGTACAATCCGGCTTGCTGGTGCATATTCAGCATGAACATGAATGCAAAGCTGGCGCCAAGGCGTCAGTAAAATATCCTGAGTGGTGTATGATGGTTAAACTTACTAGCTGCCCGATATGCACACTCGATGATCGCTGAAGTCTCCGCATGTAAGGCTGATAACACACGGAGAGGAAACCTCTTCTACAAGGTTGGGTGGCTCCCTTGGTGCGTTCCCTCGATGTTTTCGTGGCTCGTCTACTTTGCGTATCTCGAACGTATACGAGTTTGTCTCCTGGAGGGAGTATCTGTCCCCCTCCGGCGTGTCTAGAATGATCCGAGGACCCTCATCGTTCCCATCGGATCCCCATACTCCGGACGCAGCATCATCTATTTCTCGATCATTCGGGGGCTCGTCGGCTTCTCTTAGCTCGAGCCTATCTGAGTCTGGACCCTGGACTGAGTAACTATTCCCCTCGGGCGTTTCTAGAGTTAGCTGAGGACCCTCATTGTGCTCGGCGAACCCCGGTTTTGAGGGAGCGACATCATCATCCACAGAGTTTAAAGGGGTTTTCGATTCTTGATGCATGTGGTCGGGGATTATATGGATGCTGCAGACGCCCAATATATGCTCAAGGTTGCGACGGAGAGACCAACGCGCGTGCGCTTGTTTAGCACGCGGCCACTCCCAGTTGGTGATTTGCGCCGGGATCGCATGAAATAGTCGTTTCACTTCATTGACCGATATGATGAAATTGTCCCATCGCTTACCTGTGGCTCGGCATTGGATCTTAAAAACGGTGACGTATTCCACTGTGCTTTTGGACGCCATATCATGTTTTACTTGTTGCTTAGAATCGCCCTTCAGCTCTTGCGCAACACGGTTCTTGAAAAGACCCACGACGACATATAGTGGTGGGCCAGTTGCAGTTGGCGGACATTTTGGCACAAAAACAAGACTACAGTCATGAGGTCCGCGCAAGCACTCACTGGAGAGGACAAGCTCGCTCGATGTATAATCGAGATCTCGCAGGACGAGTCTCGGATTGAACTCCAAACTTAGCACTTGCGGCAACGGAGTCTCGTTAGTGATGCGCATGCGCTGCACCACCATATGATTGCGGCACAGGAGATCTACCTTGAAGGCAAGAGCATTGTTGATAGTATATTCAATCCGCGGCCACTTGTCACCCAAGAATGTCAAGGATGGGGGTGTTGAGTCTTCTACAGGATGCTCCCCGTTGATCCGTTCGACTCGCATCCCAAACCCTTCGCCAGGCAATTGTGCCCTGCTAACCAGGTCGTCGGCGCGAGCAACCATGCAATATGGGGGCAGCGCTTGGGCTTCGTCCAGTGCGATCATGTTGGAACCCAAGCCCGGTTGTTCAACGTGTTGACTAATCCGAAGGATAGATCCGAATGCGCCGCTCGTGGCGGTGATTGTTCCATCTCCAAACGATACGTACGGCGCATGTCGCCGGGGTGCATTCGTTCGATCTTGAGGATCCGGGCGCGCCTCGTGCTCTTCTGGTCCACTCGACGGTGGTGGTGGAACTGCAAGCTCGGTTAGGGCAACCATCCATATCTATCCTCAGCCATCTTCGATATGTAAACTCACGAATCAGAGCCCTCTGAAACGCCGGATCGGAGAACCTGGGTAATCCGTCGAACTGGAGCTCCGGCATGGTATGTCGATTTTGGATTAGACGCGATGCACTTTCCTCCAGGTGAGAGGGGCAAGGCTCTGATAAATGACTGCAGTTCGGCTCAGCCGCGTGTGGCACCCCCCCAAAAGGCGTTGTTCATCCTTCGACCCCTGCTAGTGCAGTGTTTTGTAGCGAACAGTGGATGCGATTGGTTGTAGACCCTCGGGTAGGTAGACCGGACTGTGGTAGACGCATGCTTGCTTTTTGCAGCACTTAAGCGCCGGAGATATAGCCTTCCAGGTCGGTAAGGGTAGCCGCCATTTATCATTCGATGTGCCGCGATCATTATCTGTCAGGCTCTCCATAGTGAAATGCACATAAAGAGGACTTCGCTAGAGTTGGTATTGAGTGAGAGGAGGGGCCATCAAGCTGGTGAAGCTGACCGATCGGGGTAGAGCCGTGGCTATTCTTGGTCCGGTAACAACGATTATTGCGTTATTGTCGCCGCTCGTGGCCTCAGCTTTGCTTGCAGTAACTAAGACCAGGATTTTCAAGAGACGATTCAGTGGTAAGTACGGAGTACGGAGTATTGATGGCTTGTTGACGATGAGATTGAAAGTGGGAGGCAGCAAGCTGCGCTCGGACCTCAAACCCGGGGAGGACAGCACGTGACCACAGCATCTCCTCTTGTAGAAGACAGCCATCTCTTCTCTCGTCTCTCCCATACTCCTGTGCTTACTTTTACACCCGTGCAACTCAGACACGTCAAAACCGAAGGTAACCAGAACAGCGGAGCCGAAAGTACCTCTACCGAAACAAACAGTAACCGGGACGGTCCAACACAATATACAACCTCCCCTGTTTGCCTAAACGGCGCGGTAGGAGAGGGTATCGCCAACAAGACCATGGCTTTCTACCACTGGCTATATCTTTCCCCGAGGCCGCAGTTCATTGATAAACTCGTTCGGATCCTCGCGATTTCGCCGCCAGAGTATCGGACCGCTGCGAAGAAAGCACCACGAAGCCGGCAGTGTCTTCTAACCAAAGCTTGAGCATCGAGATGCGGGCAAAGTACACACGATACTTGGTCTTGAAGATTATCTGAAGCACGCTTGAGTGCTAGCCTCTTCTGAGGTGCGCTCGATGCCAAAGCATACCTGTAGGTCAAGACAAGGACGACTTCAGCTCACAGTTCGATCTAACTTGCGCCATAGAGAAGATATGCTCAGCGAGTACGACTTCTTGATCCAGGACGGGCCAAGGCAAGAGTCAACGCCATTCTCTTGTCAGCAATCGCATAGAGGACGCGCGAGAAGTCCGGTCAACATGAAGCTGTTAACAATGCACAAGATGCGGACACTTACGCGCCACTGCACTTCCAATGCCGCGCCGCAAATTCCACGGCAAGGTGAGATATTTGTCTGCCTGTTTCTTCAATTAATCTGACTGATTCGAGTTGGCATGGCACTACCTGTACTTCAACAGTCATGGCCACGAGGAACAAATTATCTCCCAAATGCACAATATCATATACCATGCTGCTAAGCTTTTTTAGGTCCGACCAAATCTATCAAGAGCTTTTGAGACGACGGCAATGATCAATCTAATGGGTAGGGATCTCGGAGATAAGGGGTGGTCTATGATGGGTGATTGGATATAGTTCGTATTCGTATTCGGCATTGGGCCACTAACTGACCATCAACAGAAGTTCGTATTTCTGGATTGCCCGTGCTTGAAGATCTGTTTGCTGATTGAACCCAGATAGACCCAGGTAGACGCGAGACAAGACGCATCACGAGCCTCAGCAAACTTCTACGGAGTACTTCGCATGTCTCCGCTTTCAGGGCTGCTCAGATCAGGCGCTAGTTGGCTGAGTACGTATCTCCATGACGACGCTATACCCACTCTGAGCCGGCTTTGCGAGATAATTCGTTTAGCGTCAGTGCTTGATGCTTTTATTTCCGACTATTCCCACGACACGAACACCACATACGCAATTCATGTCGTCTCAGCCCTGTGCCGAAAAAGCCGGGCCTTGCGCTCCTCGGAGTTTTATCATGTCGCTTCTGCCTCTATTCTGCGAGAATTTCTTAGCCCTGCGGCAGAGATTTTGCTAAAAATGGTCCGTCGCTTTATCTGGGAATGCTGGACTGCTGCACTACTCGCATCAACGGCGAGGGGAGACTATGTGTCGACCAACTACGATAGCTACAACGATGGGAATCTCGGTCATCGCCCTCATCTGGAGTTTCAAACAAGCAGCGAATACGCACCTCTTCTCCAAGTGAACATCTGGAAACCCGACGCAATCTCGCAGACAGGCTCGCATATCTTCCTCCGCCACGATGGCAACAACTCTTCACCACTCTCCTCTCCACTGATACTAGACGCGCACGATCTGAGCGCCGTGTACATGAACCGGACGTTTAACAATGTCTTTGGCACCCGGGTACAGGAGAATTTTGGCAAGAAGTATCTGACCTTCTGGGCGGGCGATAAGGGTAACGGGATAGGCGATGGGTATGGCCTTGCGTACGATGACACTTACCGGCTAGTCTACAAGATCTCGGCGCAAAATATAAACGTGCATGCCGACCTACATGAGTTTGCGTTTACGGGAAATGGAACGGCGCTGGTTACAGGCGTTAACCACATCCGTGTGCGTGGAAATGTTTTGAGCGAGAAGCACGGATGGAACTATGTCTTGCCCGACGACCTTGAGCTTGACATTCTTGACGGAGTCTTCCAGGAGATCGATCTCGAGACAAACGAGGTGCTCTTTGACTGGCGGGCGTTGGATCACGTCAATCCGCTGGACTCATTTGAGCCAATGGGAAGTGGTTGGGATGCATACCATATCAACAGTATCCAGAAGGTATTGTTCTCACTCCTCAACTAACTCGAACGAAGGAGACAATCTGACATCCCCAGACCCAAGCAGGAAACTACATCATCTCCATCCGTCACACTCACTCTATCTACCTCATCGACGGCCGCACCGGCAGCATAATCTGGACCCTCGGCGGCCGACGCAACAACTTCATCGAACAGCCAGTTTCAACTTCAATCAAACCATCCCTCCTCACAATGTCCTGGCAACACCACGCGCGCTTCGTCCCCGGCACAAACGAAACCCAACTAACCTTCTTCGACAACCACGCCAAAATCACAACCCACGGCGAGTGCAGCACAAACTGCTCGCGCGGGCTACACATCGCCATCAACACAACCGCCACGCCGCCAAACGCGCAATTATTGCAGCAATTCACGCACCCGGCGAACCTACAGGCTCAAAGTCAAGGGAGCGTGCAGCCGCTTGATCCGTCATCATCAGATCTAGGAAACGTCTTCATTGGCTGGGGGCGATGTCCAACATTTACAGAGCACAGCGCGTCCGGGGAGACGGTGCTGGATGTACAGTTCTCGCCGTGGCATAGCGACGATATCCCCGATGCGCTGGATAACTACCGAGCGTATAAGATGGATTGGGTGGCGTCGCCGTGGTGGGATCCTGCTATTGCAGTGAGGAAGGATACCAATGGGACGCTGGCCGCGTATGTGAGCTGGAATGGGGCGACGGAGGTGCGCAGCTGGACTATTCGCGGCTCGGATGAGAACGGCGTTACCAAAGAAGACGGCAAGAGTGTGTTGCTGGCGACGTCGAGGCGAGCGGGGTTCGAAACCAGGTTGACCATCTCTCCTGATGAATACAAGACCGACTATCGGTATATCTGGGCTGAAGCGCTCAATGCAAGCGGGAATATCCTCCGATCAAGCAAAGTCGTGGACCTGGATGCGGCGGATCTACCAAACGATTCCCATTCCGCAGCGGTATACGCGGACCTCGGACTTTCGTCAACCTTCTCACTCTCAGATACCATAGCAAAATCCAACAACGCCACAACCTCCGCGAGCTACAATACCACCGCCGCTGGCCAATCCGCACCCCAAGGCCACGTGCGCGGCTTATCAAAGGCAGCAGCAGCATTGCTAGGCACCGGGGCTAGCGTCCTGGCGCTGACGATCGTATCCGCCCTCGTGGTTTACATCCGCCGCCGGCGACGCCAGCAGCAGCGGGATGGCGGCTATGACAGCTTACCGCTGAAAGCATCTGATTTCGAGTTGGGGTCTGATGTGGACGAGGATGAGGATCGCCGGGACGATGATGCTGCCGCTGACGGGGTGACCAAGTGCCCGAGGGCTGGCGAGGAGGATAAGCAGGCTTTGCTTTCCAAACCGGGTTGATGATTGACCAGTGAATTCGCTTTGCCCTTAGGAGACAAATCTCGTTACCGATAAATATGAACCCGTAATCAACTTTTCTTATACCTGGTCTACCCGTTCTTCCTTGTACATGCAAGGTCACTCCATTGAACCCATACGCGCGATTAGACCCCTCGCAGAAACAAGATAGCATCCCCCGTAAAACATGCTGGGTTGGCGTTAAACAGCTTAACTGCATGTTCAACCAGGTACGCCGCAAGATCGTAGACATCTTCATGCGCATGTCCTGTTGGCTGCTGTAATATTCTCCTCTTTTGGATTTCTCTGGAGGGACTTGAGCAATAATAGTCACCACTATACTATTGCTTGACTCACTCACGCTTATTTTCAAGTATTAAGGGCTCCATACAAATTCTCGCCTCGATTTACGGTTCGTGATGGTTGGACAGGTCGGCCAGAGTGGACGACGGAATATATTCTGTACAGGTAGTTACCATCCCTGTTCTTATGTGGAGATTATACCGGTAAGACGAGTCTTGTTGAACGACGGCCATATTGGAAATCCGTCTCCTTCACTACAACTAAGCGTTCTACAATCAGCGGCTAAGGAGAAAAGACCAATACACAGAGACGAGACTGAATCCTCTTCATAATCCACTCCTATTGAAGCCTTCCTAAGTGTTTTCTATGATCATTTTCAACTCTATGACATGTTTCTTCGTCTAGGTCTATAAATTCGCAATTTAAGCACCCCCCAAAACCAAAAGACTCTGTATCTTGACCCTCCCAAAGCCCCGCCGACGCAACAGTGCCCGGCCCCGATGAACAGGAAACTCAGCGACAACCAAGACGCTGACACTCCCTGCATCAACCCCAGACTCCTTTAGCAGCTGCAAGACAGCACAAAGCGTCTCGCCCGTGGCAAGGACATCGTCCACCACCACGACCGCGCCACCGCGAGGTATCAAATCGCTTTCCATCTCAAGCTCAAGTCTCCTCTCATCCTTTGGATGGCTAGGCATTGACGAGATCGAAATATGCGATGTTGGCTTTGGCACCGAGACAACGGGCGGAGGAAGTTTGCCTGCCTCGCGGATCAGCGCCAGCGGAACATTAACCAGCTGGGATAAAGCAGCTGCGAAGATCAACCCGCCGACCTGGCAGCATGCGATAATATCGATCGTGGCCCAGTCGCCGGTGAAATGGGATTGCAGGGCCGATGCACATAGGGCTAGTCCGCCTGGGTGCTGGGCTATGTTCAACACGTGGGCGAAATCGATGCCTGGCCTTGGGAAGTTGGGGATGCGGCGGGCCATGCTCGCTAGGCGTTGGAGATCCGGGTGGAAGAAGGGGATGAGGGAGTCTTTGGCGAAGGCCATTGCGGCCTCGGGTCCATCGGTGGCATTGTGGAAGGTGAGACTGGGTTGATAGGCCTCCAGCTTACCGGCAATGTTGCCATTTCCAGCCTTGTCATCTCCAGCTCCATTGTAGCCTCGACGAGCCCGCCGCGTTTCCTCGGCAGTAGTAACTTGAATCTCGAGTAGTCTACTGTCCGAGACCCAGTGGGAGAGAGACGCAACCGGCGCTTCATCCCGCATCCCGGTTATGATTAGGACATCCACTTCCGCTGCGTCGAACGCAACCTTCAGAAAATGGTCCTCCGGCAGTCGAGGGCGATGCCGCACCTGGTTCTGGAAAAATGCAGTCAGTGCCGGCCTATGCTCCTCTTTATAAGCCCGGTCCCGAAGTAGTTTGTTCAAGTCGGCCCCGGTAGCTGTTGCATATTCACGTTTCGTGACATCGCTTATGCTGATTGATCTTGCGCTTATACCCTTCAGCCTAAATGCGGAGACCCAGATGTCCGCGCAATAGTCCTTGCCAACACCACTTTGACCCGTGACTAGAACGATAAGCTTTTGTCTCGGAGATTTCTGGAGCGGAAATGCATAAGCCAACACGTTATGCGGGTCAAACTTGCGCTTGAGGTACGCCAGGCGAGGCAGGCTCGGCCCAAAGGCCCGCGCGGCCAGCGGCGTGTCTCTAGGGTCAGGCCCGAGGTCTGCGCCGTATACCCCGCTGCTCAAGGGCAACAGGTCTCGGGCAACGTTGTAAACCCATTGCACGGCCGCTTGGGCGATCTCGGTTCCGTCCTGGCTGCGCGGCCATACTCCGGTAATCACGCAGGCGAAGTCCCAATCTCGACAGGAAAAAGCAGCAGCATCAGGTGCGGCATCACGGACTGCTTCGCCGCCTTGCAAAAGATGGACGTAAGAGAGCTTTGAGGGAGCGGCATCAACAGCTGCGGTCAGGATGCTAGCGATGCTCGGGTCTGCAATATGTTTTAGGAATACACAGCGCTTGAAGGAGGAGGTCTTGCCGCCGCTGTGCCCGCCGTGCATGCTGGAAATGTACATTTCAGATTCGAACAGGCCGGGACCGTCCACGGCCTTGGAGTCATTTTCAGGGCCCAGGCACCTGAACTCAGGGGCAGTAGTAGGTGTGAGAACGGTTCCGGGGATGGAACATTCAAAGGTGCTGACGCCAAGATGCAGTTGGCCGTTCTCGCAGTATAGATATGCGTCCGCAGAACAATGGCGAGGGAGGCTGCGCGCAACAAAACGATCAAAATCGGAAAGCTTGGTTTGAGCTTCGTGCGTATTGTTGAACGGGAGTACCCAACGCCGAGTCAAGAAGGTCGGAGCCATATGGGTCTTGAAAGTCACACTGATCACTATACCAACGTTCGTCCCGGTGCCTTTGATTGCCCACAGTAAATCGGTTTCGTTGTCCGGGCGTATGGCACCAGCTGGGCAGTGCTGACTGGGCACACGTCCAACACAGAGGACCTGGCTGGTTGCAACGCTGACAACAACAGCGCCAATGATACTATCGCATGCAAGTCCGTAAAGCCTGGCCAGATGCCCGATGCCGCCTTGTAGCCACAGCCCTGCGCCAACGCTCGGTCGCGAGCCCAAGGGTACAGTCACGCCCGCCTCCATGGTCTTGCGGATGATGTCCCCCGTCTTGCACCCGGCTTCCACAACGACCAAGCGACCATCTGACCCAGCGTCTTGTTCTTGTTTGTCTTTCTTAGCCGTGATGATATGTACTCCGTCAAAAGCGCCCATGTCAATCGAGACAACGTTCGGCACCACACAGTGACCGCTGTGGCCTCCGCCAATGACCGTCAGGCTGACCCCGTGCTTCAAAGCCCACCTCACACACTCCTGGACGTGCCGTATCTCCTTCGGCCTCACAATCGCGGCGGGATGGCAGCGGGAAGCCTCCCTATTCTTAATCGCTTTGTCGCCTTCCAGCAATGACACCTTGGAGGTTAGCTCTGGTAGTGCTATGGCATGTTGGGTGAAAGCCACCATAGCCTCAGGAGCACTGAATAAGAGATGACCTGCATGTGTTCCTGTGGCCTCTAGCCGACCCAACGCACGGCACACCTTCCGCCATTCCGCTCGAAGAATCTCATCCACTCCAAAATCTTGCACGGCAAACCCCGCGATGAAACAGGCAAAACTGTCAAGGTCCTCGTCGTTATCAAGCACGCTAACAAGTCCCGTAGGAAAGGAAGCCGTTCGCTGGCACACCAAAGCATCCAGACGCAGGGAGCCAGCGCGATGGAAAACCACCACCATTGCACCCCCAGGCCGCTCAACAAGCATTCCCAACGCCCGCTTGACGAAGCCCGCTTTGGGTTTCATGCCGTACATGCTGTGGCAGAAAAGGATGATGTCGAACCTGTCCTGGCCAATGCCGGTATGTGCTGTATTTCCGTCAAGAACGAACGGGGCGCGGTAGACGTTGACATTTGACGGGCGTTTGGCGCAGGGTAGCACGGCCTCGGCGTCCTCTGAAGATGACAAGAGCGATTTTTCCAGCCTTGCAGCAAACAAGGTATTCGGCTCCAATGCAGCATATTTCGTGATCTTCTGTCGTAAAGTCTGGGATAGATATCCCAGCACGCTCTTCGGACCCGGCCCAATCTCCAACACCGATACACTATCACGCGAGTCGAACAAGGGAGAAAGCAACTCGGCTAGCTGGGGGATAATAAAGTCTCGGTATGTTGTCCATCCTTCGCCTTGTGTTAGGATTTCAAAGCCAGTGCTGTACTGTGTGTCAAATAAAGGCTGCTTTGGGGACGCCGGTGCTATTGCTGTGGCCTTTTTCCTGAGAGCTTGCTTGAGAGTGTCCAGGGACGCCATGATAGTTAAGAAGGGTCTGTGTCAAGAGAGGGAGAAAGGGAGAGTGGTGATGGAGAGGTGGACGTTGACTGCGTAGAGACAAACAGGCGATTGTGGGGTAACACATGACGGTTGGCCTGGCTATGAGATTGCCAGTTAGACTGACCTTGTATGGATAAATGAATAGGAGTTGATGCTGCTCTGCATTGGCTCAGTCATTTCCAACACTGCGCTCAGGTCTGCTTCCAAGTTCTCTTCTACCTGCTGTTTTTACCAAAGCTCAAACCACTATCTATTTATCCAAGACTAGTAATTCTACCTACCGGGGATGATATCGCACACGAACATTCTTTCTTTCCATGCAGGTCACTCCTTGTTAAACCCATACGCCCGATGAATCCCTCGCAGAAAACCAATTGCATCCCCGAATGCCTTTGTCCGCGTTTTAACGTCAATCGCTGCAGAGGGCACTACCCACATATCAAGTATCAGCACCGAGTAAACCAGGGAGAGACAAGAGCAGGAAAGACTTACTCTCCAACCACCCATGGATCTGCCCCGCAAACACCTCCGTCCTCACAACGACCTTCTTCCCATCCGGACACTTACCGGTATCCCGTTCCTCACTCCAGCTCCCACGGGAACGCTCAACCACCCCGTTCTCCAGATTGACCCTTTCTGCCTCGTACTGTAGTCGTTCCGTCATGGTAACTGTTTCGTCATGCAAGATGTCTTTCTCTCCCACAATGAATAGCATATTCTGCGGTAGGGTCCGGATATCCGCTAAGGTGGGATGAAGGAGCGGATTGCTGATATCCCTCGCCCGATTCGGGCCCGCGTACGTATCAAATAGAGGCTGGAGAAAGGAGAGAGGGTCTTTCTCGGGAAATCCCTTGGGTATGGGTTTATCCCAGGGTGGGATGCGGAAGTCGACCTATTCTCGTTACCGAACGTACATTGTGTGTACACGTAGGGGGAGATGAGAAGGGGGAGGAATTGACATACAACCCCATAAAAGACCACGCTCCCTCGAACCGCAACGTCCATGTTCATGCACCCCTGCGAAATACCCAACGCCAGATTCCCGCCGGCAGAGAACCCACTCACCGTGAAACAGGCTGGGTCGGCGTTGAAAAGCTCGACTGCATGGTGCACCAGGTACTCCGCAACATCCTGGACATCCTCATGTGCATCGGGGAAGGTATGCACGGGTGCATACCGATAGGTCGTGGAGACAACAACAGCACCTGCCTCCTGCGCCAGCTGTCGGCAGAACCGGGCGTTTCCTTCGGGTAAGCCGCCGAGGAATGCGCCGCCGTGGATGTTGAGGTGTAGTGGCCTCAATATTGCCTTCCCTGTTCCTGTTTCCTGTGGGGAAGGGGGTTGGGGCGAGGGGAGGTAAACGAGTGCGCGCACGGTGTGGCCCGGGACGCGTTTCAGCGGGATCCGGATCTCGTGGCTATGTGGGAATCTGCGCGCGCGGAGCCATTCGATTGTGTATGTTAGTAGGGAGATGGGCTGCAGGAGGAGGAGGTAAAGGCGGGTGGAGAGGGGGAGGGAGGGGGCGAAGAGGGCGTTGATAGAGATGCGGAGGGCTCGGAGTAGGAACATGTCGAGAGGTTGCGGTGTGGGAGGGTGAGGGGTGGAAGTGGACATCATCTTCTCTATCTATTTATCAATGACTCACATGAGACTGAATACGAGCGCTGCAGCACTTGGAAGCCTTGTCTCCCTCCTTGGCATGCTCAGGGCAGCTTGGCTCAGTCATTTCCAAGACTGCATTCTCTCTCGTCTGCACAACGTTGTGATGTGAGTTCTTGTTCACCTTCGAGTTCCATCAGGCCACTCTTTCTCTGCTTCAAAGGCCGCTTCAAAGGCCTCTTCACCGACGCCCTCGACACCAGCAACGAGCCCGAGCTTGATCTCCTCTATAATATCCCCTGGTCCGCCGTCAAATCACCTCACTTGACATTCAAGCGTTCATGCGGCGACCTCACCGCGCAATCAACACCCGGCCGGATCACTGCACCTCGTCCGCATCACGCCGACTACAAGGTCAACGAGCGGAGAAGGACGCTGGTCGTGCAACGGTGCTCAAAGACCCTCTGCACAGGCGAATCGATTCCGATATCAAGAATCTACCTAGCAAGCTGCGTCAGGTTTCTGAAAGAAAGCTTACGTAGGTAGATCAGATTGACCGTCTCGATATCTCGAGCTCATTCGTCCTCATCCGGACGTTTCTTGACAGCGCCAGTCTACAAATCAAACACCCACCCCGGTGCATCCACAAACTTCGACGCCATCTTCCTCAAGCTCTTATCGGGTAGCTTGAACTCATCCAATATCCCAGACACATCGAATTCACGGTAAACCTCCCCATCAACCAACATCCGAATCACCCGCAGGCGCTCATACACAAGCCTAGCAAAGCCCTCTCTATCTCTTCCAAAATGCAAGAGCACGTCGATCTCATCCGCAAGAAGCTCGGCCAGCCATTCAGGTCGGGTATTGTACTCCGTCAATGGGCGCTCGATCTCGGGGACCCCTCTCCGCGGACCATGGCCCTTGCGGTACCAGTCCCAGTCGCGGTACTCAATCTCTGCAGGTGGGAACTCGCCTCTCTGCAGCTTGGCCTCGCCAGACGTGAAGTTTAGGGTCAGAGTATCGACCTTGATGCCGTGATCAACAATGGGGCAGGGACTGGTATAACTGAACGTCCGCATATTCAACACCTGGCCGTCCGAGCCCTTCTTCTGGCCGACAGGCCCGTATCTCAGGAACCGCTCCAGCAGAGCCAAGAAGTCCCATTCGTAGCGGGAATGCCCGCCGTCGCCGCCTAGGCGCCAGCTGATATTCGGGTGGATGATTGTGCCGAAGAGCCGGACGTCGACATGGAGCTCGGCAATGTGCGTCGTGAGTTGCGGGACGCAAAGCCAGGTTGGGAAGACGTCGTTGTCGTTTTCGACGGTGATGTCAAGATGGTACGTTGCTGATCTGGATTCCTGGAGTGAGAGCATCGCTTTGGTCTCATCGTGGATTGTCTTGGAGGTTAGGAGGAGGGCAAGGCAGTTTGATGGGCTGTGGGTGGAACGGATCTCCTGGTAGGGCCGGGCCCGCCAGGCCATGTACCGCAGATCATTGAAGATCGATCTGTTCTCCTTGGAGGGGTATTCCGGTGCGGGGTAGCTGCTGAAGAGGACGTGCTCGATGACGAGGCTTCGGAGCTCTGGGGGCAACTGGAGGAAGGGGAACATCGTCGAGGATAGGATCCCTTCGTTCCGGTTAAGGTGCGGATTCTTTGACAGGGTTGCTGGGTGGGTTTGCTCAATAAGAAGCGTGGCATGGGTTAAAACCAAGACTTGATAAAGTGCAGGCCTTCATGAAATACCAACCTCGAAAGAGCCGGGGGACTCAACGGGATCACGGCACAGCCTCATCACAGAGTCAAGCTAACGCATAGTCCTTCAAATGACCCACATAGAACAACAGTAGACATTGCTGATTCGCTCGATACTACGGAGTACTTACAGGAACCGTTTGAGTCACAGTCAGGTTAGCAATTACATGCTGCTTGCAATAGACTCCCCAACATAACCCAGTCATGGATGGCTTGGCTGGGGGTTGTTCTCCTGCTGGGCAACCGGCGCGAGCCATATATCGAGTGTGGATCTTGGAGAGCCACGAATGAAGCTCGACCCTATCATGGCCAGGACTTGTTCCAGGAACCCTTCTACTCAGGCAGGCACACGAAGACGGTACAGCGTACTGACAAAGGAACGGTGTCTGTCACTGGAGAGCCTGTGCGCTCGCTGGGCCGACTCGCCGTTGATGGTAGGGTATAGTGAGTGAATTGCGGACTATGCGAAGGATGTTGAGTAGGTAGTATCCCACTCCGCTTGGTTGATGAGACTGCGACTGTCACTTGGGATGGCTTCATCGTTGTTGGCCCTGGTGGACGTTTCGGTCAAAAACGTTAGGCTTTCAACCGCGTAGATAGACAGTTTTCCGGCTGTTTGGTTGGTGTAACGAAACTTCAATTGCGAGACCTGATGAATCAGTCATCAAAGTATTATATAGTGTATTGTATTGTCGTGTTGGAATCTGTTGGTCCACCTTGCGGAAGAGGCGCTTGTGATATCTCCGTTGAAGGGTCCGATGGCGAAGTGCACATACAGTGGTAACTGCGATATCACGAGTTGTCCACAGAGACAACAGCATAGAGAGGTATTCTCACCCCCGGTTCCTGAGCATGTTGGCCACTTCCGTATGGCCGTATCTCTCAGCGACGTCAAGTGGCGACCTATCCTTCCAGTCTGTTATGCTTGAATCAGCACCTTTCTCCACGAGCAACCGCACGAGCTCTACATTCCCCACAGAGGCTGCCAAGTGCAGCGGTGTCCATGAGTCTTCTTTATCGTCCGTGGTGGAGGGGACGTCCACAAACGCGCCCTGACCAAGCAGTAAGCTAGCCACAGCCACATGTCCGCCTTTGATAGCGCAATATAACGCTGTCTGCCCGAAGTAGGACAAGACATGTGCTGAGGCACCATTTGCAAAGAGCAGCGCGACCATATCCTCATGCCCGTACAGTGCAGCCTCTGCAAGGGCGTGGTGCGTAAATGGAGGTGTTCCATTAACATCTGCACCTTTGTTGATGAGTATCTGCGCCACCTCTCTGTGCCCGTAACGCGCAGCCATTACCAGCGGCGGCCAGTAATCTTCTAACCCAAATGGCTGATTTGGCTGTGCCCCTGCATCGAGGAGCAGGCGAAGCGTGGGCACATCGCCGCCTCTTGCCGCAAAGTGTATGACTGTCCTCCCCCATCGGTCTTCTGCATTCACATCAAAGCCCACATCAATGAAGAGTTTTACAACCTCAGTATGCCCGCCTTCAGCAGCGCAATGTAACGCGGACCTGCTATCTGCCATTGTTAAGTGAGTGTCTGCATTTACCAACAGGGGCCCGGACCAAAGCACCTTGGCCGCCTTGTATTGACCAGTCTGGGCGACCCAGTGTAGTGGTGTGCCGTCCCTCCCACCTGCACTGTTGCGGTCTGCTTTGCTACTATCCTCCAGCAGCAGCTTAATCAGGCCTTGCTCAGTGTCTAGTGCTGTGAGATTTAGTGGCGTCCAGGTAACAATGGCATCGGGGGAGATTTCGCGGGCGTCGGCACCATGCTGAACAAGTAGTTGAGATATGGAATTGTATCCCTGCAGCATCGCAAACTGCAGGGGCGTCCAGCCGTCTTTGTCTTTTAGATCAGCATGAGCACCATTACAAAGTAGCAGTTCCACCACTTCCTGCCACCCCATAATAGCTGCGAAGTGCAACGGCGTCCAGCCAATGTACTCATCGTGACTGTTCACCTCTGCACCATGTTGGAGTAGCAGTGCGGCAGCTTGCGCGGAACCGGTCTCCGCTGCATAATGCAATGAGCTCCAGCCAAGACGGTCTTGCGCTTGAGTATTGGCGCCTTTGCGAATAAGCCACTCTGTGACTAAACTGCGCTGGCCCATGAGTGCAAGGTGGAGTGGAGACCATCCATTCTTCGAATTTGCATCTATATCCACTTTGCCTGTCTGCAGTAATAGAGCACAGATACTCTGAGACCCAATTTCAGCAGCAAGATGGAGTGGCGTGAATCTGTCATTATCTTCTGCATTCACATCAGCCCCTTTCTCAATCAATAGTTTGGCAATGCCAGCAGCATCTGCACGGGCCGCGTAATGCAATGGAATCTGCCCTTTGTATCCCCTAGCAGCAAGCAACCCCATTGTCTTATTCACATTGTGGGCTACAGCGAGCAATTGTGAAACTATCCCCGGGTCTCCACGCTCAGCGGCAATGTGTAAGGGGTTCTGGCGCAGCCTGTCCAGTGCATCCAGGTTGGTACTGCTAGCAAGATGGCGGACAGTGTCGCTGTATCCTCTCCAGACCGCGTAATGTAAGGGCGTTCTTTGCGAGACCGGCTCTCTGTCAAGAGGTTGAACTGCATTTAGGAACACCTTAGCATGCTCGTCATCGCCCATCAGCGCAGTCGTCCAGTTGTTTGGCGTGCCAGAGTCTGTGACATGAGGGTTGTTGAAATAGAATTCCCCAATATCGCTTGCAATGTCATCTGCCAAACGATGCGTCTGTAAGTGCTTCCAGTCGTGCTCTGGCTCCGCTGCCTCGTCCGGATTGCCCAGCAAGATCACCTCCATCTTTCGTGCCCCGTTGGAGTCTACACAGACGGCCTCCATTGACATTGGTGGGTGCAAATATACTGCTCCAATATATTTGTAGCAGAGAATCGCTGGACTGTGTCTCTTCACCATGGCTTTGACCAGGAGGGCCCGTTCCACAACAATTCGACCAGGCTCGGCGAGGAGAAGGCACTTCTCGGGATTCAGAAGACATATTTCCATTGTCTTCTTGATCAATGGATGTACCGGACCCCAAACAAAGCGGTCTTTTGGAAGATAATCTGCGGGGACGAGCGTCCAAGTTCCAATCAAGTCCAGTTCCTCCGTGATGCGTAAGGATGCTTTGGCGCCGGCTTCAGGCATGCTGAACAAACTAGTCGGACACCAGCAGGCCTTGGGCATGGTGGCCTTATTGTGGAAAAGGTGTGCGTGTGCCACCTTGCCTATTTTCTTTAGAATTGCCTCATAGATGTCCTGCTGCCAGACATCGTGCTTTGGTGGAATAGGCACAACATCAACCCCCACCAGCAGTCCAGAAACAATCGCCCGGTCCTTCGGCCACGATGTGTACCTGTGTCCCAGTGCAATCAGCAAATCATCCACGGTTGTCACTCCATTCCGGAACGCGCGAATTATTCGGGTCACCTCTCCATGCGGGCCAGATGCTCTTTCCGCATCACGAGCAAGGATCTCCTCGTCAAGGTCCTTAACAATGAGCGGCCGACCACCTTCAACTTGCTGCCCACGAAATATGATCTTCACCCTACGCGATTTTGCAAGTTCCAGCGCAGTCCATGCCCGGCTGAACCACGGCGACATCAGAATAGCAAAACACGCCGCTTCCTCGCACCCGTCCCGCCACTCCCAGTTGCGCAGGAAACAGTCATGCACCAGTGTAATCCGAGCATCCTGATAATTTTTCTGGATCCTCCTAATGGCCTGAGCCCGAGCAGCTTTCTCCCGCGGGATGCAGATCGTATCCCACCACAACCCCTCGCAATGGAAATCCTTTGCAATCCGCTCGAAAAATCTATAAAGACATTTGTTGATTTGACCCTGGGGCCACGCCCCGGCGCCCGTCCCGTCAGACCAGACGTGTGAAATCGCCATGTATGGCCCTCAAGGAGAGCTTTCCCGTTGAGAGCCCATACCGTCGACCTTCCGGCTATTGCGGCCTTTGCGAGAGCCCCTTCCCAGAACAAGCCCTCGAGCCGTCGGCAACTGTCTTCTTCGCCATCGTTTCTCCCGCACTCGTGTCGCTGGCTCACCCCGGTGAAGTCGCGTTGTGAGTGCTCACAGAAATCAACCGTGCATAGCCCATGAGCGTCATGGCGGGGCAGCTGCGTGCCGCTGGGGGGAAGCAGGGCGGGGAGGCTTTCTTTGCCCACTGCCCACACTCGGTTGGGACAGAGCTTGAATTCGATGGTAGCTCTGTTCCAAGCAGCCAGAATACCTTCAGGGTCTGAGATCGTGGTTTCTTTCTTCGTCATTTTCTCTCTGTTGTTGAGACTGTATATCTTCGCGTCCGAGTGGAAGACCAGCTCGTGCTGCTGAGGTTATGACCAGGCAAAGAGTCGTTAGCCAGCCAGCCACAATCGTTACCTCCTTCAATAACAACACGAGGCCCCGCTGCGCAGGATTGGTCAAAACCACAAGCCACGTCGCAGTCAGCTGGTCTAGACAATCCTTGCAACTCTCATCTCATCTTGCCCTAGCCAGTAACTGCGAGCCTGCTTACCTGAAACTGGGAAGGTAACACAGATACTCTGGGCTGAAATACGCTGACAGGAAGAAAAGTAATTCTCTGAGAGCGTATACAGTTGCTGGTACAAACGCTCTGATAATTGGGTCGCTGCGCCTAAATGGTGTAGCACTTTGCGTGCAAGGGCGATTCCACTCAAGATTCCCGAAGCCATGTCAATCATAAAATGAGGATACTAGGCCATCATGATTGAGATAACATCAACCCTCTCCGCTGGTCAGGAATCTTCAATTCCACCTGGAGGGCTTGCGCCGTCTGTTCCATCCGGCTCACGGTGGAGTGTTTATCAAGATCGTTGTCAACCTCATAGCCCTCAAGACCATGGAACAAGACCGCCAGAATAGAAGATTTCCACAACGAAAGCTTCTGTTCTCGGTTGAGCAGGATAGTCAGCAGCAGGAAGAGGATGGACGCAAGGACAAGAGCACCCGGCAAAACAAGCCAGAACCAATCCGCCGACACCATCGTCACTCCATAGCGTGCGTTTCCTGGAACGGTCTCGTTGCTGGCCCGGTCGCAGTGACAGCCTCGGCGACGTTCTGCATCACAGCAGGGAGGTCGAATCTGAGTATTCTCCCGGTTGATGGCATGGGGTACTCAGCTATTCCATTCGCTTGGGCCCAGGTGGTTAAGTTCAGATTCAAGTTGGCTGGTTCGATGGTTTCCAAGGTGCCTAGTGCTTTTTGGACTTTCCAGGCATTAGGCCTTCCCTCCATGGCGAGTTGCGAGGTGAGGTACCGGGATGCTCCCCCATCTTGTGCGCGCGGGTGTGAAGAAATGCAGTTGCTATTGAGGGGGAGCATCGTGCAAGCCCGTAAATAGCATGGAGGACAAAACTGATTCCGTGATGTCAAGAAGGTTCCTGGTGAATGGTCCCAGTACTCAGGTGAGACTGCCTGGCGGGGTCTGGGGAAGGTGTAGCAACGCCCAAAGTTACATACAAGGACAAGGGCAATGTAAAAAAAATTGGGTGAGCAAAAAACATACAACAGCTGGGATTCGCATGTGGTCACCCACCACACTACTAACCAGCCGGCGTGTGGCTTAAGTACGGCTGAGCGGACGGGAAGCCCTGTTCTCCACACCCTGTGGTCGTATGTGCTAGAAGTTGTGAAATCAAATCCTATATAGTACAGCCTTTATTCATTAAACTATGACTTGCCACCAAAGTCCCCAACCTGTGGATGCGGAGTTCAGTCGTGCATCTTCATCCAATCCAAGATCATTAAACTGGATACGAGGCCAAAGCAATTTTTTCTATCAGGTGGCAAATAAACACTGGAAGACTGGAACACAATCCCTTGATTGACCCTCGCGGTCACTAACCTAGGCGCCAGCACGGCTCTCCTTTTACCTACTCTAGCTGCACTTCTCCCCTCACCCGTCTCCGCATCACCACTACTGTAACACCGAGAACAAGCAACGATGGCCAAGTTTCTCTCCGCCGCACAACTCCCACTCACCACCATGGGCAATGATTCCGGTCTCTCGTCCAGCGACAACGATGTCCCCGTCAACCAGGTAACAAGCTTCAATGGAGTCCTGAATCAATTCGTGCACGTTTCGGAGACCGAGACCGGCACTTCGAGTTCCAGCTCCGCGATGCAAGAAACAAAACGCCAGCTCGATACCACAGCCGATCTTGATTCCGATGCGCAGACGATGCCGAAACGAAGAAGGGGAGCTCCGACTCCTACTCTAGCTATGTCAAAAACCACCACAGTCGCAAAGACGACATTGGAATCGCCAGTCCCCCGTCGCCTCACCCGCTCCCAATCCCGCTCAACCACACCCGCTTCGCCCTCAGTGCCATCAATCAGACCAGAACTCGACTCACCCTCACGCTCACCTTCAGCAATAGCCTCAACCCTCCCAAGCACACCCTCGCCCACAAAACGCTCCCGCGGCCGCTCAACCCCACGCAAAGCCACCTCCTCACCCATCTCCCTCCCAGCCTCAAGCTGCCTCCTCCGCGACACAATCCCCGAAAACCTAATCCTCCTCCTCGTGGGCGTGAACCCAGGCATAATGACCGGCACGACGGGCTTCGCCTACGCACACCCATCAAACCTCTTCTGGAAACTCCTGCACGCCTCCGGCATAACCTCCATCCGCCATCCTCCATCCGACACCTACCGCTTGCCTGAGCTCTACAACGTCGGGAACACGAACATCGTCGAGCGACCGACCCGCGACGCAAGCATGCTCAGCAAGGCGGAGATGGACGCCGGCGTGCCCGTGCTAGAGGCGAAAATCGCGGAGAAGAAGCCGGCGGCTGTTTGTCTGGTCGGGAAGAGTATCTGGGAGTCTGTGTGGAGGGCGCGGAAGGGGCGGAATATCAAGAAGGAGGAGTTTCGGTATGGGTGGCAGGATGGGGCGGAGAATATGGGGAGGACTGAGGAGTGGGAGGGGGCGAAGGTGTTTGTGGCTACGACGACGAGCGGGCTTGCGGCGGGGATGTCGTATGCGGAGAAGTTGGCTGTTTGGGAGGAGCTGGGGACGTGGGTTGGCAGTCGGCGAGAAGCTGGACAAGGTCAGGCTCAGGCTCAGGCTCAGGCTGATGCTGATGCTCAAGGTCAACTAAAGACTGAGGCTGAAGCGGAGGCTGTAGTCAAAGCTGAAGGTTCAGGTCCAGCTCCGACTCTGGCACCATGATACTACATTGGCATGTATCCTGCATATTCTGCATTCTTATGCTGACACGGCCACACTCTACATTTACCCATGACTAGAAGACGAAGACTACAATGAACAAACCACGACTGCAAAAGATACTTCCATATCTCAATTCATTTCTGTTGAGTTACCGTAATAATGTAGAATACAAGCCCATGTCATATCCGGCATCATCGCTCCGCTCCATGCGAGTGCGAGTGCCAACAACCATCGTCATCATCGTAAGAGAAACCCGCTATGAGAGTAGTAGTGGGAGGTAATGTGTGTGAAGTAAGAGTAGAGTCGTATGAAACGAATCTAAGGCAGCTGGCCCTGAGGTCCGTTTGAGATGTTGGTGTCGCCGCCGCGTTCCCGTTGCTGCAGAGCAAAACAGTTAGCATCATTCATAATCATCATCGGACTCCTATAAGGGGAAGAAGAAGAACGTACAGTGTACCCCTGCAGTTCACCATGCTCCAGGATCTTCTTCACGCACTCCTCATCGTTGTGCGTGCCGAACTCGTTCTCGAGCGAGGACTTGCTTGCGCCGTCGTAGATGCCTTGGGATCCGTGCCTGGGGACGTGTAATGTTAGCCTCGCTTCACTCCTTTAAACATCTCAAGCGTCCAAGTGGGCGCGGGGTAGTAGTGGGGATGGGCAGCATACTTGTGAGTGACGAAGATCTTCCACCCGTTGACGACGTCAGAGAGAGGGATCGTGGAGTCGTTCTTCCAGTTCTTGAGTGTGGCGGGGTCCTCGACAAAGACGATGAAGTCGTCGGACTTGCCCTTGTAGAAGACCTTGGAGGAAGGGTCGTTGGCGCGCATTGTGATGGGTTGTGAGGTATGTGGGAGAGAGAGTAAAGTTTAGAGTTGGGTTTGTTGGGAAAGCGTGTGTTTGGGGATGGTTCGTGGTATATTCGAAAGAGATGATTCAGTAGTAACGAAGAGAAGGAAAGAAAGAAGAAGTCGCGTGAGGTAGAATATAAAGAGCTGGAGATCTTCAAGGCTGGCGTGATGAGTATTGGTGACGTCACCCGGCTGGTGGGCTCTCTGGGGCAGAGCTCCGGTGAGGGCAGCTTGCTTGCCGCGAAAGCTAAGCGGGGTTTGCGAGATAGACAGGAGTATTTGATTTTCAGGGGTCAGTTCTGGCGTTCATTGGGTAATTGGGTAATTGGATCCATTGTGCTGTCCTTTTGCTTGCTGCGGTGTGAAGACGCAGGTGGTAAGGTAGCTCTGAAGCTCCGACGTCATCGGACCCCTCCGAACATTCTCGTTGTTGACAGCTTGGAACATGTCATTATTCTTCCCTCTTCTGGGCTCCGTTGTTTCGGTGGAGTCTACGTGTTACGGAATTGGGTTGCCCTGATCGTCATTCGATCTTGCTCAGGCTGCACTTTCAATGCCTCATTACGTCTCGCCAAGTCTGTCTAGGTAACGATATTCAGATGCCCCTCTCAACCCCACATTCAAGTACGATTGCATACGAAGTAGAGGGGTTGCGTAGAGTACCTCTGTAAGCCTTCCTCTGTATATTCTTTCAGCCAGGAGCTCTTGCGGTTGCATCATCACGCTCCACCAAGACTTGGGCGGGCATGCTTCTTCGACCAGCGACAAGACATGGAATTGAATATCGTCCAGAGGCCTTTCCGTGCGTGCGTGTCTGGGGCGGCAGGGCTCTTGTCTGACTTGGGGGATCTGAGCGGCTGCTGCGACTTCGTGTTGTGAATTGACCTAGAACTCGTTTTGATCCTCATAGTCCTAGAACGGCCCATGAGCAGAGCGGTGTCTTTGTGCAGTATCCAGCTCTTCTCATGGTCAAAGCTGTGGCTGCGATCCGAGGATTCCCGTCTTTTTCGCTTGGTCGAGCCTTGTACCTTGTCCTCATAATCGTCAACAGCTTGTGGTTGGCTTGTTTTCGGGAAGCTGCTGGGCAGATTTACAGAGCTAGACCGGTTGTATCGCTTTGACCGAAGGCTTAGATGTCTCATAATCGAGCCCGGCCCGAAAAAGAGCTCACCCGTGCCCAGGAACATTCCGGGGTATGGAAGCAGATCTTTTGTGTAAATTTGCTGGATCGCACGCTCCAGGCGAATCCTATCCTGTCTTTTAGCTGTGATCGTGAACGGTTCCGAGATAGGCGGAGGTATTTTAGGACGTTCTAGCTCGCCGTCAACCTGTTGCGTCTGGCCGTGCTTCTGCGGGCAATGGGTCTTTCGGATTATTATTGGTTGCAGATTGGATCGAACTCGTTGCATGCCTATTGTCCCTAAGGTCTGTAGAGACGGTCTGCGGGATAGTTGCGGCGTAATATCTGAAACATCTTCTTCCGGAGTAATGTCTAGAACTAGGAACGAGCTCCCTCGAAGTTCGGACGCAACTGCGTTGGGCATCTCGGCAGACGCCGCCACTGACTTCAGAATCCCGGTCTTCCATTGTTTCTCTTCCGCGGCGGACGAAGCGCTAAGGACAAGTTCGTATTTCTCGTCCTTAAGCTGGAATAGTAATTTCCAGGAGAGTACACAGAAGTAGTCACCACCTGCAAACCGTCAGTGAGTGAAGCCACTAGCATCGTCACATACCTTTCCCATTTGCCAGACTATCTATCCTCACGTCGGATATATAGAGGCAGGCCAGCGGTTGGAGTCTTCGGTACTCTTCATTCATTTTGGCGAGAAAAAAATGATGTTTGAATAAAACACACACCATAAAAGCCCCCTTTACCAGCCCTGGCTGTGTCGATGATGATCGGTAGGTAACGTGCAGAACACCGCAAAGGGTCAGTGGACCTAGTTGTTTATAGATATCGATGGCAGTGACCTAAGAGGTTCATCGTTAGCTGTGTCCCACAGGATCCAGAATGGCAGCTTTACCGTTTTGAATTCGAGGAGATCATTTAGTAAAAATGTCTTTGCGACGAAGTTTCTGCTAAGAGTACTCGCAGTAGCATCATTGATCTCTGCAAGCACTTCGCGGACATCTTCCAGAACCTGCCGGATCTCGTCATGTGCAGAGGGATCATCCTGGATATGAGTCCATCTTAACAGCTCCTGGAGTAGCAGCGGATATTTACAAAGGCGTTGGGCGGGCTGGATATATGTTAGCGCGACGGAGACTTCTAAAGAATCAATTGGTGTTTCACCACCAACCTTGATAAGGATATCATTCATGCATAGCGATTTGTTGTTGTATAGTGGACGTGTCTCCATCGATGCAGCCGACTTTGTCATAGCCTCTATGCCTTGGTCGAATTCTTGCGAGTTTCGAACGGTATTGCGTAAAATGACAACATCCTCGACCAAGACATCGTAGTTCTTGCAGAACTCTTTATAGTATATGAAAGACTTTGACTGTAACATAACGGATTAATCGTGGAGCAAATGTGTGAGCCCTTGGGTGGCATACCAAGTACCCAATCTCTCGAGCCACTACCAAGGCCTCATTTGCTTCCGATGCTAGTTGTTTCAATCGGCGATCGACGGACGCCTTGAGGCTTTGCGTCCTCAAGGACCGAGGTTGGAAGGCTTTGAGACCTAACTCGGGGCGCATCGGCACTCCATAGTTCATCATCCTTTCGAGCTGCATCCGAGGAAGGTTTGAAGATGGGATCAAGCTTCGAATCCGCCTAAGGAAGCTCTCGTGGCATTCGCGGATCTGCTGGACATTGAAGTAGATTTCGGATCGCGGTGATGTAGTCAGGAGCAACTGCAAATACGATGCATTAGCAGACATGAGGGTACAGAGGCAGAAACACTCCAGTTACAGTGCATACATCCGAGAGCGCCTTCAAGTCGAAAATATAGTCTGATTCTGTGGCGATGATCTCTTGAAGCACTTGCCGTCGCTTGAGGGCACGATTTTGAGCTTCCTCGTCGATACAAACGCTGAGCGTTGGCCTCAAACTGTCCATGGAGGCTCGAAAGTCCGATTTGCTTCGATTCGTGGTGCTCTGAGTCGTTCTTCTTGACCTAGCGACGCTTTGACTCATAGTACTCATTGTGGCTGTCTTCATCGTGCCCAGGTGAGAGGACTTCCCTGAGAGTTTCTCCCATTGCTGTTCCAACGACCCAGGGTGCGGTGAGAGGTGATCCTGGTCGCCGCTGCTCCGAGGTATGCGCTGCCAGCCTTCAATATAAGGTTCTGGTCCAAACGCCTTCTTGGGTCGTAGGCTGTTGACCCATCGTTTAAAAGGCGAGGCGGTAGATACTCGGTCAGAAGTTTGAACTCGATTGATAAAGATATCGGTGGTCACGCAGTTGGGGAATTGGGCCAATTTTTCCTCGTCCACTTCGGATGATACCATCGGCATCCGGACGACATTGGGCTCACTGACTTCCTCCTTGGACTCATCCACTTTAGCGAGCGATTCAACGGACGGCGCCATCGCAGGTGGAAGCGAGCTTGGTTGGGCACGGCCACAACTGCTGGTACGAATTTTCGTCCTAGACGGAAGACAGTGGTGACTCGCATGACAGATTGGAAGTCGCAATCAGGTTCCCCAACATAATAGAACGGGAAGGAGGTAGGCATCAGTCCTCTTAGTCACTCTCAGCCGTGAAGCACGGCAAGTCTTGAGATTCTGACCAGATGAATAACACCATTGCAGATCCCGTCGCCATGGCGTACTCCAGCCGAGAACTGAACTCCGAACAGCCAATCCATGAACTTCTCACGCGCTTCCATGTCCCCTTTGGAGGACTTGTACACGCTCTGTATCTGGATTGGCCGGCCCGCCTTTCCAGCTTTTGCGTTTGTACATAAATTATACTTTGTTTTCTAAACCTGTCATTTTTCCAGCTCAGTTCGGTACCGGTGAGAATCGGGGTACCATCGCCTGAAAGGGCAAAAAGCGAGGATATCTGTCTGCTGTGTAAGGTTGAAGGTGAAACGTAGCGTGCCAAGCATCAGCCCCAGATCGCCTTTCTCCCACCTTGACAGATCTCATCTCTCCACCCGCCACCAATCGCTCACTGACCGAGAACCTGAACGAACTTCCCGCATCATGTTCTAGATTCGTTCAAATTCAGAATATGGGAATTCCCATGGCCAACAATCTGCATGCTCCCACTGTATCCTCCGGATCCACGTCCGGAGGGATCCCCCGCGATCTTTCCAAGCTATCCATGAGCGAGCTGTCGAAACACAAAGAACAGATCGAGGAAGAACTCTCGGCTCTCAGCAGCGTCCTTAGCTCGGTGAGTCCCGGGGCCGCTAGCGGATTGTCTTTCGACTACTAACTGATTTCTGTCCACTAGCATGGCGTCAACATGAACACTTCTCTGACGACTTTCGACGGCTTTCCCCGCGACGACATCGACGTCGCGCAAAGTGAGATACAACCCCAATACGAGTGGTATAGTCGCTAAGAACGCCTCAGTCCGCACCATTCGTGCGCAGATAATCAGACTCCGTTACGATCACAAAGAGGTCATGACCTACATTGAGAAGGGCATTCACACCCATTTTGCCGGTCTCCAACGCAGCTCGCCTGCCAACACATCTACAAGCAATACAAATGGCTCCTTCTCTGGGCCCTCCGAAGTCAGTCCATCAGCTGCCGGGGCGGGCGCCTTGACGCCGTTCGCGAAGGTAAATAGTGTTGTGCCCGGAAGTCCTGCTGGCCGAGCTGGGATGCAGGCTGGCGATACCATTCGAAGTTTTGGGACAGTGAACTGGCTCAACCACGAGCGTCTTTCCAAGGTGGCGGAAGTAGTCCAACAGAACGAAGGAGTAAGTCACCCTTGGCCTCACATACCCTAGCCGGTCATCCGGAGCGCAAGCGCTGACTTTTATTGCCCAGCGCACCATCGTTGTCAAAGTCTCACGGAACGGCCCAACTCCTGGAAATGCCTCTCATCTGGACTTGGAACTTGTGCCACGCCGTGATTGGGGCGGCCGTGGATTGTTAGGCTGTCACCTTCTTCCCCTCTAGCGGTCACAATGCGGTCGACGGTTTAATTGGGTATGGAATAAAAATAAGTGTCTGAAGTACAAGAGTCTTACGTGGATGGAGAAGCATTGGGACACGAAGACAGAAATGTGTCATGATTGATGATGAATTTAGTTTGTATGGTTAAGCATGGGCGGCGTTACTTGATCCCCGGCATTGGGCATGTTTTAGGTACCGAAGGAGGTCTATTATGTGCAAAGTAGATATCTCTCAGCAGATTTGGCAGGAACAAAGATCAAGAATTATTGAGTTCTCATCGTTTTCCTTCTATAGAGCCCCGCGTTGCCTGAGGCCTCGACACGTGACTACAAAGGCAGACCGACTCGGGCAAAAATTCCATCACCAAAACTTGAACCGCTCACTCTGTTTTCTCCCTGCCCTCATCCTTTTGATTCCCCACCCCTTCCATCCTCATCGTCTGTCGCGCCTTCGACTGTCGATATTTGACCTCTCCGTCTCGTGTCGGATTCCGAATTGAAAATATCTGCTTTTCCTTTCATTTAATTTCACATAACCACAATGTCCGAGCAAGTCCCAACCTTCAAGCTCGTCCTCGTCGGCGACGGTGGTACTGGAAAGGCAAGTTTCATCGAACTCCCCCGGATACCACGACATCCCTAGTCGTTCTGTCCTCAACACCTATCCACTATCCGTCACTCGCCTCGTTTGCCCTTCTGTCCGGCTGTTGGCAGCGGCGTCAACAATAAGGCAAAACTCGACCCCGCGCCGCTCGCAACCCGTCGACAAGAACGTCAACTAACCTGAAAATTTCTCTCTTCGCAGACCACTTTCGTCAAGCGCCACCTTACTGGTGAATTCGAGAAGAAGTACATCGCTACTCTCGGTGTCGAGGTTCACCCCATCACCTTCACCACGGTATGCCCCGCTGTTGACCCCGCTTCGGTTATCCGCCATGCTTTCGTCGCCTCGACTAACGCTTGCATTAGAACCTGGGCACAATCCAGTTCGACGTTTGGGACACAGCTGGTCAGGAGAAGTTCGGTGGTCTGCGAGATGGATACTACATCAACGGACAGTGCGGTATCATCATGTTCGATGTTACCTCCCGTATCACCTACAAGAACGTTCCCAACTGGCACCGTACGTGATCAATACCCTACTGAAACGACGTCTTTGCTCACAAAGATTGATAGGTGACCTCGTCCGTGTCTGCGAGAACATCCCCATCGTCCTCACCGGTAACAAGGTCGATGTTAAGGAGCGCAAGGTGAAGGCCAAGACCATTACCTTCCACCGCAAGAAGAACCTCCAGTACTACGACATTTCCGCGAAGTCCAACTACAACTTCGAGAAGCCTTTCCTGTGGCTCGCCAGGAAGCTGGTCGGAAACGCCTCTCTGGTTAGCCAACCTTTGTGTACCTGCTCTTGTAATGCACGCTAACAGACTTATTCAGGAATTCGTCGCCGCTCCCGCCCTTGCTCCTCCTGAGGTCCAGGTCGACGCCAACCTCATGGCTCAGTACACCCAGGAGATGGAAGCGGCCGCCAACCAGCCCCTGCCCGACGAGGATGATGCCGACCTCTAGATTGTCCCAGGTCAATGAAGGTTTTGGATCGAATCGCGGCTCGTACGGTCGAACCCCCTATGGCCGCGTCCAGCTCCAACAGAACGAACATAACTTGGAACGTTTACGCACGCAAAGTCTCGAATCACGATACAACGATCAGCGGTGGATTGGTCTGTGGATGGCTGGCACGATATTTGCTTTGATTTCCCCCCTTTTTTCCCTCCATTCAATATTACCACTAGTAGTCTAGATTCCTTTATCTCTACACCCAAAGTTCATAGCAGAAAAAAAATCGCAGCTATCTTCTGCAATATCTCTCCGAAAGAAAAGTTCGCACATCTATTTTTGCCCTGCGGTTCATTCCAGTTTGACCTGTTTCCGGAGACCTCTAATATTCGTTATCTGCATCAACGGTGTATATTCTTGGAGATAAAGAACACTTGGGACAAAGAACGGGGTAACTTGGGGCTTCAACGCTCCGGTCCCTAAACTCAATATTGGCTAGCCTGCTATACCGTAATATCTTGCGCTTCCAATCGCGCGATTTGTCACTACCAGAGCATTTCGTAGGCCGAGAACCTTCCATGTGGTTTTCCCATACTACTGCACGTGGTATAGAAATCATAACAGCGTAAGCCTTTAGCGAGAAATGACGTCAGCGTTGGGCGACATTTCGTTGGGCTGTTCAAGCGATACTCTGTAAAGACAATCGGTACGTTTGTCTAATCCATGAGTACATGCATTCGAAATCGGCTGAACTCCATAGGTTGATCTGGGTAGAATCGCATGCGTAAGGCAGAAGTGGGTGAGCGAGCCTTATCTGCTTGCCAGGGCTCAGTAGCATGGTTGAGTCTCTACATACAGGGGCTGAGTGATGAGAACGGCGGTCAAACATTGGCTATCTTCTACCCCGATTCGGGTTATGAGTTTCTGTGGCCTGTTAAACCGGATCTGGATTCTTCAAGAAGGGCACCTCTAGTTATTGTAGTCATGCAGTCGTGCAGCCGTGCTAAATATGAGGAAATGAGAGAACCCGACAAGACGAAGAGAACCATACATTCAGACAAATATGAGATGCAAAACATATCCTCTGCCTCTAAGATGCTGCTGATTGGAAGTAAATGCAGAAACATCACGGTAACAGGCACGGGGTGAAAGAAAAGGTTGGTGAGACTTTTGTTGATGTACTTGGGGTATAAGAAATGAGAACAGTAATGAGAGAAATCCTTGAACACGCCAACGCGCCATAATTAGAGAAAATGCAAATGCACCTATTGGGCGATTCCCTGGAAGACAAAAAAGTTAGTAACTTGTAAGGCAAGGGGTTGCTGGGGGACGTACAAAGAGGTAGCCGAGTTCGCGAACGCTCAACCTGGCGATATTCTTCGATTCTTTCTCATCCAATGCGCCGTCAATGATGGCCCGCTTCTTATCTTGAAGCTCGACAATGCGATCTTCGACAGTTTCTGGCACAAGAATTCGATGAACTTGTACTTCGCGCATCTGCCCGATACGGTGGGCACGGTCGATTGCCTGCTCTTCAACGTACGGGTTCCAAAACGGATCAAAAATGACCACGTGGTTTGCGGCGACAAGGTTCAATCCAGCATTACCTGCCTTCAATGAGACGAGCATAATTTTGCAGGTTGGGTCATCAGTAAAGGCTAGCACGGCTGAATTCCGATCTGAGGGTTTCATGCTTCCATCATACCGACGGTACCGGTGGCCTTCGCGCGCGATTGGTACCTCGAGCAAATCCAGAAGAGAAGTGAACTGGCTGAAGATGATGATCTTTTCATCGTTAGCCTGGTGTTCCACGTCCCGTATGATCTCCATGGTCTTTTCAATCTTTGCGCTGGTGATCCATGTTTTCTCCAGACGGCGCATGTACTTGCGCTTGGAGGCCTGGTTCTTCGAAGCCTCTTTCTTGAGCTGAGCAAGAGACTTCTTGGGGTTGCCTTTGCCTTTGCCCTTGCTTTTCGCCTTCGCTTTTCGAGGAGGCGTTGAATCATCGTCACTATCGTTGACAATGAAGTCGGACAATGTGCCACCCTCGTCGCTGTCGTCGGTATCATCATCGTCCTCATCTTCATCTGCCGCGACTCCCAAGCCATCCAAGCCACCTACATCCTCGGATCCATCGGCGAAATGGACTTTTCGAAAGGACACATGATCGGTGATTTTCTTGGGATCGACGAGTCCACGACAATTGGGACACTTTACCTGTGCTTGTCCATCGACGCCATTTTGTAGAGCAAGAGAAGGATCGGAGATCCTGGAGAAACATTCACTGCAAGTCCCGTGCCCGCAGGGGAAGAAAATTATTGGGTTGTCCACCGCATCAATACAGACGGGGCATTCGAGATTCGGATTATCTCGGAGACGAGCGATAACTTCGTCACTGAACTCCCTGGCATTAGCCATTAAATCCACTTCTTGGGTAGTCTCGTTGAGTTTGACGCTGAAATCGGTAATTAAGTGCGGATGACAGCAGGCTTGTCGAAGACGAAGAAGGAGAACAAGAATGTTCGAATAGTTCCGCCCGACTGACCCGGCTGCAAGATATTTGTTGAACTGGAGTTGAGTCTTGGCTTCGAGTGCTTTGTATAGTTCAAGTTCATCTTCACTAAAAGCGGCGTGGACTTTCTCGGATACTCTGCGAGGTAGGTTGAGAATGGGCTTGCCATCGATTTTCGAATCCTTCGTTCGCCGTAAGAGTACTGCCTTTATAAGAACACGGAATTGCTGCATTGCTTTGTCCTGTGACCCCTTAAAGCCACTCTTCAGCGGCTGAGAGAAATCCTGATTTGCATCAGTTAGCCGACATTGGTCGGGGGACCGCCAGATAGAAGACTGAGCTACTCACCTGTCTGAACTTTTCTAGACTAGCGTATGGACGATTGCGCAAGAACTTCAACAAAGAATGCAACTCCTCCACGGTGTTCATCATAGGAGTACCGCTCATACACCAGCGGTAGGTTGCGTTCAGGCGACAGCATGCCATCGCAGACTGGGTACCTCGATTCTTGATGCACTGGGCCTCGTCGATTATGACCCTATACCATTTGCTAATAGGTCCAAGGCAGGGTAGCTTTCTCAGGAACTGTCTGCTCAGCGTTGACTCTTCGGCACCCTCCTTGAGTAGTTTTTCGTACTCATTAACACGCTTTAGCTCCGACGCGAGCGTGCCAAACGTGGTGAGTACAACATCAAATTTCTTCAACTCACTGAAGTTCGTTTTGCTCTGAGCACCGTGCAGGATGTATACCTGGAGGCGATGTTTAGGCCGAATAATCTTCTCGATTTCCCGCTTCCACTGCTGCATCAATGCGACGGGAGCAATTATCAACGTCGTCTTTCGTTCGGGGTCACTTGACGGGCGAGAGACCATGAGGGCAATTGCTTGAATCGTTTTGCCTAAACCCATGTCGTCGGCTAAGATGCCCCCGTTCTGATCACATTCTTCCTTGGACTTCATCCAGGCCAGTCCCAGCTTCTGGTGATCGTACAACGTGAACCTTAGAGCCTCCGGAGTACCTTCACGGTCTTTGGCTGAAATGTCAGCATCGGGTCGGATGGTTTCCAGCAGCTGTTTGATCTCCTCGTTAACTTGCTTGGGGTCGGCTCCGTTTTCGTAGAAGTCCCTGTAAACGCTGATGATTAGGAAGCCAGACAGTGCAAGGTGACCAATGAAAAACTTACCGAATACTATCGCGACCATAATAGTCCGACCGATATTCATCGTCAACAAACCCGTTAGTGATAACATCACCCAGCGACGACATGGCAGACGACAAGAGACTAGAACCCCCAGCCCTCTCGTTCAAGAAATCTCTGGCTCCTCTGTAGGCTGCCGCAGCGGACGATGCAAGCTGCGGCCACATACTTGATGTGTTGACAGCACCACTCGGTCCAGGTACGGCACCAGGGGAGGCATAAGGGTTGGAGTGAGGGCCATGGAGTGGTCTGGAAACATTGGATACGCCTGAGCCAGTGTCTCCGTGGTTCGATGGATATGGGGGTAGGTGGCTGATGTTTCTCGGGTTGAAAACGGTGCGAGATTGAAAGTCTAGCGGAGTAATTTCTGCGAGATCACTATCATCGCTATCTGTAAGTGATCTTGAAGATTCAAATTGCGGACCGCGGAAGGCATTATTCCCGTTCAGAGGCGGGGCCATTAAACCCCCTGGTATTGTGCTCGAAAACAGTGGATTGGCGGAGCCGGGTTGTGCAGTTTGTGGTGAAAGGTGTTCACGTCCAGGGAAAGAAGATTCTGGACGACTGGCAGACGAGGAGTTTAGCGGAGTGAATGCTGTTGAGGACTGCATGCCGTGAGACATCAGATTGCGAGCAAACTCCGCATCGCGGCGCTCTTGCTTCTTCCGTTCTTCCAACCATTTTTCTGCTCTTCTGTGTTCCTCCTGGATTGTACGCATGTCTTCGCCTTCAACCCCAAAGATGCCGAGAATATCATCTTCATCATACTCGGTGTTGGCTAGATAATCGGGGCTGCTGCGGTTGAACGAGATAGACGAAGCCGCCTGGTCAAAAGCAGGACTCGCCCTACTCCCTGTGGCACGTTTGAACGAGAAGTGGCTCTCGTCGTCTTCATCGTCATCGGCAAATGGGCGTTTGCGGGTGGAGAACATGCCTGAAGGTAGGTCTGGTCGAGAATCTCGAGGTCGCGAGGGTAAAGAGAACGAGGCTCGGCCGGCTTGCGGTGGGCTGAATGTAACCGATGGAGTAGAGAAGGTCGAGCCGTCCAGCTGAGATGGTGCTAGACTCTGCCCGATAGAGAAGGAGCGATCTGTGTTGCTGCCGCGGAGCCTAGCTAAGCTTCTTTCGAGATCCCGAATCACCTCCAATGTTTCTTGTTTTTGTTCAAGAGCATCGGATCGCGAACTGAATGTCTCGTGGAGACTTTGCAGAATCGCTTTTTGCAAATCGAGCTCTTCCTCGAGCTCCTCGATTGTTTGGCCAGTGAATGATGCCATGATTTACGGCGGGGGGTCGTCGCGAAGAAGCGAGGACGAAGGCGATCTTATAAGTGGGCTGAACTTCCGAGGAACACGATTCCGGCAAACGACGAGTCCATGGGGTGATCAGTGAGAGGTGAGAGGTCTCTTGGTGAAAGTGAGTGAAGCGAAAGTAAGGGAGGCGGGGAATTGAATGAGTAGGAGAGATTCGGAGGCGGGTGAGGCACGATAATATTAAGCGCGATAGTAATTGATCTATCACCTCTTGGCGCGTTGGTCAATTAAGCCTAACACAGCCTGCGGGAGTGGCTGCCAGGGCTAATCGGTGAAAGATGTGAGAGGGCGCCGAAGTTGCCTAGAGATGGCTGTAACCTAGTATTATTATTCACTTGAGGCTCTTAAGAGGCTCTAGAGTCTGTCAATCGAAGTGGCAAAAGGGTCTTCTAGACTTTTCACTTCCTTTTAGTGGGTGCTTCGCGAATATATAATGACCTCAACTCTCCATATATTGATTACCTAGAGGATTATTCTGAAACAATAAAAAGCGCCCAAGGCTCGTAACAATGCCTACAGCATACCTTCTATCAACCTTCTCCATGAATACTGAAGATTTTATTGTTGCGCTCTATTTTGGAGGCCTTTGTCAGTTTCCAAAGGCTAAATTAATGCAATCCATGCCGCCACAAAGTATGACGATGGTTTCGATTCTGCCAGACAAAGAGAGGTCCCAACCTGCTACAAGGTCGACATCGACTGTGGCCACCTAGAGACCGCAGCGAGCGATCCAGTAGCCTTCAGCCTGGCTGCCGAGAGCACATTGGGAGCCCAAAGTATACCTGTTGCTGTGTAGCAGCCTTTTCGTCCACTGCCTTTTTAAACACAACCTATACTGTCGGAATTCATCCAGAGAATGATCCTAAAAAGTCTATGGCGAGCGATATGGAAGGTACTACTCCGGTAACTTCTCGCACCCGTGGGTTGGGAGTTCGTCTACAGCCCACCAGTTACCTAGAACTTAGAAGCCACTCATGGTCACACGAAGGGACTGCACACCATAGAGCTCAAAGGCTTCAGTTGTTTCTTGAGTGCATGTTGATGGATGGCTGCGATGCGATCATGCGAAGGACGAGGTCGGCGACCCTTTCAGTCCTTCCTTTGGCGGGTGAACCTGTACTTAGGTTCGGCCAGACATTTCAGCTTATAAAAACGACATCTTGGTTTCAGACAAGATATGTGGGTAGATATTCTGGCGAGAACACAGGCGCTCTGCACTCCTTGAACAGGGAAAAGGAATGAGTTCAAGCTCTTAGATGCGGTCTGGGGATAAGACACTGCCCTTTGGTTCCAAGATTGGAAACTTCTAAGACCCAGCGAAGCTCGAAGGATAAAAAGGGTCGAGAATATACCTAGAAAGAGTCGAGAACTGCTGACAGAATATTTAGCCTCGCCCGTATCTACTTGCATCATACTAAGAATCGTGGTACCCCGAGGAGCGAGGTACCTGGTACCGTATAGCCTGCTTTCATGTGGATGGCGCCCCATCACTACGCGATTAGCTCGCAAGAGAAACCATTCTCGTTAACCACAATCCACGCCCTGGATTTTGCGGACGCCTTATGTATCTGATAGGAGGAAATCACAAGAATCAAGCTAGGCCAGCGGAGCAACGAAGGAAACGAGCCTCGGCATAAGATTGCAGCAGTCCTCTGACCGCCTGGATTCACATGTCCGGGGTAAGATCGATGCCATCACTATAATAATATTTGTATTCCCTCGCCGTCTCCTTGTTCTCCTATAGTTACACAGACTTCTATCTCGCTCTTCGTCCCAATTGTACGCTTGCCCATAATATCTCGTGCCCACGATGACTCTCAAAGAAGGTACGTCAATCTCGACCCGATCGCTTCCATTCCACGCAGCTCCGCTCTAACCAAGCTTCCACGATTGTAGACGGTTTCGAATCCTCCGCCGCTTTCGACGCGATCAACGCTACTCTCCAGGGCGACGAGGCCGAGCGCAAGGAGGCTATCAAGAATGCCCAAACTGTCGTTGCTTTCCAACTGAAGAACGACGCTGGCAAGGAAGAGAGCTGGCACCTCGACCTCAAGGAGAACGGCGTCGTTGGCAAGGGTGCTGCTCCTCCTGGTAAAAAGGCCGACGGTTAGTGTCCATCCATCTACAACCGGGGATCGTTGCGAATAGGGGGCTAATGTGATTGTGTCAACAGTGACCCTTCAGCTTTCGGACAAGGACTTTGGGTCTCTGGTTTCCGGCAAAGCCAATGCCCAGAGACTCTTCATGGGAGGCAAGCTCAAGATCAAGGGCAACATCATGAAGGCCACCAAGATGGAACCCGTTCTGAAGAAGGCCCAGGGCAAGGCCAAGCTATAGATACCCTTTTTACTTTTCATTTATGTATTTCGCAGCCGGACGGCGATCCACTCAGATTCCCTGAACGAATAAAAAGCACCATCTTCCATCCATTCAATACATTCATATTAATTATACGATGGCCTGAAAAAGTAAGTAGTAAGGCGTTGACAGGCCAGTTCAGTGGACTTGCTCCGTCGATGCCTGGGTAAGGTAGCACTGGTAACCACCTGACACTTCCTCCTGACGGGTCGCGCTCAACGCCCGTGCATCGCAAAAGCCGACAGTATGGGGAGATTGGCGACATCTACTCCCTACGGCTGACCACCATCGATAAAATACTGTCGCTATACCAGCTCTAAAGAGCGGAAGAGATAGGGCATTTATACATAGAGTCAATTCTTGCGACAAGGCCTCAAGCTCCAATGTGTTGCCGTTTCTATCGTCATAGGTAGGATGGACTGGCCGCCACACACATGATTAAGTACAGTAGCATGCGCAAGGCAAGCGATCATCGAAGGGTGCAGGTGCTCGCTTCTCGAAGGAATGATGGATTGCCTGTCTGCCTGGCCATTTGCTAGCCATCTCACTCAGGTAGGACGTCATATTGAGGTACTCCAAGGCATTCCTTTCCATGTCATAGAAACGCGACGAACAGCGGTGTAGGCGGATTATGCGTCCTGTACAGCAACGACTACTTTGACTTGGATATTTTCATTTTTTTTATCGTGAGCACTAAGAATCCACTTGCACCTAAGAATATATACAAATAGAACCAGAAATTACCGTTGGAATAGTGAAAGGAACCCAAGTGAATGAAATTGTTTGTGCTTGTGCCAAGACTCGGCCTTGAGCATGGCACGTGACTTAGATTTTTTCGAGCGGTCTGCTGGCAGTCCCTCCCCCAGCGAGCGGAAGCAAAAGAAGTAGCTCTAGCGAGTAACACCCATCACTTCACAGGGCAGAGCACATCGAATCGAAGCGCCCGCACTCTGGATTCGATGCTTTTGCTTACTTTAGAACTCTGACTTTCTGTCCTTTTCTTTTTTTCCCGTCTCACCTCATCCTACTTCTGCTTGACTCGTGAATTGCGACCCTACCCACCCCCGAAGAACGGACCAAGCGCGTGCGCATTTCGAGCCGCAGTCCGCGACGACAGCAATTAACAGGGAACCGGTATCATATTCATCATAGAAATCAATTTCCCAGAAGCGACATTGCGGTTTTCCTGTCACTTGACGTTCGCGAACCGGTCCGCACATACCTTTTTTCTCCGACGCTTCGACCTGCATCGCGACTCGGGTTCGTTATTGCCGGGACAACGAGTCGCCAACCGCTTTGATCATTCACCAAGAGCAGAATATATTCGCTGAAGGAGGTGCGGAAAAGCGCTCAGTACAGTGAATGACATACGTCCGCCCGAAGGCTTGAACTGTTTTAAGGAAGGGGTGAAGGCCGCGGGTGCTCTGCTGTTGTTTTGATAAATGTCTAAGAGACCGAATCAAGGCCCTCAAGGGGACAAGGACACCGATTTATTCAAATTCAACATGTCGAGTACACCGGACGACAAGCCCCAGCGGGCCACAGCTGCGCAACTAGCGGCTCGGAGGTAAGTGATTGCTGACCGACCTTTGCGCCCTATGCGAACAACTCTGCTTTACTTCACCCCCGCGCGTCAATCTGCAGCCTCTAGAGCCTTAGAAGCATGCCGCTCTACTTTTCTTGATCGCTACTGTATCTTTTTTGGCGCTACGGAGCCCGAAACTACTCTCCCTTGCGTTCGCCATTTCTGCATATGCCTCTTCCTGACATATCACATTTGTTGCATTGGCTAACGACGTTTCTAGAATCAAGGACGTTCGCAGGCGGCCGCGTGCTGGCACGCCGTCAAGTAGCGCGGGTGCTTCGTTTGGCACGCCGTTTAGTTCGCTTGATCCTAACACTGTTTCCTCACCACCTGCTGCTCAACAGCCGATGACAAACGGCTTCAGTTTTGGACAATCACAAAGTTTCCCTCCGGCTAGCCCAACCCCCAAACCGCCAGCTCAGAACGGAGGATCACAGTTCGCATTCGGGTCTGGAGGGGGTTCGTCGGCTTTCAATTTCTCTGCTTCGTTTGGAGGGACAGCATCAACACCTGCTAGTAATCCCTTCGCATCCATGAATACCGGCGCCGTTAGTCAACAGCCGCAAGCGAGCAGTTTCACAGGCTTCAAAGGCAACATGTTCAATGTTCCTTCGACTGGAAGCCAATCACCCGCCCAGCAACCTCTGCCTTCTGGGGGACTTTTTGGTGCTGGGCCTCAGCAGAGCGGCCCTACTGGAGGTTTGTTCGGTAGCACCGCCAATGGCGGATTTTCGTCTCAACCCGCCACAACTGCGCCAACGAATGGAAGTATTTTCGGCCAGCCCACCACCGGTGGCTCCTCGTCAAACCTCTTCGCCCAATCTGGGGCGGACAAGCCTAATCCCTTTCCGCAGTCTGCGTCATTCGGCGATGACTCAATGCAGACCTCTCCAGATTCTAAGTCTGTACCGCAAAAATCGTCAATATTCGGCGGCGGAAGTGGCGGCTTTGGGGCTTCGACGAGCTTCGGCGCCTCTGGAACAAGTAACCTCTTTGGGGGTACGGCTGCGGCGCCGGCTCAGACTCCATCTAAACCCTTGTTTGGAGCGAAGCCAGCAGAGCAGACCGCTCCTGCAACGCCCTCTCTGTTTGGCGCTTCTACTCAACCTACTCCCTCGACTTCTGCTGCGTCGTCTTCCAGTGCCGCACCACTGACAACTAGCACTACCTCATCTTCGCTCTTCAGCACATCGGCTCCGAAGACTGCAACAGCGGGACAGAATCCCTTTCAACCCGCGAGCTTCTTTGGTGCAACTACTCCATCTACCACGCAGAAACCTACAGAGGCAAAAGCCAAAGAAGAGGCAAAGCCGAGCGACTCCACCCCGTCTAAACCATCGTTCAACTTTTCTTCTACAACCTCTGGGCCGTCGTTGTTTTCTCAGAGTGCCACCGCGGCGCCAACTCAGCCTAATGGCGCATCACAGCCTGTGTCAGCGGGAAGTCTGTTTGCCTCTCAACCTGCGAAACCTGCGTCTTCAGCAGAATCAGAAAAGCCAAAGCCTGATGGAGTCAATCCCTTCAATACCCTGTTCCAAAAACCAGCAGCTCCAGCTGCAGAAAGCCCCAAGACGGAGCAGAAACCACTCACATCTTCGAGCTTATTTGCTCCAAAGCCTGCGCCCAGCGATGTCGCAAAGACAAATGAGCCTTTCAAAGCAGCTACTTCTGCATCGCCTTTCTCCGCTTCCACGCTTGCCCAACCTTCGTCGCCTACCCCCCAGTCTCCTGCTTTCTCATTCTCTGCCCCGAAGGCGACCTCTTCCGCACCCGCGCCCGCATCTGCTCCCGCTTCCGCTTCAGAAAGTCCCTTCAAGTTTAACGGATCTCAGTCTGACGTCGCGCCTCCGTCGCTATTGTCGGCTCCTAGTACCTCGACTTTGAACTTTGAACAGCTTCAGCCTGCGAAGCTGCCATCTGGCTTGGATAAACATACCAAGGAAGGCGTGGAAATGGCACACCGCGTGCGACTTCTAAACGAGTGTTTCCAGCGTGAAGTAACAAAGCTGGATGCTAAGACTAACGACTTCGATCACCTTCTGCAGTTCTACCTGCGTGTGCGCGAGACAATTGGTGCTCCAGTTGAGGGGGCCGGTACTAAGCGCAAAGCTCCCATTGACACTAATGGTGCTTTGGATGTCCAGTCCCCTAAAAAGGTTAAAACATTTGGCAGTGGAAGCTCGAACCCTGCTGCCGCTTTGCCAAGCAATACGGCATCATCCCAACCCTTCAACGGAAGCCAGAATACTCCTGCAAGCAGTAACAAAAGAAAGGCGGCTGAAGATAACGATGGCGATTCTTCGTCTCCTTCAAAACGCACTAATGGGGACTCCACAACTGCCAGCATTTTCGCAAGCTCCTTTTCCCGCTCCAGAACTTCGGATTCCGACGAAGCAACAGGTACTCCATCTTTCAAGAAGCATGATGCTTCGTCTTTGCGACCGTCCACCCCAGAATCGCCCAAACCTAGCATGCTCTCTACGACGCCGAAAACTTCCCCTCCAAAGCCCGCATTCTCTGCATCCACACTTCCCAAGGAGACTTCAACTTTGAGTGCAAGCCCATCTCAATCTCCGTCTACCTTTAAACCTTCCTTCACTGCATCAGCAACCGGTGCCCCTTCTGCAAGTCCATTCGTCATCAAACCTTCAACTGGTGTGGGCGCTAGTACTTCGGCGGCACCCCTGGCTGTTCCTAAGTTTGGTTCTGGCGTTTCTGGCAATTTCTTGAGCCAGTTCAAGGCTCAGTCTGACAAGGAAGCTGAGAAGGAGAAGGAGAAGCGCAAGGCCGAAGAGTTTGATTCGGACGAAGATGACGAGGCAGAGTGGGCACGCCAAGATGCCGAAAAGCAACGCAAAAAGCGCGAGGAAATTGAAGCGCAACAGAACCGACGTGCCAAATTCGTCCCTGGACAAGGATTTTCGTTTGAGGACGACACTACGGAAGAAGAAAAGTCGAACGCAAGCGTTACCTCGTCAATTCTGGATTCTCAGCCCAACTCTTTTTCAACGTCTACCAATATTTTTGGTAATCTGTCCGCGGTTCCTTCGGAGAACGAACACGATGATGCTGCTGATGACACTGAAGAAGACTCTGTCTCCGGTGATGACGATGCCACCGAAGAATCATCTTTTGCGCCAACGAAAGGGCCTGAGACAGGCACAACGGCCCCCAAGGTAAATGGTAACTCTCAGTCACCTGCTCCCGAAAGCAGTGACGAAGGGGATTTCACAAAGGTTTTAGAGAAATCAAAGCAGTCCGGGCAGACCGCTAAAGACAAGAGTTCTGGTGGCCGCAGCATGTTCGATCGCGTGGAGTATGACAAGGACGGAAAGCCGAAGCGCCAGGGTGGAGAAGATAAAACTTCTTCTGCGCTTTTCGGCTCCTCGAACTTGTCATCGTCGTTCAATAGTTCGGCGTCTACTCCGAACCCATTCGCTTCGTTGTCCCAGTCTCAGGCTGAGAAATCTGGCGAGAGCACTCCTAAGCCTGCATCCAGCAACCCTTTTAGTAGTCTTTCGACGCCCGCCAATAATCCTTTCGGAGGCTCGACCTCTGCTACGCCCGGTGGAAGCACCGCTTCAATTTTCGCCACTGGATCCAGCGCCACGAAGCCTGGTAGCGATAACACCTGGAAACCGAGCTCTCCTATTACATTTGCATCGACACCTGCACAGGGCTCAGTCGCATCGGCCCAGTCTGAAACTGGATCTGCCGCCCCGGCTTCTGGTGCTTCCCTCAACTTCCAAACTCTATTTGGAGCTCCGTCCGCAGGTGCTAACTCTGGCTCAAATGGTACCCAAGGGACCGCTGGCTTCTCGTTCGGCGGTCCTTCCCAGACGCAATCCACGCTCTTGACCCCGTCTGTGCTCACTTCGGCATCGCAAAGCCGCGCCTCGACTCCGGGAATGACTTCTGATACTGGTGCTGAAGACTCTAACGACGGCGATATTCCCAAAGATGAACCCCAGGTTGATCTTGCTCGAGGCGGCGCTGGCGAAGAGGACGAAGACATGGTCATTGAGACCCGAGCACGTGGCCTGAAGCTGGTTGACGGTGCCTGGGTAAGCCAAGGTGTGGGCTTCCTTCGCATCTTGAAGAACCGAACCACGTCCCGCAGCCGTATTCTCCTTCGAGCCGATCCCAGCGGAAACGTGGTGTTGAACACCCACTTGATGAAAGAGATCAAGTACACTGTGAATGGAACAAGCATACAGTTCCTTGTTCCTAAAGCCGAAGGCGCTCCTGACATGTGGGCTTTGCGCCTCAAAGCCGCCGAAATGCCCAAACTCGGCACCGCCATTGAGGAAAACAAATCATAAACACGTCGATTGATTCTTAGACTCTCAGAATGCGAAGCTATTCTAACGAACGAACAAACATGGACATGGCAATTGATACATTATCTGCATTTTCAACAGCCTTTCACCCTCCCACTAACTATTACCGCATCTTACTTCGGCCGCCGTTTTGTGTTTCTATCCCCGGATCTCATGACCGAAATCGCAAGCTTTCCCTAAAAGAAAGCCTTGTCTTGTATTATTTTGTCACTATTTTCGAACACTTCGCATCCATCCCTGTTTGATTTTGGATTTCCATGTTATGCTTGTTACTTTTTTTCTCTTCTACCCTTGTGTCTTCTGAACATCAAGTCAGCATGCCGATATGCATAGTTTGGAGTTTTGCTCTTCATAATACAGGTTCTAGTTTCAGTTCTATCTACTTTGCATTCTTCTTATCGATTCCCGTATGAGATTATGATACTCGATGCGCTGCGTTGCCTTGTATAGTGGGCATGATCACTACTGTAAGTGCCATGTAGGCATGTAGACGGGTGTTTGCACCGGTGTCTACTAAATACAGTGGCGTCTGAAGCAGAGGATAAGAAAAAATTTTACATCAGGAATAGGCTTGGTTAAGAAATGAACCATTCACTTCGTGTATGGGACTCGAAGATAGAAAGCGAATGGAGCGATAAGCCATCCCATCAACTTAGACTACCGCGCCCAGCATGCGATGAGCGCGTCTACACGAATCCAGAGTACTATGGTGAGGTAAAGAATTATGGTGAGGTAAAGAAGTGCTCGAGGCGGTCCGATTTTACAGTAGATCAAGGCTGGACGAAGAAGGAACAAGTGTTGCCGTCACAGAAGAGGTATTTTTGAATTCATTTTTGTATCAACCAACTCAAACCGGTAGAAACTCGACGCCCGCTTACTCCTCATCGACAACGGTGGTGTGGAGACCCTTGGGCTCCTTAACGTTGACGGCCTGGACGTAAGAGTAGAGCTTCTCCTTGGCACCCTCCTCGTCGTTACGCTTGCGGGAGATGCGGACACGGAGGCGGAAAGGAACACCCTTGATACCGGCTTCCCAGACCTTCTTGTTGAGCTGGGGGTCGAGGCGGACGTCGGTGGTACCCTATTGCATGGAGAAAATGTGGTTAGAGGGTACGACGAAAACAGGAAAGAGTTTTGGGAGGGAAAATCTTACCATGGCGCGGGTAGCGAAGGCGCGGATCTCCTTGATAGCGCGAGGAGCACGCTTCTTGAAGGAAACACCGTGCGTCTATTGAGTAACAAAAAAAGAAGAATCAGTCTTCCGCCCGAATGCCATCTTGAAAAAGAGGAATTTTTTTCTTGCTGCGATTTGCGGCCATGAGGTGGACTTCATAAAACCAATTCATTTTCTTTTTTGCGTTTGGGCGACCGTTCCCAGTTCGCAGTTTCATCGCACAACGCTCCCAGTTTCTTGGGTTGCAGAGTGGTCTGGCCTGGTCCTGGTTCTGGTCTAAATTGCGTGCGCAACGACTTGCTTTGCTTCTTCCCCCGCAAGGCTGCGGCTTCCACCTTTCTTTCTCAAGTGAAGGTATCTTCAGTCAAGGGAAGTCGTTCGCTTGTCGCTTGTTGCGTGTTGGCGTGGTCTTTGAATCGTCTTGTGTTCTCCATCCATGCCTCACGGTTTTCCAAAAGAGAAGGTGTATTTCATCCTTGTCTTCCGTAGCATCGCAAATTCGGTGGTCGATAAGGCGTCGACCGCCCGAAGGTGAAAGGAGAGGTAATGACGGATTTCGCGTTCAACATACCCTCTTGTGCAGGTTGATGGTGTACTCGCGGGTCACCACGTCGGCGATAGCCGAGCGCTGCTTCTTGCCGGTCTGGACGTTGGACATTTCTGGATAGAAAAAGCGAATTGTCAGATTAATTCGTCGCGAGAAGATAATCTCAATTCTGAAGACGGAGCGGACGCATCAAACTCACTGAAGGGTGTTCGGCTGTGGTTGGCTGAAGTTGTCGACTGTCGAGGAGTTGAGGATTTCGAGATGGCCTTTTTCGTGCTGCTCGAAAAGTGCGGCTCGCTTGTGTGGGGTCACTCTGATTGGTGGATGCCGGATCACATGACCCCCTTGCTACCACTATGAAGACCGAGAACTTCAAGGCCTTCAAAGGCGGGAAGATCCTCTATTGTTATTGTTGGATATAGAGTAGTACTCGGTTGTCTTCCGCCTCGTCAAGCTCGCCTGATTCTCTGTTCAAGCTTTACGTCTCGTTGCGTGTCTGAGAGCTCCTACAGTAACGAAAGTGTCCCACGACTTCTTGCCTTTAAACTCAGAATCATGGCATCTACTATGCAAGTCCTTTATGTCCTAGGATGTGCGACTATCCAGTCTTCGTACGGCCATAAGGAAGAGACGAGTGACGAAGCAATCCAGAGAGTCAAGTTGGGGCACCCATGGACTTCTTGAGTCGAGACAGGGCCAGCGGAGCACGAGCCACTCTAGTAGTAGCCCTAACTCACTTATGACGCCGCGACAATGTGTAGGTGAACTATTTTGATGATTTTACCATTACTTGAAGATGATATTTGATTCTGACCATTCAGTTGAGCGACGTTTGATTCTCTATGTACGGGATAGTCGCAGTGTCGTTCATGTTTGATCGGAGGCAAGGCATTAGTTCTTGCCGGCGCTCACGTCCGGGTACAAGTCAAACCGGCGTTGGGTGTAGATGGGAATACCCTTTCGCGTACTATCGATCGTCTCAGGGTCGAGTTGGGCGTAAACGATGTTCTCTGATTCTTCTGCCTCTGACAGAATTTTCGCGCTAGGGTCCGCGACCAAACTGTGGCCGTACGCATGGTAGGTGGCAGTCGTGTCTCGCGCGGGACTGCACAATGCCACATACACTTGATTGTCAACTGCGCGGGCACGAGCGAGTAGCTGCCAGTGCAAGGGGCCAGTGGTCGTGTTGAAAGCACCAGGATAGATAAGCGCGAATGCGCCATTCCGTGCGGCGGTCATGCCGGGCTCGGGGAAACGGATATCATAGCAAATGGCCAGCCCGATTTTGCCGTAGTCAGGGAGATCAACAACAGTCAATTGGTTCCCGGGCGACAATACCTCGCTCTCCTTGAATGTGATCTTGCCGGGGATATCGATGTCGAACAAGTGTGTCTTGCGGTGGGTTCCGATGAGCGCACCAGAAGGTGAGAATACCAGCGATGTGTTGTAGTACTTATTGGACGTGGTCTCAAGTTCCGGGATGCTGCCTCCTACGAGATACGCCTTGGCCTCGGCGGCGATAGCAGATAAAGCGTGATAAGACGGAGACTGCTCTTTGGTTGGGGGAGACGGAAGAAGAGTCTCGGCATATTTAGGGAAGTATTGAGTACCATATGGGGAGTTGAAGCATTCGGGGAGGACAATCAACGACGCGCCGGCCTTTGCAGCTTCGAGGACCTTCGTGCGGGCGTGGGCAAGATTCGCAGCTTTGTCTGCGCCTATACTCCGAAATCCATTAGCTTGAACACTCGAGTTGGTTGGGAGAAATGAGACGCACCTGATGCAAGCTGCACCAAAGCAAGCTTAAGGGGCTTCTTCAGTATGGCGGCCATGTTGTATATGTGCACAAGGGTACAAAGGAAAAGTGAGAAGGAACGTTGTGTTGGAGCAGTGCGGGGAGGGAGTCGGAGTTGGAGATGATGCCACCGCCGATCTTCCCCCCTTTCGGCCTTATCTTCCTAGCTTAGTCATTATCAGCCATGATTGGCCAAAATATAGTTACACGGAGGTATCACGTGCATTTGGGCTGCTATTGACCTTTCTATTGAGCTTTTCTTTCGACTCTCTCGCTCTCATCATCCTCGAGGAATCACTGGAACTGGCAGAATGCAGCCATTATACTGGCCCATCCTGAGGGCAGCCACTTTAGTCTTCATATTTGCTTCTCGGGCCGTGAGTGAACCGGTGCAGTACTGCCGTTTCGGCCATGAGGATTCGCCGGATGCTACCATTGACTTTTGCTTGGGCATTTCGACGTTCTTTAACTCTTCGTCAAATAACCAGGATCTGTATATGAGTATACATGTCACCAAGAGCTCGGCTCTGGGCTGGACTGCCCTCGGCACCGGATCAATGATGGCAGGCTCATTGATGTTCATCGTCTACGGCGATCCCTTTTCTTCTGAGCTAAACGCCCCTGCTGTGAGCGTACGTACGATTGACGGTCATCATCAGCCCCATCTTCTCTCTTCATCCGATACTGGAGGAGCTGAAATTCGTGTCGTTAAAGCCGAATGGGCTTCCGTTGATTCTGCCAAGGATAATTCGCAGAGCAAGACCTCGAACGGAAACTCGGTTTCTGTCGCAGAAGTAGCAATCATATGCTATTCGTTTACAAAGTGGCCTGGGTCGCCAATAGATATGGACGCAACAGCCCAGCCATGGATTTGGGCGTGGAACAAACATCAAGAATTCGATACGTTTGCAGACGTCGTGCATCTGGACGTGCATGAGCACCACGCGGAAACTGGCGGCTGGGGACGCTTCTACGTCGACATGGCACGGGCAGTGGCCAAAGACATACTAGCACCACTTTCGCCTCCAATTCGACCCGGTGTCGCTACCCTCGGCGCCTGGGATATACCTGGTGGATGGTCTTGGAGGAACTCATTTGCCCGTTTCCACGGCTTTATTATGAGCGCTGCTTTTCTGCTATGCTTCCCGGCTGGAGTAGTTGCAATGCGGTCAGGGTCAAGCAAATCGTTCAGATACCACTGGATCTTGCAGCTCATTGCGTCAACTTTGGTCTTGGTCGGCGTGGCTATAGGACTGCTTAGGGCACATAAGATCAGCTCTCCCCACCATTATATCGGACTCATCGTGGCTCTCCTCAGCTTGGTTCAGATTTGGCTAGGCTGGCGCCATCACGTTCTATTTGTCAGGATAAAGCAGCGCCAATGGGCTTCCCATGGGCATATATGGTTAGGCCGTGTATTTTTATTGCTTGGTTGGACCAACATAATTACCGGGCTTTTCTTAACCGGCCGCGGCTGGTCCTTGATTTCTTTGGCCGCCAGTTATATATCAATCGCTGCAGTGGCCGTGAGTAGCTGGGTTTGGTATGCTACACGTCAGCGTAAGCAACGTGGACATCCGCAAAACTGGGAAGAGGAGAGCCCTCTGTACGCCTTGGAGGCCACGAGGGATGATTATTTTGCCATTGCCCCGGACGATGATGATGAGAGCGAACTCGAGTCAAGCAACGGAAGTTCGAAACCTGTCAAACTACACAAATCAGACGCAGAGTAAACAGTATCCTGAAGAGCATACAAATCATTCGTTAATGCCTGCTCTTGGCTCTTGTCAAATAGCCAACATCACGCCACACGCCAAACCCTCCTATATAACGCCGTGCCCTAACACCGCCAGCAAACGTCTCATTCCCTACTCAGTCCCGAGGGAAATTGGTGATGAACGCGACTTGTACAGCAGCAAACCTGTTCAGCATGTTAGTCTCCTCTGCAACCCAGAGAGCCAGATGATCAGCATACGCCGTCGAAGCCGCAAACACCTCAACCCGCCTCGCCTTGGCCAGAAGGCCAATTATGATCGAAAACCCAATATTGTACACAATAATGATGATCAACCGGAGGATCATGTTCTCGATGAGATATAGCGCTAGCATCGATGTCGCCGGAATAACGGATGATGTTATCGTGCTAGTGACCCTTGTGAATCGAACGATCTTCTCGTCGTTATAGTAAACTGTGCCCATCTCAATGTCTCCTGTCTGCTTCCATCCACCCGGCCCGGCCAATGGCCAGTCAGTCAGCCAGCCCTCGACAATTCACATGAAACATCCGAAACACAGCACGCACCTTCTTGGACCCAACGAGCCAATAATAAAACCCGAGCACATGCTTATGCCAGAACGGCACAAACGCCCGGAACACCCATCTTGTCAGCGAGTCGACGTTGTCGTACCGCCCCGAGAGCGTCACCAGATCCCTTGCATTCTCGCCGTCAGGCCCACCAAACCACTGCTGGCATTCTGCCGGCGTCGACCAAACCGAGTTATCTGACAGCCACTGCCGGAAGATCTTCAGATCGCGCCTATGCGGCGGCTTATACCGGAGGAGCTGGGCCTGCTGTGCGATAGCCGTATCTATCCTGCATAAGCAACTTTCCATCTTATACATACAGAATAATCAATATAAAAGAAAACTCACTATACTTCTCCAGCAACTCCCTAACCTGCAACCACTTCTCCCACTGCTCCGAGGGCTGGTCCTCAACGAAGCCCTTCATGAAGCGCACAGAGGACGAGTACTTCTCACGATCTGCATCCTTGGACTCCCGATCCTCCTTGGCAATTTCAATCAGTTCTTTCTCTTTGATTGCGATTTCAGCCTGCAAGTATAGCAGGTTCTTGGCGTTGAGCCGCTTGAAGGAGCGGAAGATGGAGAGGCCCTTGTCGCCCGTCATCAGGGCCGCGAGTTTGTCGTAACCTTCCATTGAAACCGTGGGCTATTATTGTCTAGTTAGAGAGATCCTGAGAAGGGTGCGTAGAGTGATTGGATAGTCTAGATTGGTCGGGCATATACCTATCCATAGCATGGCACGGCACATCTATTTCTTATATCACGGACGAGTCAGAGATTCCGCCTACAAGGCATACAGACGCCATTTACCCGCTTGATAGAGCCTCATCCGGTCCTCGTTCAAGATAAAAGAAGCCTGAACGCTTAGGCACATACGCGCATGCGGAGTACAAGGCTATGAGGTCGTGGTCGTACGCCGGGTCTACGGTAGGACTAGGTTCCCGACTAAGCCACCCAGGGTATAAGCCACTTGCTACCAACGCCGTGTAACTGGTGCGAGGCCTGCCGGGTGCTCTAGCCGGGGCACGTATTCGGCCTCGTGCAGGTGTGATGCTTTGGTCATGGAACTGGGGTTGCCCAAGCGGCCAAGCCGCGTCTCGTGGTGTCCCAACGTCACTCAAGGCAGAAAGACCTGGAGTCTTACAACGCTATGACTTTCTTGCAGATTGCTCATGCGGGTCAGGGTCAGTTCGTCGATCATGGAATACCTGGAAGTGGGCGGGATACAGCTGGGTTGGGGGACTTCTACAAGAGAAAGACGTCTTTGTGTGCCAACCGGACGGGAGACCTATATATTTCTCGAAATGCTGTCGCTATAAGCCGGATCGAAAACTTCAATGCCGGGAGGTAGACCGGTGCGTTCGGAAGATGGACCACTTATGCCCTTGGTGAGTGGGGTGAGGTAATAATACTGGATCTGATCGTGGACGGTTCTCTGCTCTGTTGCGCTGGGTGGCTCTGGAGCATAGCAAAAATAAAATTGTTCCAAGGTGTGGCCGTGTCTATTCCTCTATTCGGTGCAAAATTCCCAATGCTTCTAGCATTTGCGTTAGCATAAGTCATCATGCGGCTCATTCTCTTGAATCCGAGACGCAGCAAAAGCTCTCAACAATCATGTACATGAACGCCCTAAAGTCCCCATATCGTTCGAAAGATCATCGCTATTTTTTTTTTGGTTCAATCATCGATACGTCAATCTTTCTGAGTTATCCTCATCCTCTTCAAACAGCCCGTAGCGCTGGATAGAGGGCAGCCCCAGCAGCATATCAAACTGGCTGTCCTTGATAACCACACATTTTGTTCTAAACGGACGCTTCCCTTTATATATCTTCCAGTTCACCTCTAGTGTCCCCACCGGCTTCACAAAGAACCCGTTAGGCATGCGGACTTCTCCGCCATTGTATTCGCCCATTGGGACGTTCAAGAGGCGCGGAAACTCGTCGGAAACTGCATCGACGAAGGATGATGTATCCAGCAGGACGCAGCGGTAAATAGGCTGCTCCCGTCCAGGCGCAAAGAGCTCGATATCGTGGGCAGAACTTGTCTTTCCGGTCTCTTCATAGGTCACGTCGGATGCATCTTCGTATCCAGTGTTGTCGTTTCCTCGTTGTTGCCGTTGCTGCTGCTGCTGTTGTCTTGCGGAAGAACTCTTCTTGCGTTTCGTAGTCCAACTGAGTCTCTGTGTATCTGGAGACGCTGTTTTCGGCCATGATCTCAACCCTATGAGCGAGTATTTTGGCGGAGACGTCGCGTCCGAATATCGCGGATCGAACTCTGGATTCGCTGGTTGTCGGTCACAGCAGGATAGGAATCCACAAGCTGCGCGTTTGTAGTGTTCTCGAAAAGGGAAGGGCATCTGGAGTTGCGGTTCGAAGAAAGAGCACGTTAGATCACCTGTATAATAGAAAAGCATGCTCACGTATAAATATTTCGCTTTCGAAAGATAAAAAAGGGGCAGGCAAGGTTAGAAAAAAGGCTGCTAGACACCTCTCTTCTCGGTATTCTCCGCGGGACGCATATACATATATATAGAGAATGCAGCGCCGTATACAAGGCTATCACGAGGCTCTCCAATCGTATGCTTCAGGCTCAGGGTGACTGGTTTTGCTTGTTATGCCCTTTGCCAACCCATCATTATCAATTTTGTGAAACGTATGAAGATAGCATTGATTCAGGGGCAGAGCTCACAGTTCAGGTCGATGCCCACAAGGCTGAATATCGACGAGGCTGGATTTCTTCATTCAAGACAGAAAGGCCCGGCCTGGGTATTGCGTATAAGGATCGCTTTAGGCGGCTAGTGATGACGTGGAGCCTAGAGAGATGCAAGGCTGAAAGAATCCGCATGTTGGGGGTAGCGCCGAAGCAATAAACAGCGGCCAATCGAGGGTCGCAAGGAGTGGCAGTGGTCGGTGAAGACTGGTGTAGGAGGCCGCACGGTGAGTGGTCGAGGCCAAGCGCTGTCAGACACGACTCGGCGAGGCTGTTACCTGGGCAGCGGTGCAGCTGATGCCGCTTTGACACTGGTGCCAGCATCGACATAATTAATGCGAGCTGTTATACACGGCAGAATTATGACGTAGAGGCGTTGCGAGTAAAGCCAACTTAGAACTATGCTGCAGACTGTTGCTCATGATGCGAGAACTAGACTACTCCTAACTATTTTCCGCTTGAAGGGCCCTTGCCCTTTCCCTGCTGCTCCTTCATGCGCTTCTCCCAGGCCGCCTCTCGTTTCGCGGCTTCTGCCAGGTTATCCTTTTCCTTTTGGGCAGCGTTCTTCTCCCACTCCTTCCTCTCTGTAGGAGCGACTCTGTTAGCACCCACTGTTCTCATCATTTATTCACGACGGAATGGCAGGGATCTAAAGGTCGGAATCGAGAATACTGACCTTTTCTGGAGTTTCCCTTCAGAAGCTCAGTAGGCGCTGCAGAGGTCCGGCGTCCATCCTGGTCATCAACTGGAAACTTTTCCCTCCAGCTCCTTGCAAGAATAATCTCGTGCCTGCCAGTAATATGCGCATTCTCGGTTTCGGCGACATAGACATGCAGCAGCTCTGTTTTGCGCCCATCGCGCGGCTTCATTAACAAGACGACTTTGCTTCTTGCAGTGTATGAGGAGCCGTAGGAGTCGTAGAGAATCTTGTCCGCGTTCAGCGGGATTGTGGCCACCTGCAGCACATTCAGTAGTTGCTCCAGGCGTTTTCTGGACATTATGTTTTCTGCGATCGTATCGTCGATGATAGCGTGGAGAGGTTCGTTCTCTCCATCTCCCGTTGGATTGCAGGCGATCGCTGTGACGGTAGTCTGTAGTTGATCGCCAAATGTTAGCCATGTTTTCAATTCGGTATGTAGAAATCATAATGGATGAACCACTACGGGCCTGGGGGCGTACCATCTTCAATCACTTCGATCGGTGTTTATCAGGTGCAATGGACGCGCTATCGTTGATCGTGCCTTTGTAGAGAGAAGAACCCATGCCAGCTCTTCTACGCCGGAAACACGAAGGATGGCGGTCTTCATAACTGCGACTTGAAACAGCACTGGGTAGCAGAGTCCAGTTGAGCCGCATCGAGATTCGCGGTGTAGTGTTCGTGGAGGGTCGCACGCAGGCACAGGTTGTTTGCTTCACATTGGGTCGGCTATAGCGAGCGAGCCATATCGTGGGGAGAAGTGCATTCACGTCACCACAAGGCTATATCCTCGCGAAGGGTGGTTGTCTGCATCTCGGACAAGCAGCAAACGATCCTTGACCACGAATATGCTGACTGCTTCTTCGGCTTGAACGGAATTGCTGTTAGTGGTGGGTTTTGGAATTAGCGACCATCTCAACCCAAGTTTCTGTTCCAGTGTCAGCTGGACTTCAATGTCGCACAAACTATTGTGTGCACGATGACTTACCTCTGAAAGAAGCATATCCAACCCCCACCGAGACTTTGCACCTGTTGTACTGAGCAACTCCGGGCTAGAAAAAGAAAAGGAGCCCAGGATGCGGTCTAATCAACTAGCTTCGTATCAGTAGCGAATAGCTATTTACATCCAGCCGCCATAAACAGATCCTGAAAACATGGACAAGCCCCTGGGCGGTTCCCGGTCGGAGGAATCAATAGAATGAACGCCTTTTGCCAGACGCCCTTTCATGCCTTGGAGAAATGGAAACAAACAAAAGTCCTGAACCCCCGCTCGCTAAAATAATAGGAGCCAAAATACTCCCAAAATCAAGATCCCTCTTTGACCCTTCAAAGGCTCGTCATGCATTGATCAATTTGTCCTCCATACTCATAACTCCGTTCATTTTCTCAAGGTGTTCCAGAAGGTCAGACCCAACACGCAGCAGCCGATACGCATTGATGGTATCGGTACCAATCAACACATCGTAGCGCATCGAAATGATGTAGAAATCAGATTGGTATGTTTTGGCACCCTTTTTGAAGCGCCATTCCAAATTCCGTACAACGCCCTCGATTCGGATTTCCTCTGAGCCCAAGTTTCTGACATAATAGTCGTCGTCGAGATGTTCTAGATTGCCGCGTCCATCTATGTTCAATCTGTCCCATACCTCCCGTCGCATCAGATTGATCTTTATCAACTGGGTGTCCATTGAAGCCGTCACCTGTTGCGTTCGGTCCGGTGCGTCTCCAGGAAGCCTCACAACGATATCAAGCCCCGAGCCGAGATCATGAACACACCCGCTGTGAACTTCGTCATTTGGTCTGTCGTTCCAAGGTTTGCGTCTCGTCAGGTCAATTTTCGCGCACTGTGTGCCGATCGATGCCGTCATCTGTTGCGATCTTTCGGGCTTATCACCAGGAAGCCTGACAAGGATATCTGCTGCCGACGGTGAACCGCTGTCCAAATCCAAGCTTCCGGATGGTGAGGCCAGTAACTCTGGGGCCTTGATGTCGCGGGGCACCAGATTCGCATCGACAGACAACGTTCGACTACTTCCTGACGGTCGAGGACTTCCATAGTGGGCGGGCAGTTGTGATGGCGGAGATAAGTGGATGTGATTCTGGGAAGAGGGGCTTTTGTTGCGGTAATGTTGATTTCGAGGCTTTGATGGTGGTGTTTGACCACCAGGATGTTGTTCAGCTGCTGCCTCCCCGCGGTCGCGGGAGGCCAAGTTCCGAATGAAGCGATTTAGCTTTTTCGATGAGAGTTTTGAGAGCTTCGAACGAACACTATCCCAGTTGATCACTAGTTTGCGCTTCTGCGTGCTGTGTGAATTCGGAGCTAGTATCACAGTCAGTACGAAAATCCCAATACAGCTTACTTGCCAACGCCAAATCGAGAGATACCACTTACCCATGATGTCACGAGAATCCCTGGACATATGTAGATGTATCGAACCTTCGGGTTAGTGGGGGATGGGGGAAGGTGCGATGGGAAATATGAGAGAGGCAGGTGTGGATGGAATGGGTGAGGCGAAGTCGGATAGTCTGCGGTGTTGGGCAAAAGTCATAAGGAACCCGCAACCACCCACCCAAAAACGTAGATTATTGTATCTTCTCGATTAAGCAGACGCTATATCCGAGAATTGAGAGGATGGCAAGAGAGGAGAAAGAAAGCAGAGCGATGACACTGGGGTACAAGGTATTCACAGTCATAAAAACATCGCCGACTCGATTCAGGCGGCGTACTTTATTGGGCAGAACTTTGAAGACGTCACACCCACACGTGGTTGCAAGTAACAGAATCTCAGGGGAATGGAGTATCTAGTAAGCAACGACTCCAACGAGATCACTCAACGGCATAAGCTCACGACCCTTGGCGTTTAGGCAGCGAACGAGGGGGACATAACACAGTCGGGAAACGATTCCGCCTGGTTTCTTTCTTATAGCGGCCTCACTAAGGCATGCTTTTGTACTGCTGCTACCGTCCCTTGGTGTCGCTTTTTGGCCAGTATACATCCGTGGTTGTTATGAATGGGTGTGCACATGAGCCTGGCTTTCAGAGCTGATGAAAGAGAACAAAGCTCATCTTGGTATAATGAGGTTGACTAGCTGGAACAACCGATTCGCGATTGGTGCCACGCGGATTTTCAGCGCCCACGAAAACATAACAGGCTGATAGGGCTGATTCGAAGGGGAAGGCCGCGCAATCGACACTGGTACCCATACCTAGCGTCTTGTGGCAATTGAGTGAGACTCTTTGTTGCGATACCTATCCCGATTCTCGCTAGGGCGATATTTCCATAAGCGAAGCCTTGCAGAAACCGAGCGAGTGGGCAAATAGTTCCCACTCTGGGGTGAGCTCTGGAGGCAATTCAATACACTCGGTGCTTCATCGCCTCAGTCGGCTTGCTGATACTGCCTTGGTGAGTTTCGTCGTGAACGGCATATTGATATTGTTTGTCTGATCGACAGTATGTCCGGCGGCAGGTGTTCGGTTTAGCATCGGATTCAATTTTGATTGGCGAAGAGGTACTTCGCTTGAAGCGCGAGAGAGAAAATCCCGGGGGCGAGTAAGCACATGAGCATGGAGCAAGCGTCTTCGCCCGATCTCAGGACCCTGGATTTCCGTTACTAGCTTGCTTCACCCTCGGCGGCCCCGCTCGGCATACGTGGTCCYTTTGTTGGCAAATGGGAATAGAACGGATCATTAAGATGACAAGTTGACGGGCTGTCAGGGGGATTGGGAGTTGGTGATTGAATGCATGGATATTGCATAAGGTGATGACATTTAAAAGAACTTGGATGACTAATATACAAAAATTACTAAGCAAGCATAACTTCCTGGATAAGTACTCCCGCTAGCAATTTAACCATGATCCTCTGCCATTCAACAATCAGCCTGTTCCGTCCTTTATTTATTTCTTCTTGCCAGTCAGTCCCAGAGAGTCCGTCAGCGACGTTAGTCCCAGGTTTGACAGCAGCTTGTCGAGTCCCAGACCACCAAGCAAGCCGTTGACCAAGGGTCCCAGTCCGAGACCGTCCAGCAGTCGACCGACCAGGCCCAACACACCGGACAAGAGCAGACCGACGGCCGCGATAATCTGGAAAAGCGGCTCGCTGAGAAGACCCCAGAGTGGGTTCAGCTCTTTCTTTGCGTGGGGCATTCCAGCGATCTTCTTCTTTCCGTTGTCAATGCACCTGAGGACAGAGTTGGAAAGCTCCTTGAGCTTCTCGGCCAAGCCGTATTCTTCGGGCGAGGCCTCGTGGGACGCAGCTCGGGCCTTTGCTTGAGCGGCGATACGGCCATCAGGGTCGAGGGCACGAATGGCGCCGTTGCACTCCTGGAGGATGCTGTTGGCCTCTTCAAGGAGCGGCTTGACATTCTTGACCAGTTCCTCCTCATCGAGCTCCTCCTTTGGCGTCGCGTTCGCTCTGTCAACGTGCTACATAAGGTCAGTAAGCTGTCTTTTGCTCCAAGGCCGATAGTAACTCACCTCGGTGATCATCTTGCAGATAGGTTCAACACGGTCCAGCGTTCCGGACACGATAGCCGACATCTTCTTGGCCAATTCCCTGTCCTCTTGCTCCTTCTTCTGAGCATCCAGCTCTTCCTGAGAGGGACCCTCTGGCTCGGCCTCAGGCTCCGGTTCAGGCTCAGGCTCGGGGATGTTCTCGAGCAAAGTGCATTCGCCAATCTTGTTTCCGTCGTTGTCAACTACATATCCGTTGTCATCGATCTCCTTTCCGATGAGACTGCTCAGGTTACCGGAAGTCAGCTTGCCGATGAGGTTTCCATCGGCGTCGCGAACTTCACCCTCACGGTTGACCTTGCGGCCTGCCATAGGGTTGATGTCGCGCTTCTTCTCTTCCGGCTCCCAGCGCTCGGCTTTTCCGATGGTGTTACCACTCTTGTCAAGGATATCACCATCTTCGTCAACCTGGCGACCAACAAGTTTGGCGGCATCTCCTTCGATAATGCGGCCAACGATACGACCGGACTTATCTTGGACAACACCGTCTTTTCCAACTGTCAGGTTCTCGAAGCCGTAGAACAAGCCTTCAGGCTTCTCCTGCTCAGCACCAGGAATGAGCTCAGCCCTGCCGATGACCTTGCCATCATCACCCCAGATCTGACCCTTGCCGTCGACCTTTCGTCCTGCAAGGCGCTTGCCATCGCCGGACACGATGCGGCCGTAGACGGTACCGTGCTCGTCAACAACATTGCCGGCTTTGTTAACCGTCTTTCCTTCTAGGATCGACAGGTCCACCTCTTCGGGCTTCTCTTCTTCGGGTTCCTCATAGGGCTCGGCGTGGCCCTTGACGCTGCCGTGCTGGTCAATGACGTCTCCATCTTCATCGACGGGGCGGCCAAGGAGCTTCTTCGCATCACCCTCGGTCAGTTTGCCGACACGGTGGCCAGCACCGTCCTCGACGAAACCATCTTCGACGACGTGAAGACCTTCAAGTCCGGCGAAGGGAGGCTCCTCTCCATAGTCCTCGGCTTTGATCGTCTTGGCTTTGCCGATAACGTTACCGCGGCTGTCCCAGAACTGGCCCTTGTCGTCGAGCTTGCTCCCGAGTCTAGAGAGCTTCTTCGGGTCGCCTTCCACCAACTCACCAACGGGATTGCCGGAGGAGTCAATGATCTTTCCGGCCTTGTTGCAGGTCAGGCCTTCAAGGGCGGAAAGTGGCGGCAGAGCCTCTTCAGCTTCTTCGGCTGTCTCTTCGACGCCTTCAGTCGCCTCTTCTGCGGTCTTCTCTGCCTCGTCAGTAGCGCCTTCGGCTTCCTTTTCGGGGCCTTCGAGGTCCTCGGTTGCAACGTCTGTCTTCTTCTCAACATCGTCGGTTGCGTCTTCGGTCTTCTTCTCAGGCTCTTCGACACCCTCGGTTGCACCTTCTGCTGTCTTTTCGACGTCGTCGGTCACATCTTGAGCTGGCTTCTCGGAGCCTTCCGCAGTCCTTTCGGTCTTCTCGGTGGCTTCGGACTTCGCGTCTTCGGGAAGGTCATCTTTCACGTCGTCCACGGTCTCCTTGACCTCCTCGGTAAGTTCCGCCTTACCCACAGTCTCGCCGTCATCGTTCACGATCTTTCCTCCCTCCTCGACTACACCGCCAACGGCTTCCTCACCACCCTCGACAACTTTGCCGACAACGTTACCCTCTGGGCCAAATATCTCTCCACCCTCTTGAACGTGGAGATCCTTCAGCATGCTAAGCGGCTTGGAGGCGATACTGGGGACACTCTTGATGGTCTGAGTAACCTGCTGCCCAAGACCACCGGCGAGCGACCCTATTCTTCCAAAAACACCGCTTCCGCTGCTTTGAGCTGGGCCAGATGCTTGTGATTCATTGTCATCACGCTGCTCTAGCTCTGGCTCCTTCTGCTGGGGCGTGTGCGTCTGGGGTGTGGGCTCCTTCTGCTCATGCTCGGTCTCGGTCTCGTGCTCCTGCTCCTGCTCCGGCTCCTGCTGTTGTTCTTGCTCTTGGCTGATAGGTTCGGGTGCCTGCTGCTGAATATCACTGCCGGCCTCCTTAGGGTTGAAGTCGGTGCTCTGCTGCGGCTGGTTGGGGGCAGCACTAGAGCCGGACAACTTCCGCTCAGAGGGGGCATTGGATCTCTGATCTTCTGACTTGGCAAGCGGGGACCACATTCTGTAGAGTGCTTCGATGATACGATCGATAAATTCCAGATTATAGGTCGGGTATAGGGCGTAAGGCGTAGATCACGTTAAGGACTAGTCGTTAAGCGTTCGTAAAGATATAATACTTTGGCAAGGTATAGTACAGTATTAGGTATTCGTGATTGGGTAGAGTTCGTAGAGTTAATAAAGGATGAGAGTATAATTGTCTTCCCAGCAGAAACCACCACACTTATATAGCACACGCTCTATACAAAAACCAGTATATCAGAACGCCAGGTTATGTCACAACGACATCACATCACATCCAGCCTAGACTGGAGGCTAAGGAGCTAAGGCTGCTTGTACGTAGGCCGTAGACCCATCAGCTTGAGATCTGGCACACCCTTGCAAGCCACAGACACCAGGGTGCAGCTGTTGGCTTGTCGCGCTGCGGGTGGAGTCAGCACTCGGCAGATCGCATAGACGGTACATTAGTAAAGCATCTACGTTACCCGCCGTCCAAGTAGATGGAGATAGTATCCGAGACCTGGGTGTTCAACCCGTGGTTAGGGTGCGAGGTACGTGTGCCCATGACCTCCCGCCTACGGAGTACTAGATCGGTACCATTACCCATGTATTTCTGGTAGTAGATGATGTATCCTTTTCTAAGAATCAGGGAACTATACGGGAGTAGGTAGGTATGCATTGCGTCAATGTGCAGGGATTCCCGCAGGGATTCTCCTAGGGTATATTAAAATAAAATTAACCCCTAATTATATGGCCCACGGGCTAACCTATACAATCAGACTGACAGTCAATGATATCGTATAATCGTACAATATATTGCATTAGTCGCATCGAATCTTTCAGAATTAATATGGGTCGTCCAGAGTCCATGGAACCCTCAACAACGGGTCCTATTCCCATCGATCCATCCAGATAAGTGACACCATAACGGCTATCCCCACCCGCACGATTAGTGACATGACATTAGCCGTACCAGTGTAGAACTGGGGGCTGTGCACCATTGCAGTTGTACTCTGTTGCCTTACCTATTGGACAATACCTGGACAAAGACAGCTGCAGCAGTGTGGACTCGTCACTCGATCGGCTAGAATGAGATCATCCCGCCACTGCACGCTGCCAACTAAAACGCAACGAGTAACAAGTTGAGCGCTAGACCGAAGTTTATATTACCTGGGGTCTGGATCTTGAGCTGAATGGTCCAGGCCTGACTCGAGGCCGTTGGGTGATGAAGTTGCCTGGGGAGGGATGACGTATCGCGGCCAGACCACATGGTGGTTGACCGTGGGATATGAGTGCGAGGGGTTGTATGCGTGGAGTCTCCTATAATTAATATACTGGATTATTCTGTCCGGCTCGACTTAAGCTATATGCAATTCTTCAATGCATCGAAGTGGGTTATATCTAGTGAACATTATAGTTATCGCACGGCATTAGCCTCGACTAGACGCCAACCTAACCTTAGATCTATGCAGTGAAGTAAACTATTCTTTCTCGAAAACAAAGTAGACACTGACAAAATCCCCGACCGTTATCTAAATACCCAAGCGGAGAATAAGCAGCGAATCACAGAACAATGTAGCCGATCCATTGTCTTTAATCCACAACCTGGGGAATTGTCGGTCTGGCACCTGGCAGCCTCGGCCGAGTCTGACGTCAGTCCTGGCATCCCGTCCAAGATTAGGGCTTGCTGCCGATGGATGATTCTGCCGTTACCAGCCACCATCGTCGGGGGCGGTTATGTCACTTTGCTGTTCTGGGTTGGAATACTGTCTATCGCGGCAGATGTTTTTCTGCGATGCGCCGATGATGCGGTGGGTGATGTGGCTGGCGCTTGGTGATCTGGGAACCCGGGATTGGTTGGCTTGGCTGGGAAGGGTTCTATACTATGTTATGCGAGATGGGATCGAGGGTCTCTGAGGGCTCTGGAACTGACCGTTAGTCATGAACATGAGTTAGCGGTGGTCTACCAGTGCTTGTCTCGAATATACGAAGTAAGGTTGATGGATATTTACTCTGAGTCTTGGCCTAAACGTGGGACTATATATAGCAGGGAAGGGATGTCATGTTTGAGGCATTGGGTTGTAGAAGATCCTTTCACGAGAACCAAATTGAATTCTTGAAGTCACTAGATAGGAGGATTCTCATGCGCCCTGGAATATAGCAATAATGATGCGCTTTGACGCCTTGAAAGTCTTAGAAACCAGGACAGCGCGAGATAGGGTATTAGGAGAGCTTTGGGCTCTACTGCTGTTTTTTAGCTCTATAATATTAAATTTTGAAGCCTCCTACAACAAATAGGCAAGGTGGCCGAGCGGTCTAAGGCGCGCGGTTAAGGTATCTATTAGAACCTCCTCTTGATCTATCAAGTTTCCGCGTCATTAATTTGGCGTGGGTTCGAATCCCACCCTTGTCATTTCTTTTTTACTTTCTCAATTTTTTGGGGCTTCTCTCAACTAGGTAACCTCCCAATATTACCTCCCCGCACGCGGGGGTTGCTGCTGCTACTACTCTCCTAACCACCTACTTCCTTCCCTGCTGCCCGTTCTCCCCTTTCACCGCACCTCAACAATGATCTAGTTATCCTCGTCAACACCAATTGAGTACTGACCATACCTCACTGCCTCTCGGTCCAAGTGCCTTCTCCCTTTCAACACAACACAACCAGCAAACTCCCTTCGACAATTCGACACCCAATCCTCCAGCGTCAACCGTCACAACATGCACCATGGAGAAGATCCCACCCGAGCTACTGATTGAGATCTTCAATCACCTGTGCGGCAGCGCACAATCTTTACGGGTCAACCGACAATGGTTCCAGCATCTGATGCCTATCATATGGAAAGCTGTGGACGACCGTCATCTCTCGAACGTGACGCGAGGCCGCCGCCAAATGTACGCCTCTGCTATCAAGTCGCTAAGACTGACGTACCGTGGTCCGCGCATACACGAAAAGCTTGGGCGCCTCGAATTTCCTCGCCTGAACACACTGATATGTGAGATTGCGAGCATCGTCCCCAACCCTTTGATGCTTCCTGCTTGACTGGGTATTTGGTCCCTACATTGACCAGTGTCGCGCTTGACATTGTAGCGGACCAAGGTTTGCTGGATCGCCTGGCGAACCAATGCCGCCAGCTCAGCCGTATCGAACTAAGTAGGCTGGCACCGGGCGTCACAACCGAGCCCATTTTGCACCTACTCGACAAGTGTTCGTCCCTGGAGCGTATCAGCCTCCATGGCGACGTGCTATCGGACCAGGTAATCCGTCGACTAGCACAGCTTCGGAAACTGCGCAAGCTCAAAGTTGGTCATTATATTGAGCACGATACGATCGATGCCGCCAACCTGGAATCAATACCCCAGCCGTTTCCTTCGATAGAGAAATTGACCATTGAAGGTTCGGAATTGTCATTACTCTCACTCGGCAAAATCGCTACATTAGTGCGGAAGACCAAAAAGCTTGACGCGAGCCTGGGCTATGATCCTAACCCTGCACTAAACCAACATCCTCTTGTCCCATTGACCGAGCTGCGTGAGTTGAAGATCAGAGCGCAAATGACTGATTCGCTGTCGCCCCATGACTTTGTAACGCTGACGGCGCTACCACAACTTGAAGTATTGATCATCTGGGCCGAGCCATTCCATCGGAGTACGCCGAGCTGGGATGATCACATTCGATATTTGGCATCAGGGCTGCCCAATCTCAAAGTGTTTAGTCTAATCTGCGGAGCCATCGGTACCACCGCGAAGAGCTTGATAGCCCTTGGTGAGTGCTGCCAGTCCCTTGAAAAATGCAAAATTCCAGCGATGGAGTTCAATATCTTGGACCTCCAATTACTTCAAGCGCCGCTATTCCCGAAGTTGAAGGAGTTGACGACCGGTACTTTCGTTCCCGAGCGTGGCTTAAACGAGGTGCCTGAAAAACATGCCATGATATTTGCATCGCAGTTTCCAGAACTATCCTGCATCGGATACTATGACGTGAAATCTGACCCAGACAGATGTGATTTTACCGCGTCTGTGCATGAAGCATGGAGCAACAATCGGACGGCAGAAGGCAAACCACCCCTCAGAGAAATGAACTACTTGTTGGACATGTCATTTGACGAGAGGGCTTACCTGCAATGGTGACAAACCTCGAGTTGTGACATGTATACTTCTTAGCTGCATAAAATTTATGCTTTAAAGCACAGGCGCAAAGAAGCACCTTGCCATTGACATTCAAGTTTTCAACTCTTTTTGCCTTCTACAGCATAAGCATAAGCCAATGGAGTAATAATGGAACTGTTCTTTGCCCGGATGGATTAGCCGCTGCCAATGTCGGGGGACTAAATCCTCCAGACAGCCTAGGCCTTTCATCTGCTGGCATCGCCACCGGGGCGCCTCTTCGCTTCCAGAAGTACTTGCCCAGGAATCTGCCCAAAACACCTGATTCAGCCAGCAAACCCTGTTGGAAGTGTTGGGAAAGCATGCATGAAAGAAGCAATGTGCAGAGGCGCAGGCGAGTCTGGGTCTAGAGTTAGAGACAGCAAGCCAGGCAGAACCCCTGAGTCAGAGGAGAGAGACATGAAGAACGCACGGTTTGCCGCCTGGCTTGTTCTGCGAAAAGAAATGAGCGCGAGGAATAGGGGGCCGATGGCAGAAAGTAATATAATCAAGGGCATCCCTGTCCTCATATTAATATCCACGTCGAAATTCTCTATCACATCCTCCCAGTCTAGACTGCTTGGTAAATAAAGGGTCTGCTGGTCACGTTGTGCCTTGACGCCGGGATCCCGACCAGCCTTTCACCAGTTCCAGACTCTCGCCTTCGCACTCTCGTTTGGCTCCTGAAAATTCTTTCTCTCTCGCCACGGCGTTACCCCGGTAGATCTCGATCCGGCCTTTCGTTTATAGGCGCCGCGGCCCCAGGAACAGGAAACCGATTTTCTCTCGGAGGACGTGTCTTGATTTTGTGACTCTGCAGCCCAGAATCCAATATAACCGCTTTGGGACATCAATTTGCCGAGAACCTCAGGGAACTCACCACTATCACTTCCTCTGCGGTACCTCAACTTTCGGTCATTATTGTGAATTCCTCGCGTCGCTGCAATCTTTTGGATATTCTTAACCTCAAGAGTCGGAAAGAATCGCCATCGCCATGTTCGAAGACTTCTCCTTCTCCTCCCCTTCCTCGTCCAGGCCACCCCGCCTCACGCCGACTCCGACGGACGACGACAAATCCATGGCCGACTGCGACTCTAATATGATATCGCCCATGTCCTCGCGATGTCCTTCGCCTCGATCATTCGCTGCACCGCGCTTCCCTCGCTCGCGATCGCTCTACTTCCGTTCGCCGCAGCCGCAGCAGCCACAACAGCCGCCGACCTCCGTCCCCTTCTCCGCCTACGATAAGCACCGTTTGTCTATCGGCACGCTCACAAAGAAACTGCACGAACATTCGATCCAGACTGAAAACACGTCTTGCCCTGCTTCTCCTTCGTCTCCATATGAACCACAACTCCCGACACCGCCGCGTTCCTCTTTTCCGTTCAACCCCAACTTCCCCGGCTACGTTCTCACCCCGCCGGATACGGATCTTGATGACGAGGGCTATGCGTCGCCGATATCTCCCTCCCTTTCCGGCTCGGGTTCTGTCTCGGGGGGTTCCCCAACGTCCCTATCCCCATCGCTTCTCCCAACGCCTACCTCCGCACCGCTAGACTTTTGCCCGGATTTCCTACAACCAAAGCCCGCCGCTAACGCAGATCCTCCCACCTCCGCCTCCGCCGCAGACGCTCAAATCTCAATCCGCACTCGCCGCCAGCACATCTCACGTCTACAAGGACAATACACATCCTCGGACATTGAGTCTATCCGGCGCGCCCTTCTAGCCGCCGCAGACGAGGACATGCGGCAGGCCAACGCGAATGCCGAGGGCCAGTGCGGATGGAACTTCAATCCAGGCCCCCTCCTCTCGGAATTCACGGAAGCATGTCACCCGTCTTCGCTGCCGCCCACGCAAGGACCCCGCCGGCGGAGAACAATCAGCCTGCAGCGTTCTCGGGTACGATCGCCCGTTAGCCCGGAACCGACCTCGACGTCTGGGTCTGGGGTTGGGGATACACACCAAATGCAAATGCGGAGGAAGAGCATGTGCACGACTAGCACAGCCTCCAGCTCCCGCATCGAGAAGAACTACCACTCCTCATCTGACCGGGACCGGGAGCGTTGCCGTGGCCGCAAGAAGAGCGAGGCCGGCCTCCGTCGGAAGAGCCTCGTCAGCGCGGCTCTGGCGTCGATGATCGGGAGCGGGGAATCGATATAGACAGACGGCGTCTTTCCAATTCGTCTAACTATTGATTCTCATCCCCGTTGTTCCCATTCCGCTCGCGCGGGTCTTCAGAAGCGGACTACGCGGGGCGAATTGAAATTCGCCTGCAGTTATTCCCGGTCCATCTGCGAACATCTCCCGGAACGATGGGCTGGGACGGTTGAAATTGCTATTAAAAAGGAACACGGAACCGACGAGCGTCTCGAACACGCGAAAATAGCTGTTATACATAGTGACCATGCGACCTGTTGCGCAAGAAAGCCACTACCGATCAGGACTGCGACTGCAAAACGATATTGGGGATGAGCGAGAAATATTGTCCTGCAGTCTTAAAGGAGAGTGGTTCCCTTGCTCAAGAGATGTTGATTACAGTATATGGTTGGTTGGTGGCTGTGGATTTTTCACTTTTTTCCTATGCGGGTAGAAGAAGATACCCATATTATTCATATATTTATATAGGAACCGACAACAATCAAGGTGATTGATTGTATATAGCAATTGCAAGCCAATTTGGCCCCAATTAGACGATCACAATCGTAAATCGAAAGGTATACTAGGTAGACATAAAAGTAAATGATGCCTTAATGCCTAAGATACACAATACAAGTATGTTTGTTAGTTAGGGTTAGAGATAAACACCCCCCAAAGTATTCGCGACCACGAACTAAAGTTACAAAAGCCCGCTATAAACATGCATGCAGTACAACACCAGGGAGGAAAAAGAAAAGAGATCGCTCAACAATCCCTCTCCACTACGACCGAAAAACAAAAAACGACTTCAGCCGCTTAAACGACGCCGACACCTTCCGACCATGCCCAAGCCCATGCGCATGCCCATGGCCCTTCCGCGTCTTCAAAAGCGTAGCGCGTTTCCGCTTCGGCTTGTAATCGCTGTACACGATTGCCGTGGGGTTATTGAGCTTTTCATTCCAAGTCGCATACAGCGCTTCGATCTGGCCGGGACCGGGGTCCAAGCCGTGAGAAAAAAGGGTCTCCTCGTGTTCATGTTCGTGTTCGTGTATTGATGGCTTGGGCTCGGGCTCTGGCTCGGGCTCGGGCATATACGACTCTATCCGCGACACGACGAGCGACTCATGCGGGTTCATGATTTCGAATGGTGTGCCCTCGTACATCATTGTGGTGGATGTTGGGGATGGTCGAGGGCGTGGGGTTGCGAATGGAATGGGCTCTTGCTCTGGCTCTGCTGGTGCTGGGTCTCTGGTGTCTTTGTCTCTGTCTGAGGGATCGAAGTCTGGAAATGGCTCGCTCAGAGTCGAGCCTGGGGAATCGGAGCGTGATAGTGAGGGTGGAGGGCTGGATGTGGATGTGGTCGAGGGGGTAGGGGTGGAGGAATGGACATGCCCCTGGGCATGATGGTCGTTTTCGTTGAGATTCGTCGAGGCGTTCTTGCGCCTCAGCGTCTTCGTCTTCCCCTCCTGGTCGTCGATCCAGCTGGAGTCGCGGTCGTGGGAGAGTGATTTGCGGTAGTTGTGGAGGGAGAGAATACCAGCTACAGCTGGAGGCTCAGTGGAGCCCTTGGTGATATATTTTCTGTGTATAAACCTGGAGGAGGAATCGTTGTCCTCCAAAGGCCAGCTCTCAGCGGAGAAATCGTCCATGGTCTGGTGATTTATGTGAGGAGAAAGAGAGGGAGAAGAAGAGTATGGTGAACGTCCAGCGTAATAGCCGTCCATGGGCGATAAGATGGAATGCGAAAGTAACGAACGACGAAAGTTGAATAAAATACTGGAGAAAAGAAGCGAAGAGGAAAAATGGAGAAATGCAGAAAGAAGGGCGAAAGCTATTATTGAGGCCTGCAGGACCTGGATCGAGAAGCAAGCAACAGAAGGCAGTGGAGGTGCGACGTCACATTGACTTCTGGCAGGTCCCGCACGCCACGATCCCTGTCAGACTCAGATCACATTGACCAACTTCCAGGCCCCTTGCAAGCCAAAAGCCAAACCAACTTGGGCAGCCAAACGTGGCTCCAGATCGTCGTTGCTGAGCCCAGTGTTCTGTTTCAGCATGCTCACTGCCGTTGTGAGGCCTGCTGCTCCCATTCGCCCACGCCCATGTCCAGGCCACCGCCAATCGCACGGCCAGGAACAAGATGCTCCTGCTTAGTGGCGAACGGGGTTCAGCTGGAGGATCAGGGAGGATCAGGCTCGGTACGTGTCATGCATTAACCTGCAGAGTCCCGGGAGTTTAACTCTACCGTTGCTACCCTGGCATTGATGATTGATCCATCCCTTTCTTGCGAACTACGGAGGGCAGCTACGCAAGGAGTCAAAAGATGTATTGAGCCTCAATCTCACATGCAAACAGATCCAACTCCAACCGATGCTGCAAATAACAAAAGTAGTGATAGTCATCTGACGGTCGTCTCTCGTCATCGTAGCCAAAAATAAGGGAAAACAAAAACAAACCAGTCCCTTCCCAGCCGCATTAGTCAGTCAATCTTAGAACCGGCCTGAAGGAAAACAAAACAAAGCATGTATATGCAATAAATCGCGATAGGGGGAATCTTTCAATAATATGATCGGATAATGCGCGCGCCAAATCAAATCTAATGCCGTTTGTATTTCTGGAAATAGAACGTCAGCTGTCAGTGCCACAACAACGGTTAGGCGGGCTGTTGATCCTTACATCCTCAATCTTGCGGCGGTTGCTGGGGTCCATCGAGTTCCCTGCCCCAAGCAACGTCTGCCCAACGGCCTTGGTGACGCCTATCGCTGGTCGGAGGATAACCGTCGGCGCTCGTTTCAGAACCGCTTTCGCGGCAGCCGTAGCGCTCCCGCTCTCTTGTACTTCTGCAGGCACGGCAATGATTGCATCCCGCGTCATGGCGAGATCGCGCTCCAATCCCCTGAAGGCTCCTCGCAGCCCCTGTACGACCCCAACAGGCTGATCAGCATAAAGCGATATCTTCTTGGTCTCTCCATCTTCGTCAATCTCGTCCTCTTCGCTTGCCGCGGCTTGGCCTTTGGGAGGGCTCAGAAGCTCTTCCGCGCCCTGAAGCATTGTTTGGGTCCCAATTGCGAGCTTGGCGCCCAGTTTCACAAGCTCATTGGACGTGGTTTTGGCGAATGTGAATGCCCCCTTTTGGATGCTGCGGACGATGCGGCCGTCTCTTCGGTATTCCCGCACAGGAACTGCCACGAGATCCTTGAAACCGCTGCCCACATTAACGAGAGACCTGATGGGGGCTAGACCGGCAAGAACACCTGGAAGCTGATTGTTCTTGATGTCCGGCATCCAAACATCGTTGAGCGCCTGGCCGAGCTTGTCGAACCCTTTTGCCCCGTACACGATGACGTGTCTCATCACCATGTCTGCCTCGTCTAGGATAAAAAAGTTCATAAATTCTGTTGTGCGACCGGACCGAAGACCTGCATAGTCCACTCGTTTCGGCTTGAAGTCGAGCTTGACGGGGATGGCATTGATCTCCGATCTCTGCAGATACGGTGGCTCTTGCGGAGGCCCGACCGGGGTCGCTGAGTCGTCTCTGAACTCGAAGAATCGACTGAGGAAATCGAGTGCGTCTTGATCTACGTGTAGACGAAGGGGAAGTACGGTCGCCTGGAAGCATGTCAGCAACGCTGGGTGCATTATTATCCTCCTCTTACTTACCTTGAGGATGATTTCCGATGCGGCAAGATATGACACAGGTCGCACTGTCAAGATCTCGAGATGCACCATACTGGTTCCAAGTTCTTTTTCTCCAGCCTCATTCATGTAAGTGGCAAATTTCCTCCACGTCGAAGTCGGTATGTGGTCGAAGATTTCCAATTCCTTGACCCGGACGTCTAGCGAGCTCAGTGTTTCTTCTGAGCCCGGTGGAAACACAACCAAGTCCGCACAAATGCCTTTGAGCTCGAATGTCATCTTATGGTCCTTGCTCCGGGATAACCGCAGCTTCTTCCCCCGTACGGTGGGCGACATGTTTCGCCGTACCGTGGTGACCGTGCTGGTAGTGGCGTAGCTGCCGGTTTCACTGACGAGGTCATCAATGTTCCGGTTGATGTCATTACGCATCTCCGCCGGATCTCTATTGGCAGGTATACCAATATAGACTGAGTTAAACAAGCAGTCGCCAATAATGGCCTCGTCGTCGTCATCAAAGGCTGCAGTTGCTCTGCCGCTAGCGCGACGCTCAGTGGCTTTCTTCTCCACATCCTTGACAGCCTTCGATATCGCGTCTCTCGTGCGCTGCCAGTCGTACCCATCGAAGAGATTCCAAATTACATGTGCGTCACGAACCCTTACTCTCAATGGGCTGTTTTGAAGTTTCGAATCATCCGAGAGGTTATACGTGTTTTGTGCAGAATTCCATCTATGGGCTGTGCCTCCCACTGAGGACTGCTGCATAAAATGATCCTCACGGAAATCAAGTTCCGACATGCTGGATGAAACGTGGTACTGTGAGTGGAAGCTGTCAGGGATTTGGGACGATTCTTCCTCTGATGCAATGAGGGGATGGAAGTCAGTAACATAATCAGTATCGCGTTCGGGGTTCTGATCAAGGGCTTCAGCCTGGTCAACGACCCCCGTAGAAGTGTCAACAGGAGACTCTGTAGCAAATGCATCCCCACTGAAGGAATTCAGCATGTCTTCAATTGGCACAATTTCAGTCCGATACTTTTTGACCTGGGTGGGCGGGCCAGGAGGTTGGAGTCCACTCATTATGCTGATCAGGGTTTGTGTCGAGTCGGCACAGGTCTCAAGGATTAGCAGATCGTCTCTAACCTCCACGTCAAGAGATTTCGCCCCATCATCACTTAGACGCATAATCTTCACTGTAGCTGTCGCCGAAGATATTGACGAGATCGAGACGTACCCCATTTCCATATATGCTTGAATCTGTTCACTATGCGGAGATGCTGCTCTTCGCCGAGGGGTATTGCTGCCTGCATCAATATTCCGTGCATCGTCGATGATCATGATGAACGCTTTACGTAGATCAAGTGTGGCTTCCGAAGACGAGAGGTCGTGAATAGCGCCGTTGAAAGTAGAGTTGGTCAGAACAATAAGCCCTCTGGCGGCTGTCCCACGTGGATTTAGACCAAGGACGCAGTCTCGGAGAGCTACTTTCAGCTTTATAGGTTTGCTTGAAAGGGCAGAGCTCTCTTTGAGAGCCTCCTGTAATGGCGGGTGCAGATCCGCAATATTAGCCAACGAAGACGCCATGTTGGCCGCAACGTCTCCGGATGTCATTTCATCACTCATGCCAAGGAATGCCATCACAGCCGAGACTGAATATTCGACGCGTAGGTTGTGTAGTTTGACCTGAATCGTGGGATCCATCTCATCGGCAATGAAGCGAACCATCAGAACCGGAATGGGGATCGAGTCTGGTTTGGGGGGTAGTGCTTCGCCAATCAGTTCCTCATCTGCATTCCTGTTCAATCTTATCGACCCAAACTGAGCGGCCACAAGCGACGGAATACTGATATGTGCTGCTTCAGCATTTTCAAGGTTCGCGGTGATAGTTCCGATCTGCCCACCGACGTGCAAGCGAGCCTCCACGTTCCGAATCAACGCTAGAGTCAGAATGCCAGGTCGGTCATCCTCAGGCAAGTACTTGGCAACACTGGATAACCTGCTCAGTTCCTCTCCTAGTTGCTGGAGTGGCCCTAGCTCAGGGTTGGAGACGACCATTTTGGCTCCTGCAACAGTGACGCGAAGAACTGACCCCTGCTTCCGCTGTCGGAATAGCGTGTCTATCATAATGTCATCATCTTCATCATATTTATCCTTGGAAGGTGTAATCAGCGATAACAGTCGATCGAGATCAGGTTCTTTCGGAGTGTACAGAAATTCCACGCGAATATTGTCAAGGCTGACTTTTGCTGGCGCATCTCCATTATCGCGCAGAGAAAACGGCCCGCTGAGTTTCGCCTTGTCGATCTGAATACCTATCCCTTCAGACCTGCTAACAGTTTTAACAGCAGTAGTCCTTAATGTGAGGTAATGGCTCTCTCCTGCCACGTCCAACGCGATTCCACCAATCCGTGCGTCCACCTTCCATTGTGAGCTAGCAGCCGGAGTCCTGATAGGTGATGGAGGGGATCCTGCAAAGCGAACGCCACGAGTCCGCTTTGGCACGTCTTTCTTGGACCCCTTGCTACCTGATACGGAGGATATCGAGTTACCAAGTTCCAGGATTGTGCTTAAGCCTCCGAATAGCCCTACTAACTCCTCCAGTCGCTGGATATTTATCTTGACGCACAGGGGAAGCGTTCCGATGGTGAACCTCGCCGACTCTTGCGACTTGCTCAACGAAAGCAGGATATCACTGTCGGTGGGTAATAGACCGTCTCTTGTTGACTCTCGCATCTTCAAGTCCTCACTGAAGGATATCAAGTCTTCGGATGCGAATCCAACGGTAAACTTGGACACAGAAGCAGAAAGGCTTGTTTTATCATTGGAACATGAGTAATGCGCCTTCACGCCCGTTGCGGTGGACTGAAGAAGGACATCATCATGCAAGAAATCGAGGAAAGTGGTGGAAGGATCCTGTTGCTTCCCCAGTGGAAAAGGGTTACCAGGGACTTGTTCGACAAACTTGACACAAAACTTGCCCAGTGTCAGACCGAAGGCCTGTGCATCTTGATTGCCCTTTTTCTGATGCTTCTCGCTCGGGCTTGTTTGCCTATTCCCGCCAAAGCCCTGGAGTAACCTTTGGCTAAACCTAATAGCTATCCACCCGATAGCTATGTCGAACTGAATCTCAACGGAGGAAATTTCAATGGAGACGTCGTTTGCACTGCTAAGGGATTCAGGATGGTGTTTGATGCTGGGCCTCATGTTAGTATCGGCAAATGGCAATTCAGTTGAGTCATGGCGGTCTCGTAACGAGGGACGAGGTATTGAGAAAGACACGGATTTCTCTCCGACCCGAGAAGCTTCCAGGGAAGAGTTTGCATCGTTAAAGCTGCTTTCCGCGGCCCCGGTATGTATTGACTCGGAAAGTTCTTGATGCCCCTTTTCCGGTTTTGTGGAAGGTATCCATACCGTGACCCGATCAATATGGAGGAAACGCTTTGATATCTCTGTGCTCTCGCCAACGTCAAATGCTGACTGGACGGACTGCTTATCGGCCGTTTCGGAGGAGGATTTCTGATTAGGAATAAATGAATGCCCGAAGGGAGACTTTCCTTCGTGATCTGTAGGTCTAGGTGTGGATATAGGTGTTCTGTCCTGGTCATCTGAACTGGTCGTTGCCTCATCGGGATGATCTGAGTATCCGTGATAGGTAGTTTGTCGAGTCAAGGTGGCTTCTGACGAGTCCCAGCCACCCGGTATATTGGGCATAAAACTTCCCGAGTTGGAACCATGACTCATAGCACTCATGTACATGCTCTGTGCCTCCTCCGAGGTGAACAACTTGGATTCCGATAACTCATCATTAAAGTAGGCAGAGGCGGAGTCCGAGCTACTAGTTTCAGAAGGGGACGGCGGGATATGTTTCGATACCTGTAGACTATCGTCAATGGTACCCTCCGTCCGTTGCTGAGATAAAATAGGCAAAGACGATTTGGAAAGGTAATGGGTGTCAAGCGGTCTCTCGATGTTTCGTACGTTGGGCGCCGAGGCCGCCGAAATGTCTCCAGATCTCGGGCATGTGTCATCTGAACCTGAGGCTTCCAGCCCCGCAGCTTGCAAATCTGACGCTTGCAAACCTGAATTTTGCAGGTTCGGACTTTGTAGCTGCGGTGTACTCCTATCAATATCGGATTGGTTGAAAGTATCAGGCGGAATGTCAGCAAGACCTTCCAGGTCATCGTCTTTGAGATGAGAATCAATCACGGAATCGAGATATGCGGGGTTGTCCAGCAGGCGTTCCTCTTCCGTAAGATTTTGCGACTCTTCAAGGTATCCGTAGCTTCTATTCTCCTCCGTATCGGCATCGGAGAACCTACCGTCATAGGTATATGTTGATCCTTCAAGCCCCGTCGCATCAGGCTCATCTTGAGCGACACCAAGAGTATGGTGGGAAGGCTCGAAGATTGTTGAGGCCAACATGGCATGGTTCGAGCTTGAGACTGAGGACGGTGCTGGTGGGACTGACGAGGCTGAGCTGGATGACTGGCTCAATTTCGAACGCATGGGAATAGAGGGAGATTCAGGCACAGCGAAGCGGGAATAATTTGAGAAGACTATAGGCTCGGAGACCAGCGCGAGCTCTATACCGTAGAGAGAAACCGGTCGTTTCCCAATGTGCAGGGAAGGCTCATCTGAGTTGGAGGCCGTAGCTACCGCACCAACACCGATTTGACGAATGCTCAGAAGGCCTGAAATCAAATCGGGCTTATCCTCAGGTTGGCGCTTAGACGAGCCTTCTTGTTTTGTTTCCACGTCAAGCCGTAAAGAGATATCGCTAACCTGAACCTGCAGGCGATCTGCAACTCCCTTCAGAAACGCAGCGACAAAGCTAGGTAGCGATACCGTTTCATCACCGAGACCAAGTTCTTCCTCATCATCACTGATGGATGCTGAAGTACGGTGGAGTATTTCAGACTGTGATGCAATGGCAGCTTGTAGTTCCTCTTTCTCTTCCTTCGGTTCGGTCTGGAGAAACGACGCGGCGAGATCTGCTGGGTTCGGAATGATAGACTCGTGACCGGGTTCATAGGTTTTGAAGAGGCTAGTTCTCGCAGCAGCTACTTCCTTCTCCGAAGGGAAGCGCAAATGTCCCTCGATCCCGCTAACCTCACAAATTATACCGCTACTGTAGATATCCGCGGGAACGGTGAGTCGAAGAAACCGAACCGTGGCACTTAGCAGTTTGCTTGAGGGAGGAAGGTGTAGAAGCGTGGCTAGTTTCTATCGAAAGACATTACCGGTTAGCATGGGACATCGGTGATGAATATCATCAAATTGCGGGGAAGCTCGGCCACAGCCACTTACTTCAAGTCGTAACGCGACATCACGAAGCTCCACGGTGCTTCGCTGACCCCAGCGGATGCCGAGACTGTCGGGATCTAAAGCTTCGGTGTCGATAAACTCAAGACGAGAGAGAGCGTATTTGAGCAAACGCTTCTGGAAAAACGAAGGCAGAAAGTAGGTCATTATGGGCGATTAGGAGCCGACCGGGGCTCACTGAAAAGGCATAAAAGTCATCGGAAAGGATCAAGACTGGAGAACACGAGAGAGGAAAAGAATATCGGCAAAAAGGAAGCGAGGAGAAAAGGCAGAACCGGTTCGGACTGCGGTTCCTAGAAAGAGAGATGTCGGGCTGCGAAGGCTAAGTGCCTGTTGGAATGACGTTTGGGGACCGAGGCGCTAGTGAGCTGATAGCGATCAGGCGGAACAAAGCCAAAATCCAGCCTGACACGCAATCTTAATGAGCATGGGGAAGTCATGTATGTAGGACTTTAGCAGAGGGCTGACCAGCGCGGTATGACTTTTTCACACATGTTCAGACCAGAGTCACTAGATTAGGAGCCAGTTCCTGGCGACTATCCTATCGAAGCTGGAGTGGAGAGATAAGCATCTCGAAAGTGGCATAAATAATCTTATGCCGGGAGCATGACTCACTTTTATGATCATCATAAGGCGTCTTTGAGAAGGAATCACGTGGAGGCATAGGTGACACCATAGGGTCAGGCTTGATTGTTGTATTTCTCAGACAGACTTAGGTAGTCATATATAGTGTAATGGTGGAGAGGGGCATAATGGGTGGTCATGGGATTTTACAGCGCTTGAATTGGCTATCTAACTAGATATCGATATTGTCCTCTTCAGGATTACAGTATTTCTCTTCGAATTCCTGGACTACCCACCCGCAGAACTTCTCAAAATCAGCGTAGAATTCGTGCAGACGACCAGCTTTCACGCCCTCTCCGAGAATAGCTTCCTGTATGTCTGTGTTCCATTCCTTTGACGTCTGGTCTTCGTAACAGCTCCAACGGATAGAGTTCTCCACCATCATCGTCAGGCCAGAGAGGCCCAAACTGTGAAATGCAAGTAGAGCCTGGTAAAACTCGGACGTTAGACCATTCGGTCCGAGCCCAAACAAGCCGGGTGAGTCGTTGCTGATGGCGACAGAGGCACCACGGGATAGAAGAGCCGGTAGAGGTTGGGATTGGAAAGAGTTGGCGAACCCGAGACATGCGTTTGAACTTGGTGAACATTCGATTAGGATGTTCTTAGACTTGACAACATCAATGAGTAGAGGGTGTTTATATAGCGAAAGAGCTTGGCTGACTCTTCGAGCGCCCAGCAGAACTGAGTCAAAAAGGTTATCGTCTGCTTGGTCTCCATCACCCAAACAGTGGCCCGCATGGAATAGAAATGGAACTTCTACGCCCTCTTCAGCGCAGCGTCCTCGGAACCAAAACAGAATGGGTAGCAGATCGTTAAGTGGCCTCCCGTTAGCCTCAGGTCCGAGTAGATCGAACCCACAGATCAATTCAGGAAATTTCTCCTTCGCGAGAAGGCACTGCTTCATACTGAGGCCAATGTCTTTGTTTGATAGACCACGCATGGTTGACCATATTACCCGAGCACCATGGAACTCTTTTCCTTCTTCAGTATTCCTGAAAGTTTCAATTTCATCTTGAAGAATCTGAAACCACGCATTGTAGTCTTTCTCGGCCCTATCACTCCCTTCCAAGAAATATTCGAAAGTAAAGGCAACTCTGAACTCAACATACCTTATCCTATCAGCGGCCAACTCCGAGAATATATGCCGTAGGCATTTGCGCAGAATAGGCTCGCACTGAAGAATTGAGTTGATGATAGGCAACCGAATATTGAAGATGTCGGAGATTGCTCTGCTCCCACTCGGAGTATGTTGTGACTGTTCGGCGGTCAGGGTAAAACGGCTCTTGAGCCATCGACGAAAGCCTGATTCTCCCTTATCCGGAAAAGAAGCCGCAGCGCTCTGTAGGTCAATCGGAGTCGATGGTTCGTAGCTATCTGCCCACAGTGAATGCTTATCTTTAGGCTCGCCAGTGGATCGAGGGCAATATCGAAAGGCGAACGGCGCGCCTTGGAAATCGCGCTGCGTTAGTAGTGGGCCAGGGGCAGATACGTGGATCCCTGGCGTAGCAAACGCCTGATCGATTAGAAAGTCCGTATCGACCATAGCAGGCAGATGACCATGCAGGAGGGACCCTTTGGGCAGATGTCGCACAAGCCTCCAGAGATCGGAGCTCTCTAGCCGCACCCTGTCCCTGTCCGACATGCGGCTCGGATGCGGGATGCCGTCTGACTGGTAACCATCTTGCTGGAGTTGGGCCAGTTCCTGAGCGCACACTCGGGAAACGATCTGGCAGGCCCTTTGGGCTACCGGAGGCAAGGACTTTTGCAGATTCGCATCTGAAGGGTAAGCGGTTAGTAAGTACTGAAGAAGATAATGCGCGTGAGTCTTACCATGGCGCTGGGATTCTTCCCTCTGGATCAGAGACAGACGACCAGCGAGGAAGCGCTGGATGAAGGGGTCCTCGATATGGGGAACGCCTTCTTCGGCTTCCCAAGAACCGTCCTCTGGATCCATGGCCCTATCCCTATCGTAAGCTCGTGACTTGATTGACCGTTCGATATTTGGCGATTATTACTGGTGACTGGGGGTCGGGAATCAGACCGTTTGGAGACGTGCGCCGGTGGTGTCCAGACTTCGGAGGCACTCCAAAGAGGAAGAGGCGGGACAAGGCAGTCTTGGCAGGCCGTGAGGGGTAACTACCGCCGAACACGGTCCCCGTTTCCGGACATGCCTGCGTTGTCGATTTCCACGTATTCGATATCTGGGGTTGTCTAATATCTTCTGCCTGTCTACCAGTCCAAAGCTTGCCCAGAACCAGATACATAGGAGCCATCCCAAGCATGAGTTCTGATGGCGGAATCTCGGAATCGCATGACCGCTGACTGGCGGAACGGAGACTCGGGGCGTCGTGGATGTAACCTTAAGCGTGGCGCGCCTTAGCTGCGGGCCAGCTGTACTAGCGCCTCGGCTTAGAGTCCTGTCAAACAGCTAACTGCGGGTTCAACCCGCGACTGACACGCGACAGTCACGCGTGGGGAGTCGCGGATACTGGCAATTTCGGAGTTACGGATGCCTCAGGCAGAAATTGGTTATATGAGATTGGGATGAGAATTAAGGGGTAAACAAAATATAAAATTTCTTAGGATTTAAAATAAATAAGAATATAAAAGTTTAATAGCTAAATATAAAAAAATTTAAGCTATATTTATCCCTTTTTTTTTTTATATTTTATTTTTTAATTAGGTTGTGAAATCCGGCCAAAGTTAAAGGTTAATTTTTTTTTTATTTTTAAAGGTTAATTAAAGTTATTTAACTAAGTTTGCCGCGGAAATCCAAGGGATCTTCACCTTTTATTTAATATACCCCCTAGTACTTAAAAAAATAAAAATATTAATACTAGGTATTAAAAATAACTTTAATTTTAATAAGGCTAAGTTAATAAATAAATATTTTATAACGCGGGCTACTAAGAAGTTTAGTAAGGTTATTTATTAATTAATTTTTTATTTTTATTTAGTTAACTTTAATTTTTTTATTTTAACACTTCTTGCGAAGCTAGTAATAGTAAATATTAATATATTAAAGTTATATAATAAATATAGGATTATTTAAGTTAAGTAATTATATAATTTAAGTATTATTATAAAAAAGGCGTAATTTAACCTCTAAATTAAATTTTATAATATTAAAAAGTTTTTTTTATTATATAAGGTTTTTTACTTCTTTAGTAATAGTAAGTAATTTAGCTTTAGTAATAAAGGTGGTAACTATTTTTTATTTATAAGTGTTTTAGTTAATTAAACCTTTAAATAACTTTATAAGCTATTTATTAAAGCTTTGTTAATTAAAATTATTACTAAAAAAAGTATTAAATACTATAATAATAATTTTTTTAATATTAATTAAGTATTTAATTCCTAGGTCCTTTATAATAATAAAATACTAAATAATATACTTAGCTACCTTAATATAAGTTTTAATAGGCTATATTATATGCTAAGCAAGCTTGCTAGCCGCTTTAAAGGTATTAAGGCATGTTATTATAGTAAAATAAAAAAATAAGCTAACAAGTTATTAGTATAAAAAAATATTTTATTTTATAGGCGTATAATTTAAAGGCGTAGGTGTTAGTTTTTTAATAAGTAAAGGTATTTTTAATATTTTACTTAGTGCTATAAGGTTATATTTAGCCTGTAAATTATTAATATAGGAATCTTAAAGTAACTAAATTTTTTAATTATAATAATTATAAATAATTTTAATATTTAAAAACCACTTTGCTTTACTAAGATTTTATAATTTATATATATATTTTATATATTTAATAAAGTTAGTGGCCTTTTTTTTAGCTTTAGCTAATCTCTTGCTTATAACAAGTATATTATTAATAAAAAAAATAACTATAAAATACTTTATAATAAAAAGGCAAGGCTCTTCCGGCACTAGCTTAAAGTTATATTTAAAAAGTATTAAAAATATTTTTTTTTACTAAATACGCGGTAATTATTTAAGGCTATATAAAAATTAATTTAACTTAAATACTTTGCTTTTAACACGCCAGGGGCCGGGTAGTATTTTAATATATACTTTTTTATTTATAAAGCTTTGGATAAAGGCGTTAATAATATTTAATTAAATAATATTAAGATTAAAATAAGCAACAAGCGCTATTATAAGTTAAAATAATTAAGTAGTAAAAGTTACTACTATAATATTAATATAGTTACTAGATTAAAAATCTTTTTTAGCACAAAGGCGCGCTTTAAATTTATTTAAATAATTAATAATATTAAATTTATATTTAAATACCCATGTAAGCGGTATAATAATCTTGCCTTTTAATATAAGAATAATTTTAAAGGTATAAAGTTTTTTAAAAATACTAAATTTAACTTTAGCGGCCTTTATAAACTAGTTTTTATATAAATATTTTATAAGTTCTGCCTAGTTTTTTAGTTCTTTTTAAAGCTAATCTTAATAAATAGCTTTGCCTGGTGCCTCTTGCAATAGTTTAGGAGGTTTAAAAATTATTAAGTAAAAAAAAATATAGTATTTAATAAAGTTTTTTGCTGGCTAGTAAAAAAGTTTAATATAAAAAACTTTAAAAAAAAGCCTTTATCTCGGGCGGTCTTTATTTATAAAATCTTTTAAATTTTACTTTTAGTGCAGGTGGTTATATTAGGCCTTTTTATTTAATTTAACCTATATAGTTAAAAGTCTGGGATTAGGATCTTACTCCCCTTTTTTTATGTTAATTTTATATAATTTTAAGTTAGATTTTTTAGGAGAAAGCAGTGTTAGTGTTTTTTTTTTATTATTATTTTTATTTATATTATTTTTTAGTTATGGGAGCCCTCTAGCACTATTATTTTTAAAGTTAAGAATTTTTTTATTTTTTTTACTTTTTACCACTTAGTTAGGTGTTATTAAAATAATTTTATAGTTATTATGGGTTTAAGAGCTTTAATTAATTATAATACTTACTAAGCTTAGGCTAGCAGCGGGAATAAGTAAAATTATAGGGTTTTTATTATTATATAATATTAAATTATTAGGTAAGTTAAAAATAGCTTTATTTTAAGCATTAATTTTGGCGTGAGGTTTATTATTTTTAATTTTTTTATTTTTACCTATTTTTATGTTATTAGGCTTAGGAGTAGGCTTGTTTTTATTATTAAGTTTAGGAAAATTATTTTTAAAGCTAATAAGAAATGGTATATTAACTAGTTTTTCTTTTTTTTTTTTATTAATATATGCTGGAATAGCATATTTTAAACTGGTTATGTAAATTAGGTTGTTTTTATTATAGGTTCTTGCCTTATTAAATATTATATTTTTTACTTAAATAACTAAATATTATGTGGCTTTGGCGCGAGGGTTCTAGATTTTTTA